GTTTATTTTCTAGCTTATTATCCCCTAGTTCAGCTATATTATTATTAGTGGCCAATTGGTAAGAGCTATTTTTAGTGTAATACTCGAGATATTCTGCCTTGCTACTAAGCCAGCTATTACTTTTAATTCTAAATTGCTTAAAACTGAAATTAGCAATAAACTATTTGCTACTAGAAAAGCTAATTCCAAAAATAGAGTAAAAGGCCTTGTCTAGGGGTTAATTGCTGTAGTAGATTATAATGCGTAGCTTTGTAGTTATAATTAACTAATTAGCTCGCGCACTAATACTTCGAAGTGTATTAGTAATATGCAAAAAAAATGCAAATATACTAATATTGCAACTATTAAGTTTTAGAACTAATATCTGCATTTTGTAAAATATTCCCAGGGGAAATACAGCCCTACCTTTTGCCTAATAAACCTCGCTAATGCTAGAAAACTCCTTATTGTATACAGTATAAATAAGTAGGCCTTTGTAAGTCGACTAGTCTTAAGTAGCATTTTTAATAATACAACTAATATGTTTTAACTTTAAATCCTTAATAAGAGTATTAAAAATATTACGAAAAGGCTATAAAATTGCCTTTTTTTTTTTTTAAAAGAAGACTAAAACCGCTTAGGCAGCTATTTAATAATAAGACAACAGTACTATATATAATAAAATCTATATATCTATGCTAATTTATTATATTAAATTATATTTTAAAAAAAAATATACTATAGTGTATTGCAAGCTGTTTATTTGCAGCTTGCAAAAAGTAGTTAATTTAATAAAAAGTACGCAATATACTTAGTTTATAAAAAAATATTATTATTTATATAAAATTTTATAAAATAATTATTAGTTTAAAAGGATATTTTTTTTTAATAAAAAAAAAATACTGCAAGTAGAGACAGTACTATATAGTATATTTAATAGCTTTTAAAAACAAAAATTTCTAATACCTTATATAAAGAGCAGAAAGCAAGAAAGTAGAAAGTAAAAAAAAAAAAAAAAATATAAAGTGCAAAAGCAAAAAATTGTAAAAATTTTATAAAATTTTTATAATAATAATTTAGCCCGCAAAGACGGGACCTAATGTGTTATTAATAGCTTATATTATTAGTATTTTTACTATATATTATATACTTTTATTTTTAGAATTGCTAAGCAACAAACTTTTAACTCTTAACAATGTAACTTTAACTGTTAAAGCGCTGTTTTTTTTAACAGCTTCTAAGTACATGTCTAAATATTTAGCGTAATATTAAACTGTTAAATAGCTAACTAATACTAGGCTTTTAGGCAATAACAGCAACGCCAACAATAATAATAATAATAATAATAATAATAACTTTTCCTGTAATATTAGCCTAAATACTTAATTACTTTTTTGCTCTTTTTTTTCGCCTACGCAAGCTATTGTTTATAGTATATCTAAATTATTATTACTTACTTTTCTGCTTTATTGCTTGCTTTATTGCTTATATCTACTTACACACTAAATTAACTATTTTAAGAAGCTGTATTTTCTAGTTATTATACTACTAGTAACTGTAGTTTTTAAAAAACTTTTTCTAATATGCTGCAAGCTTTATATTACTTTTAATATCTTCTATAAGCTGCAGAAGCTTATTTTTTTAGTTTTTAATAAAAGCAGCCTAGTCGCGGCTAAAGTTAAAGTTTTGCATTATTATATAGCAGCTAACTATAAAAAGAGTTGCGTATTACTGCTGCTTAGTTATAACTAGCTTATTATAAGAAAATGCTAGAAGGTTAAAATTAACTAGGCAGGGTAAAAAGAGCCTACTATAAGAAAAAAAATTAACTTTAAAGTATTTACATACTTTTTTATAGTACTAACAGTTACTATTTACTAGCTTAAAATAGTTAAGGAGCAGCAACTTGTACTAGGCAACTATTAATAGCTTATAGCTAGTATTGCTAGCTATAATAGCAATTTGCAGGCCTGTATACACAAGTTTATTTATTAGCATTATATTATTTATATTTAATATAGAAATAGAAGTAGGAAATAGAAAACTTAAAAGTTAGGATAAAAATAAATTTTAATTTATAAAATAAGCGCGCAAATGTGTGCTTTACTACTTATATATTTAGACTTTTACTATTTAAACTTTTAACTTCTTGCTTATATATAATTATAAAACGCGCAATAATACAATTATATAATAAGTAATAATATATAATTATAAGCTTTAATTGCAAATTCTACTTTATATACTTTATAGAAATTACGTTTATTGCGCAAGCTATTACTAATTGTAAAAAAGTATTAGCTATTAAGGCGCAAGCTTACTACTAAACTAAAGCTTGCTTAAATTTTAGTTTAAAGATTTATTTATGCTTTAATAATAGTTTATAGTTAAAACTTAAAGCTGCCTAGCAATGCCTAAATAACTTAGTTATTATTAAGGAATTTATAGTTCTGTTACTATAATTTTTAGATAATAATGTATTAGGGCTGCTAATAGTAATTATTAAAAGTTTTTTAATAATCTATTTAGCTAACTTAGTATTGTGTAAACTTTACTGCTTTAATACTATATTAAGGTGCTAAGTATAGCACCTAAACTGTAATTTTTATACTGATTTCTCTTACTGCGTAGTATAATCTGCTCTAGCGTCGACTTTACTTTTAATTATAGAAATAATAATAATTTAGTAGTAGCAATTTTTTAGTGCATAGTATATAAAATATTATAGTTTTAAAGTACTAGTTTTTAATAAAATCTTGCAATGCTTTTTTAATAGTAATAGTTATTTAATGCAATAGTTATTTGTAATAGTATTTAATATAAAAATAATTAAAAATAAAGCTTATTCTTATATTATAGCCTACTAAAAATTAATTTATTATATATTTACTAATTGTATATTGCTAACTGTTGCGTAAATACTGTATATCTACTTTTAATTATTAATAAAATAGATTTTAATTATTTAAATGCTGCAACTATAAAGCGTAAAAAAAAAATTAGTATTAATAATAATTAGCAAAAGCTAGATTTATTAAAAGCGCTAAAGCTCTTTTAATCTTATATTAAAAACTTGTATATTTAAGGTATGTAGTTATTGCAGCTATATAATAATATATTTAAATTACTAAATTATTATAAAATAGCTAAAATTACTAAATAAGTTTTTTTTTATTAACTAGCAGCAAATGCTAGAAAAGCTAGCTAAAAAGCAGGCAACAAATACTAAAAAAAAATTTATTACTAGTTTTTAGTAGTAGAAAAGGCTAAAAAAGTACTTGTATATTAGCAAGTAGATAGTTATTATAACACGCAATATAGTAATATAGCAATATAAAAAAATTAAATAATATTTAGTACTATAAGCCTAGTATTGCGCAGTATATTAGTACTATTATTTTTATATAAGCAGTAAAGCTTATTATAAAGTAGTTATAAAAATAATAGTAGTAAATTGCAGGCTATTAATTGCTTATTGCAGGAAATTTAAAATATAAAGCATTTAATATTACAAAATTTAGCAGTATAAAAAATTTTAGCATTATAGTTTTTACTGTTAAATATAATCTATTTTGCATTAGTTTAATTATTAGTATTCTACTTTATAAAATTGTAGTAATTGCAGTAATTATAGTATTATAGTATTATAATATTATAGTATTTGCAGTATTCGCGATTATAATAATTTATATATTTATTATAGCAGCCTAAAGCAGCCAAAAAGCTAAGGTTTAATTAGTTATTAATAATAAGATTAATGCGTAATAGTTTAATAGGGTCCCTATCCAGAGAACAAAATTGCCTTGATTTGATCGAAGTCAGTAGGAACAGTTTGCCTTGGTGTGTCATTATCGGGCACGTCGCTAGCCTGGGCTACCGAGACACGAGTTGGCACGATCCTGCGAGCTGTCATGATAGTTTGATCAATTCTTATCGGTTTGTGGATCAACTTTTCAAGAGAGTGATTTCAAAGGGGGAATTTATTGGGCAATTTACGCAGGCTGTACCTTGTTCCCGACGAACCACAATGCATTGTGTATCCATAGAGTCCAATTTGCACATACTGCTGGCTTGTGGGGCTACAGTGTGTACATACCCATCCAAAGAGTCTACCAAAAGACATTATGCACGTACTGTGATTGGAGCCGTCATTTCATTGGCTAGTAGCTATGTCGATGAACGAGGTTGGTGCCAGCCCGACGAAACAATGAAACAGCCTGCGGGCGGTCTCGCACTGAATGATACAGTTGATATAGCGCGGGGCGCGCCAAGATTGAGGTAGTTAATTCAGATTACTGTTCATACTCATGCGAAGAAGGTCGTAGAGTAGAGGGCGGTCAGGCCGCCATCTCATGAACCTGCGATGCAAGGAGCCAGCCTCTGGGCATGTTAAGGTGAGATTCGTTCAAAGATGATCTCCCGCCTGTAAGAACTGCAATAAGGTTACAGCGCCAACAGGCGTGGAGTTCAAAGAGGGTCGCTAAGACAGACTTGCGGTCGAGAAGAAAGTGGGGTGGGGATACTTCGGCCCGTGCCCATATAGCGCGACTTTAGCGTGTGCACCTGGGGTAAACTTCACCTCTCCATCGCCCAACCTTCGCCTCTGATCAAGAGATGCAGCTTCACGGCTTAACCTCGATAGCTCTTGCTCCGCCAATACCAGGGTTTTTGTACCTCAAAACACCAGCAACATGGTGCCGGCATACGCTCATCTTACGAAAGAATACCCCGCAGCAGCGCCATCCTCCAGCGATCCACTTTCACAGCCACGCATGACACTCTTGCATAGCAAATATTGCTAACGATGCACAAGGCCCACTCACGATGCACGCTGATATCACGCCACTCTTGTTAAGCCACTCGTATACCGCCACGCGGCGCATACTTATGGCTGTGTACGCAAGAGGTAAACTCGGCGTTTGTTAACGTGCTTTCTATGGGCATCGTGTCACGCAATCGATCGTAGCTCCTGCCATAACAGTGGGTTAGCTGAGTCAAGAGCTTAAGCCGAAAGTCGGCACCCAGGGTTACAATGGGCTAGCCACAGCCACTGTGAGGTCTGGTAGGCTTCGTTCGTCGCGCGTGCCAAATGGCGAGGTGGATCTGGCGAGGGGTACGCGACACCGTTTGTCGCGCCTTGTAGTCACCACCCTGCTCCATTCATTGTGGTCCGCTAGTTTGCGTAACGTCATGCGTATGCATCGTCCATAAAGCCTGCAACTCCAGCAGATCTGTTCCAACAAGTTCCTCTTCCTCAAGTCTCCGACAGCCTTGCTCTATCACAACAAATCACTACTTGATCCCCAACCTCAACATGAGTTTCCACTATTCCGCCGAGAATATCCGCATCGACGATGGCCACATCCTAAGGGCCCGCCTTCAGAGGGTTGACGGGGAGTGGAATGACTCGGAGATTGATCTCGACAACCACCTTGGCAATGACAACGGTACTTCTATATGGTATTCACGTCGACCCTTTGTGATGCTAATTGCGCGCAGGCTACTTCCAGTGGGATGGCGTAGGCTTTTCGGGCTCGGCGCAGAACGTCGAGTTCTCTATCGAAGGAGATGGTTCGGTTCCTGTCCTCCGCGCCACGCTTACCGACGGCGAGGGCAACGGCCAGACCCGCGATGTTAACCTAAGTGAGCGCGTCGCCAATAACGATGGCAATTTCGTGTACAGTATGTCGCCCTATCCCATGCCTGTTGTAGCCTACACACTAACATGTTCGTTAGACTGAAAGGTCGATGTCGACGTACGTACTGGGCTGCCTGGTTAGAGACGAGCTACACGAATGAAATGCCCACATTTGCTGCACCCGTGCGACCTCCCTTTGCTGAGACACAAACCCACTGCAAAATTGCCCTTTCGGAACGGACGTATCATCTCTTCCACATTTGCCCTCGCCAGCTAATCACAATTACGATCCATGCCGATTCACGTTCCCTCCATCACCATTCTTTCGTGGTTTTGTACCCATTTCCGTTCAATCACTGACATTCTTATTAACGCTACTAATGAAGATTACACGCATCCACTAAGCTTTATTCTCGATTTCTTCAATCGTTCACATAATGCTGCTTCAAGCGCTCGTCTAAGAGAGCGAAAGCGAGTACGCCGAACGAAAATTATGAGCAAATCCAGTGCGTGAAACTTTGTACTCTTACGCCGACTCTTCTTTGCCCCGGTCTGCCAGCTAAGATGATCGTTTGTTCTTCCACGTTTTGAAACTTCATAAAATCCAAGTACAACTTTCGCGTTCACTTGTCAGCAAACCGCATTCTAGTTGCTCTCTCACCAGGAGACTTAATAAGGCTCTTTCCAACACCAGGAAAGTCTACCCTCGCTAGTAGCCCAAGCTCTTCCAGCTCATAGTTAGGTCTGATGCCGGATCGAAGCATCACTGTTGGGCTTCCATATATAAGGGAAGAAGAAGTTGTAAAGCTCGGAAGCTCTCTGCAAATCGTAAAAGCGGTGTTGCAACAAGATTCCATATATACCAGACGTAAGTATGACCCCTTTCCTAGTGTCAAGGCGAGGAATCCGCCGTTCCAGATCTTCCTATTTGATTGAATACAGTCGTTCCGTTCCCTGTGACTGTCAGAGTTATAGCGTTCCGTAAACACCAACTTACCATGCGTATGAACCCACTACTCCGCACATTGCAAGTATCCTTGATACGGGGCCCACAATTTACGTCTCCAATGAATCGTTGTTCGTCTATCTAGCGCCTGTGTGAGTGCAAGTCTCAATGCAATCCTATAGAAGTGGATGTTTTCACATGCACTGGGCACTAGAGAAGCCGATAGCTGCAGTTAGTCTTAAATCGGCAATCTGAATGCACCTTAGCAATTTTGGTAGAAGGCGGACAAAGGCCAGCTGAATCGTAGGGCATGTTAAAGACTAGACGTTACCTAGCATGATTTCAGGGCTCCCATCTCTCCACGACAAGACCTCCTCAACTTATCATTGAGCTGTTCGTTCTCTGTCTTGCGTCATGTGTCACCGCGTGGTGATGTTGAGCCAGCCTAGTACTACATAGTTGTGGATCTGCTCGCGAAACTGGGCACTTCTCTGTCGAGGGTGTCAATCTTTTCGGTGGCCCATGATGAATGGCTGAAGAAGACTTTTGTGGAGGGCAATAAGCGTATCATCAAAGGAGTGATCGTAGAGAAGAAGGCTTTGTTGCGTCGTTCTAATCTTTTCGCGCTTTTGGGCGTTGGGAATAGCTGCTTGGGTGAAAGGATGATTTGTAGTGTCTTACCTTATGATAGCACCCTCTTCCAGCTTACTTATCGATTCCGAGCGAGTTCAGGAAACTGTCTCAAACATTGTAAGATGTTAAGGTTGATTGATTACCTGGGCAAGGCTGGAGCGCGTGCCAAGCACTTGCGTTTGCCCCACCACCAAAGACAGAAAGGGCTAGATTAGGGTGCTGACTACTCAAACCCGTGCCGTATTTTTCGTCCGGGTGGTGCTCCTTTGCGATTGTGGAGAAGCCATCCTTTGATTACATCAACAACAATCTGAGGAACCCTATGATTACGCGCCGAAACCGATTATGGGATCCAAGACACCAGATGGCCATCGCCGAGGGCCCAATGGTAAGGAAACGCGGAAATCACCCTGCGTTGACACTTGTACTAACTGTTTGAGCAGAGTCATCGGCAAGCGCCACCGTTTCTTCTGGCAATCCTCCCAAGCCAGCTGCAGCAAGTGGGCTCCTTCAAGGTGCACTCGAAGGGCAGGACGAAGACGGGGACGACGACGATGATGATGATGAAAAGCTTGGAACTGACCTGAAGTCCAGTGAGGAGCCCATCAATGGTGAGTCCTTTGGGCCAATGTACTTTTGAAGCTAATCCCAGGAGGCAACAAGAAGAAGAAAAGAAAGAGCAACAAGAAGAAGAAAAAGAGGGCACCAGGTGGACAGCAGACGGCCCCTCCGAGGGTTGCGCTCACCGACCTCTTTCTCGACCAGCTTTATCCGGAAGGCGAGATAGTCGAATATGTCACCAATAATGACAATCTTCAGCGCACTACAGCTGAAGAGATTCGCCACCTGTCCGTCTTGGACAACATGGACCATGAATACTTGAAAGACTACCGCAAAGCTGCAGAAATCCACCGCCAGGTCCGCCAATATGCACAGACGATCGCCAAGCCCGGCATTTCTATGAGCCATATTGCCCAAGAGATTGAAGATGGTGTCCGAGCATTAACTGGGCACCAGGGTCTTGAGCGCGGAGACGCTCTCAAAGCCGGCATGGGCTTTCCGACCGGACTCTGCTTGAACAATATAGCTGCTCACTGGACTCCTAACCCTGGAGGCAAGGAGGTTATTCTCCAGTACGATGACGTGCTGAAAGTGGATTTTGGAGTCCATGTCAACGGCAGGATTGTCGACAGCGCGTTCACTGTGGCTTCCAATCCCGTCTACGATAATCTCCTCGCAGCCGCCAAGGCAGCTACTAATACAGGGCTTGCGGTAACTACATCGGCTCCATGTGTAGTAGGCAATGGCTAATATAACCACATAGGAAGCTGGCATCGACGCTAGAATGGACCACATCAGCGGGGCAATCCAAGAAGTCATGGAGAGCTTCGAAGTCGAGCTCAACGGCAAGACTTACCCCGTCAAATCAGTGCGGAGCATCACCGGCCATAACATCTTGCGCTACCACATTCACGGCGATAAACAAGTGCCTTTCATCAAAACCAAGACCAATCAGCGCATGGAAGAAGGCGACGTCTTCGCAATCGAGACGTTCGGTACCACGGGGCAAGGGTATCTCCATGATGATGCAGGCGTATACGGCTACGGACGCAATGAGCATGCACGCGCTACTGGGCTTCATTCCGCGTCGGCCAAGTCACTGCTGAAGACGATTGACGAGAACTTTGGCACTCTTGTCTTCTCCCGGCGCTACCTCGAACGCATCGGGGCGAAGAATTACCATCTCGGCATGAGATCGCTCGTGTCGAATGGCATCGTCGAGTCTTATGCGCCGCTCGTTGATACTCCTGGCTCCTATGTCGCGCAGTTTGAACACGTGAGTTATTATCCCACGACTTTGGCTGTGGGCGGAAATGTGCTGACTCAATATTCACAAACAGACTGTCCTGCTCCGACCCAATTGCAAGGAGATCATCTCTCGAGGAGGCGATTACTAAGGAGATGTGGGGAAGCGTCTAGCGTTATATGACTGCTTGGAGCACTAACCAGCGCAGTAGTACTTCAGTTCTCTGTGTTTCCTCACTTCAACAGTTGTGGAAAGAAAACACCACCGGTCAAAGCATTTCAACCTGCCTACCTTTGCTTATAGTATATCTTATAACCAATTACCCTCCTTTAAACTAAGTTGACAAGATACGTCGCGTCTTCTCTTCTTTTCTCGGCTTTCCTCCCCTAGCAGAGTATTGTCCAAATTTCCAATCAAGCTACGAAGCAGCATTCGTCTGGAAATGTAGAAATGCAATTACTGAGACCATCACTACTGGGTGACTTCTCAAAATACAATTGCCGTCCTTCCCTGTAACGGTTACTGGGTGTCTAGCCTTTGCCCCTTGAAATCCCACTGATTGCTTGCTGTCGCTCTCTTTGAAATCTACCGACTCCCATAGATTCTGTTCAATCCTCTGATGAATGTGGCTACCAGGTTTCTGGGGTTATCTGGCATGCGGGGAAGCGTCCATCCTTGTTCGAGTTCTAGTTTTTGGAAGGCCCCTCGCTCGCTTTGGTGCTCCACCAAAGGCCAATGTATTATTATTTCCATCCATGATTCTTTCAGAGCCCCCTTCTCTCCCTGAATCTCGTATCCTGTTCACTATTCTCCGCCATCCCCCGCAACGTCGGCATTTTACGTTCCACATAGTTACTCATGATGCGCAATACACGATTCGGGGTGCGATGGGCATTCGGCGGCCGTTTAGTCACATCGCTCAAGCCAATATGGGGTACCTGCTTGGCTAGATCTTCTTGGGCCATGGATTTCATGGGGTGGAACTGCTTCCAGTAGGGTTGTCGTTCAATGAAGTCTTGGTGGACGGCGCGCGAGCGGTCAACGGTTATACTGAATAATTTGGTCCAGTTCTTCTTTTGGGGATTGGATTGAGGGGGTGAGGGGACAGGTTCGAATGGCATTGGCGGCTGTTTCGAGGATGGAGAGTGGGGGGGTGCGTGGGTTGTGGACGGGAGGGTGCGGGTCAAGAGTTGCGAGGGGCGGAGCATGTCGTTGATGCCGTGTTTGGTGGGTGTTTTGGGGAGGTTCAGAGGGTCGTCTTCGTCTTTGTCTGGGGGCTGGGTAGGTTCGCTGTCGGCTTCTACGACTCTCTCGAGGGCAAAGCGTATGGGAGAGGCATTGAGGGCGCGTTGGGCCGAGTTCTCGTCACGGTAGATGGCCAGGGCGACGTTGTCTGCTGGGTTCTGGTATTCATACTAGAAGACAGTCAGCGTTGACATGCTGTACCAAGCTGCGACATGTAGCTTGGCGTTGTTGGAGGCACTCACGCGCAGATACTTGAAGGTGCTGACCTCGCCGAAGCGCTGCAGCACACGAAAGATCTCGCGACTCTCGGACAGATTCGAAGGTCGCGGCAAAATCCTCAGGTGAATGGAGCGCTGGGCCAGGGCGCGTGGGGCGGACATGTGGACAGTGGGTGCGATTACCTTTGGGTGATGTTGGTCAAAGACGGAGGAGAGTAAGCTTTCCGGTGGGTCACCAAATTTACCAGAACTGGGGATTGGACGTGACGCCGCATCACGTGCGGCGACGAGTCCATGTCGCTGGGTTTGCCGATCCAAACGTCACGATAAGATGGGGCCTCAGACGATGCTTGACGCGATGCTTGACACGATGCAATTGACTACTCCGATGCCAGGCTCAACCCGCAGGGAGCGCTTGTACTAAACAATAATCTCGACAAATCCTCCGTTCCTCTGTAGGAATGTGTGGTATAGTGCGCCCCGATAATAATAATAATACTGATAAAAGAACCAATCCAAACACCGTCGCAATGCATAAACAAGCCCCCAAGTATATAAAGAATTATGAGGATGATGGTGACGCCTTGTTGGTGACGCCGTTTGGTTTCGATCGCTTTCGCATGCGGACCTGCTTGGTGACCCTGATGCAGCGATCGCGGTCATGGCCTGCCCTCCATTGAGGCATTCCAATCAAAGCCTCGACGGCGCGTGCCGGCACGTCGTAGTCCATGTCGATGCCCTCGTCGTCGCCAGATGTGGACAGGGTAGAGGACGTAGTAGATGATGGTTGTGATGTCGGCTCGTTGATGGTGCACTGCTCCTCGGCTTCGATCATCCTGACCAGCTTGGAGATGTCCCGCACATGCGACGAGCAGCACTGCAGGCGTGAGCTGCTCTGGCGCTGCATCCTGAGCACAGAGGTTGCGACGCGCGAATACGTCGGGCGCGCCTGCTGCTTCCTCTGGTCGATGGGTGAGGCGCAGTGTTTGCTTTTGGTGCTCGGGCGGGCTGCGTCGTGGTTTGCCCTGGGCTCGATGAAGAGGGTCTGCTGGTTGAGCTGGACAGCCAGGTCGCCCATTGTGCACGGCGGGGTGGGCGGTGATGGATTCGAAGAGAGCTGCAGCGGGTCGGTAGGCCTTGACGTGGGCGAGACATTCATGGCAGCCCGCTCGGCCTCGTAGACGGAATAAGCTGGAGGCGAGACCGGGTCGAAGGAGAAGTTGCGGAACATGGCGGCCATGGCGGTGCTTGCTCACGCCGCTGAGCTTGAGATGGTCGATGGGGTGGGGGAGGGGAGGAGTGAGTCCAAGTCCAAGGTACTTTGGATGCTCGCCAGTGGCAAAGGGTGCTAAAGGGTGGTGTGGGCGTGATTCCGCACATCTGGTTTGCGGCCGCTCCACTCTCCACTCCACTCTCCAATCTACTCTCCACTCCTCTACTACTCTCCACTACGCACGGGCATGGGCTTGGGCATGGGCTTGGGCTTGGGCACAAGTCGCATCCGAGGCGCGTCAGTTCCATAAACAAAACAAAAAGTCATTCATCAAACCACACTGCATGCAGTGGTTCCTAATCCAAGACTAGTCTCTACATCTGCCTCTCTTGTTTCCCACCCCCCTCGCACCCGTCCAGCCAATTAAGCCCAAATGCCTCGATACCGTACTACAGTAGATCCCTAGGCAGTGCTATAGCACGTCTCCTATTCCCAGCGTCCCCATTGCTTATTATTCCCTGTATCCAATGTCCTGGATCGCGGGGCTCATGCTTCTTTCTCCCACACCCCCTAATAACTCTTGGGTAGCGTCGCATCCCTCGACGCTGCCGCCGTATTCGCCTACACGCAGCCTCTCATCTCCTTCTCCTTTTTCCAAGGCTGAAGCTTTGCAACACGGCCCTGGCTCTGCTGTTTTATTTTTATTTATTTTTCGTCTTCGGAAGGCTACATCAGCCTCGGGCGTGGCTGGCTCCTGCATCAACGCCACAGTTTGACAAACCGAATACCGGGGAACTTGGTCCAACTACCGAGACGCCCCATCTCTTTACCCTTCGAGTCGTAGGAGGCATCAAGCCAGCAGCAAATCAACCCCTCGAGGCATGCTCCACTTGCCTGGTGCCAGGACGCTACCTGAATCAGCTTCGGCGGTATGTCCCCCTTGTGGCTGGATCCTCGACGCTGTGTTGCAGAACATAACACCCATGACCTGGATGACTTGCAAGACCAGCCAATATATCTTCGGCTCAACTGCGACCTCCTCAAGCCAAGCGTTCCGGAACATGGCGCCGAGGGTGCATGGCATATTCGGCGTCTGTAAGGGCTGTCCTGTCTACGGCAAGCTTCTGACTGGGTGCATCAGACTGTTTGCAGCACGAGGTGAGGCACTTCGGAATACTCGGCGTCCGTTTGTTAAGCTGAGCTGAGCTGAGCTGCAGCAGACAGTCCCGCAGGGACCAGCCGCGATATCATCGGACTCGCCGGAAGGCGTTCCATCTGGTCGAGCGCTGGATAGGCACTTGCTTGGCCAACCACGCTTCTTCACGCGCCCACCCCATTAAACTGACCACCGTATCGCACTTGGAGTCAAGGGCACAAAGAACGCGCGTGAAGGGACTAAAATGTAAGATGAAATGTCTCTTTTCGCCTTAATGGCAGAGTGAGACTGCTCAGCATTCGGAGTACGTCAATGATTTTTACACATCGCGCCCTAGAATCACACTTCCAAACCGAAATCACGGTTAATCAATATCAAAACTGTTCAAAACTCCAAACCCCACCTCCACCACCTCTAGCAACGTCTACCCTCTCCATCACTTCCCACTAGGTCAAGCCACCTTTTCCCGCTCTCTTCGTCCATCTCCCAACCCATATATTTCCAAATCATGCCTACTAGGCAACTTCCCGTTCCCCTCGAAATCATGAAGAATCGAAGCAAAACGCCCCATATCTACATATCCCCCCATCAACCTCGAGGCCACTTTCTCCACCGCGTTGACAAGAACCTGCCACGCGCGCCCATGACCTCGCGCACCAACGCAGTGATCATGCATCGGACACGCTCGACACGTATACGCCTTGAGAAACGCATGGCACAACTCATGTAACAGCGTGCCGAGGCGATTTCTCCACCGCACATTGACGTCGGCAGGGGCATTGTTGTGGCGGTATAAGATGGGGTGGAGTAGAATCTGTGTGCCGATGAGGGGATTGAAAGACGCGATCGCGAAGCAGTTCTGGGAGGATTCGGGGAGCCAGGAGAAGCCTGTTGAGAAGGCGCGTCTGTGCGGGGGGATGGCGTTGAAAAAGAAGATGTGGTTTAGATGCGTGAAGAGGTGCTGGAGTTGGGCTGCTGATAGGCTTTGTCGTAGGTCTGGGCTGCTTAAATGGGGTTCCCAGGTTTTTAGGAGGCTTTTGAGTTGGAGTACGGGCGGTGCGTCGTCTTTGCTGGATGTGTTATGTAGGTAGGTGCTTTCCAACCAGGCTACGTGGTGGCGGACGAGACGCATTGCCTCGTACTCTCCGTAGAATCGCAGCGAGAGCTCTGGTAGGGGTCCACTGGGCGACTCGTGTACATGGGAAAATCGAGGTAATCGGCCATTACTCAGAGAGTGACTCTGGTAGCGTATCGTGCCATGCGAGCTACGTTCACCGAGTTGGTACAGCTCCGGGGCGCATTCATCGCAGTCGCAAGGCGCCGCTGCCTTTTCAATCCAGCTCCTCAGCTCCTCAAGAGTCGACGGCACTTGAAACGAGTCAGCATTTGAAAGAGCTTGTTTCCGTCCGAGGATGTGGTCTTCAATGAACAACAACTTGGGATCAAACGTAAAAAACGGCTCCAAAACCGGCAGAAGATTATGAAAAAAAGACGGGCCGCGACATGTATGTTGTTCAGCACCTGGATGTCCGCTAGGCCGGCTGCTACACGCCTTGATGACGAGTCGAGCGACACGACGAACGGGGTGTACACGGCGGCGTTTTTTGATAGCTTGGACGCTCACAACGACATCATGGCCTGCCATAGAGGAAGTCGATGAAAACGACCAGATATGTGGCTGGAATAAGTGGGCAAGGTGGGAGGACTAGCCTGGAGAAGATACCCTTGTGAGCGTTGATCCCGCCGAGCCGTGGAAGCCTCATTTTGATAGCTGCATTACAGGACTGGATGGACACAGGGATTATCTTCCTTGACCAAGGCAGCAGGCGAGGTCAGCACGGACATGGCCTCCAGCAGCATTCGAGTGAGCGTCCTAGGGAAATACTAGCCCAATGTTCAAGACATGTTCCATTGTTGGACTAGTACAGTACTGAGTGTATCGTAGAGCATTTGCGAGAGTATCATGAACGCGCACCTTCTAGATTGGTCCCAGTTGACTTTCCAACATGGGATATCACCAAGAGAACCCTGCTTAAGTACCAGTAGATAAGGTTCACCAATGCTCCAAACACTGATGATATATGGTTGGCGCCAAGCCCGTCCGTTCCGTATGTAGATACCGGTTTGTGAAACAAAACGTTCACTTCCGTGTTTCCTGAGCCGCGGCAAAGCTTATCGAGTCATGGCTCAAGCTTGGACGAAACAACAACGATCTGGACTTGGAATATCCTTGAACTGGGATTTACGCGGTGTTCTATAAATAATTACAAAAGGCCCTTCGTGGTTGTGAGATGCTACCGGATGTGCCTCTCAGACTCTTCTCTCAATGAACAGTGTTCTGAAATATCTAATAAGCGACTGGACCAGCAAAGAGAAGACTTTATGGAGTGGAATAGTGCTGCTGTATACCATCACCTCACTATGACGACGCATATCAAACGACAAGAGATCTCTACCGTTCATGAAATTCATAATCGTGTATTAGCAGCTGCAGGTCATGACGCAGCATCTATCCAGAGGGGTTATATAAGTACCACAATACCACTCCCACCTGCGCAACCCCGTCCATATCAATGTTTATCCACAATTAAAATTTGGGGCTTGAGGTAGGGAGTAGAGACGACTTGTATACGCGTGCAACCGACCGAAATGAAAAGGAAATAGACCTGGGGTATACCATCTGCTGACTCCCTGCAGACCTGATGCCGATGCTATAAACGCCAACTTTTGCAAACCGTGAAACGCGTAGGCTGAAGAAAGAGTGCCCGTTAAATGTCACAAAGAGATGATGCTGCTTTCTGCTTTAGTCGCAAAGATCAATCACATCCACATGTGCTGGTATCGAAAATTGTGCCCTGGTCGGTGTAGGATTCTCCTCAGATGCGCCGCGGTCAGAGACCCCATTGGGATCGCACACCTCCGGCTTCGGCTTCCATGTGCCATTTTGCTGAACAATAATTGCCCTTGTTCGCAGCAAGCCTTGCGCTTTGAGCTGTTTATGGACATGCTCAATAAAGCCGTCGACGAATAAATAGTGTGGCCGAGCATCTGCGTTGCAAATTGGGCAACGCCATTGGTCGGGCACGGAAGTATCGTTCTTGCGCTGTCGTGTCTGGAGGAAGGTTTCGAGATCGAAGCAATCGTTGTGTAGACACGCTACGCTACGAACAGGAATGTCGCACATCCTAGAAGCACTGAAGGGATCGAAGAGATTGATAGTCGTGTTACTGTCCAGGATAGAAATTTCGTCATTGTTGGTACCATGAAGCTTTTTCTTGATACCTTCCAAAATCTGTTCAGCTGGTACAGGCCTGTTGGTGAGACAGTGCTGCTTGATAGCGTCATGACTTTTAAAGCTGAGTATCTCGATAGCGAAAAGGTAGTTTTGAGGTGACAGGTCATGTGACTGGGCCAGGACCGCAATTTCCAATTTATTGACGCCCTCTTTAAGCAGCCCAGTAATGACGATTGGCAAGTCTTTGCCATGGTGGATCTTCTTTCGCTGTTGCAGGTATTTGCCGTTAAAGGTGATGTGTGAGTTGGGTACCCACGCGGTGTCAGCCACTGCCCAGGCGTGTTCATTCGGCAATTCTGCACCAGCAGGCCACTTGATACAACGTAAACGAACAGTCTGGCTTCCTTCACAGACGGATCGTGTATCAGGTTCGCCTAATGCACCAGGCACAGTCTTGGCAATGTGTTGCATAGCATCGCGTGTCCTGGTAAAGCTGCATCTCTCAATTGCTCGACCAGCGTGAACAAGTCGTGTTGGAGGCTGAATGAATCCCACCGCAAAGTGATATAAAGGCGACGGAACAAGGCGAGCTTGTAGAACAGGGCTCCGGAGATGGGCTTGGTGCAGACTGAACCGACCGGGATTAGGCTGCCGCTGCTGAGGTTGTGTCCAACCAGGCGGGGGAAGTAAAGGCCGTCGACGCGGCAGTTGTACTGACTGAATGTGAGATCCTGGGACGTTCTGTGTGCGAGAGCGCCCCGGTCCGCTTGCTTGCTGGGTGGTCTGAGGCCCGTGTGGGTTTACAGGTCTGCCAGAACGTGGCGCCATCTGGTTGGAAGGTGCGGCACGGGCAAAGCGATTTTGTCCTTGTGGAAGGCTCAACTCTAACCCGGCGATGACTTGCTTAAACTGGGAACCGAACATACGCAACTCCGATTCCTTCTCTTGTTGGTTGATCTGGAGATTAGAGGCCTGTACGTTAGCTGTCAAAGACGCTCGCCGGTAAAAGTCGTCCTGGTTCTTTTTGAAAATGGCAACCACATTGGCCTCGCATGGTATTCTTAGCGAATCGTCAGCTTTCCGTAGCCAGGTGTACCGCACAAAGGATAAAAATACAAGACGCTGGAACGTCCGGGAAGCGATTTTGATGTCAACGGCAAGTTCCCGCGCAAGTGGTGGGCACTTTCGATTCTGACATATGATGTTCAAGCGGTCCCAATTCGGCGAATGCGTTATGAACGACAAGAACAATTCTCCGTGATGCTGGAAATCAGATGGCCACTTGTCTGCCATGTCCAACAAGGAATACGGAAAGTCGCAAAGGAAGCCGAGAACAGCATTCGTTAACGTCTCGTTCGCCTGTAGGATGGTTTTCATCATATCACAAGCCGTGCGCAGGCTCGGATGAGTCAGCACCTGGTGTGGTACTACGCCTTGGTTGAAGGTGAGCAGACAGTAGTATTGGTGCATGGTGAGATAGGCCCAGTCTCGGTCCGCCAAGGCATCTTTGAGCGCCATCAGCCGCCTCCTATCGGGGTGGTGATGGGTCGAGTGGATACGCGAAGTTAATTGGGCACTTAAAACAGGTAGAGAGTTATGCAACGCAGACGAAAAGTTGGGAGGGGCTGCCAATTGTTGTGGTGATTGCGCACTTTGAGGGACAGGGGCATGGCCTACATGTGCAGGTTCGGAGAAAGGGTGTTGAGTCGTGCCACGGAACAAAGTACGTGGGGGGCCGAAGGGGACCTGTACTTGAAGGGGGTTCTGGCTGACGACGTGTGCATCTCGAAACTGCATATCCGGCGGCAATTGCGATGGTGGCCATATTCCAATCGATGAACTGTGACTGGGCATCTGCTCCAGCAAGGGATTGCCATTCTGCGTCTGCGGTACTCCTGGTGCAAGCGAGAGTTCGGGACGTGGTGGTTGTGACTGGTGTGTTGCGCCTGCCATTACCGCTGCTGCTGCATGTGGTCCCTCTTGCCTAGCGCTACTAGGGTAGCTCCCCATTGAGGGCGGGGCCACAACGTGCACCGCGTCCACGGAAGCCGATTCGTGTAAAGAGTCGGGCGTGTAGTTTGCATACGTGGGATCCAAGTTGAGGAAGTCGAGATTCGCAGGCACTGCATTCTCGCCTTGGCGCGTTGTTTGTGCGGGCGCAGCCGGGTCCCAGTTCTCAACGCTTGGAGGGGGTGATGGAAACACGGTGATGGCCGATGGACCATGATTAGTGCTATCTCGCCGGGTGAGGGTGTTGGCGAGCTGGGGGGAATTTGAGTTTGAGCAAGCCTGCGGTTCGGTCGGAGGGTCCTGCGTTGGGCGGGCGGTCCTAGCAGCCTGTGGTTTGGCCTTCTTTTTCGGCAGGTTGGGCATTGGAGGCCATGGTGCGGGATGCTTGGGGGGTCTTCCTCGACGGCGTATAGGGCCTGGGGGGGTTCGTGTGGGTGTGGGCGCTTCAACAGGCACAGGCGCATTATCCAAAGGCTCTACCATCCAGCTCTTCTGTTTCCCCCCCAGATTGCCCAGGGCGTAGTTGAGGGTTTGGGCCGTGGCATCGTTTGCCAGCAGGTGGCTCTCGGCAACCATGCCGCACGACGTCGCGCTCAGGCCAGGGGAGATTGTTCGCTATGCAGAAAAGGAGGCTCGGGGGCGTGACCTCGGGAGTCGTCTGGGACTAGTGTACCAAATCGCAGCAGGAGCAGAGAGTGCATGTCGCGCGAGCCGATGTTGGGCCAGCCTGGTAGACGCGCGCGCACACACCGACTTGTCTGGCCCAGGGCTATCGACTTCCTCTCTCTTTGCGTGGGCCCCGGGGGGCGTTGCGGTGAAGGACGGGAGGGGGTGAATGGGAAGTGGTTAGGTGCACGATATATCGCAGGCGGCGGCAGCGCGACGAGACTAGTCGTCGCCGCGCACGGGCCAGGCGGGAACGAGAACAATCTCTCGCTTTCATGGCGGGACGGACGGACGATGCCGTGTCGTCTTGTTGGATGGCGCAGGAGATGAAGAAGAATAGACAAAACATCTTGCCTCATCATAGCGGGCGTCTCCATAGGGGTGCCATGTCTTAGGTTGGCGGCCCCCACGTAACTAAAAAATCACTCACATGCCTTGGGCGACGCCTGTGTTCACGTCTCGACTACCTAGGTATCGCATGCGTACGTAATCAACCAGGCTAGCCGCCTCGGGCTGTATCCAATTCATCCACCCACCTAATTATACGAAGCCACGACAACAACCAACGCCATCACGAGACGCTGCCTACCCACCAGCGCGATACTAGACGCCCTTTGCCTGACTTGTCCATTGTTTGATACCCAAGCCAGTTCCACGCTGCGTTAGACTTGAGGGCCCGCCCGAGTCACGACGGGTCCCGCCACACACACACACACACACACACACACACCCCCCCCCAACAACATCGCGAAGCTCCGCAATACGCAATACATGAAATATATCCATGCTATACACGACACCCATGATGAGATGAAGCACGCCCGCTGGATGCCTTCCTCGCATACACATCCCTTCCCTTGATAGCCCCCCCTCAAGCAGTGCAGGCATGGCGCAACGCTCGCACACGGAGAGCTGCAAGCCCGGCGACACCCTCGTCGTTGTGCGTACGTCTGCCCGACGCCCCTCCCCCTCCCCCATAGCTGCCAATGGCTCGCTCTATCCATAATCTACGCTGACTTGCCATGCAGATGAGTTCCTGGCCCGGAGTCCCGACGAGCTCAGTCTGCGGCGCGGGGACCGCATCGAGCTAATCGAGCGCGACGACGACTTTGGCGATGGCTGGTTTCTGGGCAAAAACACCGAGACCGGGGACAATGGCCTCTTTCCTGAGGGTAGGCATCTACATCTACGTGGTCCTGGTGGTGGTGGTGGTTGGTGAGCACTCTATCTGACCTAGTGCTAGTCTACACACGACCGGCACCGCAGCCTACGCCCATCCCCACGATGCTCTCGCGCAATCCATCCCAGGCATCTACGCGCCTCGAACCCCCTCCTGCCACCCCCAGCACTCCGACGTCTGAAACCCCCTCTATCCAGCCACTACCCGCAGCGAACACGCCCCCGCCCCTGAAATCTACCCCGACCGAACCGCTAAACATCCCGACCGTGACCGACTCCCCGCGCAGGACGTCGCTGCAGGCCGCGCCCAGGAGCATCAGCATGACCCTCAGCGGCGAGGTGCCGCAGGAGGATGAGACGATTGGGAGCCCCGTCATGCACGAGACGCTCAGCGTCATAGACGAGCACATTACCGATATGAGCACCCCGCGGCACAGCACGGCTGGCAAGGATCTGCGAGCCAACGACTCTGGCAGCGAGTACAGCAGCCACCACCGCCTCTCGTACATGCACGGCCAAGAAACGGACGACGAGGAGCAGAATTGGCACACGGAAGAGGAGGTCAAGACGTGGTCGCCAGCCCGCGTAGCAGAGTATCTGGAAGACGTGGGCGTGGAGAAGAAGCACTGCCATGTTTTTCGCGACCAAGACATTGATGGCGAGGCGCTGCTGGGTGTGGACCGCAATTTCATCTTCATGCAGGAGTTCGACCTGGGCCCTATGGGACCGCGCTTGCGCACCTGGATGAAAATCAATGCGCTGCAGTCCGAGGTCAAAAACGCAAAGGAAGCCGCCAGAGTCATGCATGCGGTTCCTTCGCTAGATGGTCATGATGATTTCCCACCCGACCCTGCCAGGAACCGAGCTGCCTCGACCAGCGCTGTCCTGCCTCGAATACCAACTCTGAGGGAGAGCATAGGCTCCCGAGGCACTCCCAGTCGCCAGCAGCTACCTCGTACACAATCCTCCACAGGCCGCTCCAGCATCTCGACCTTTGAAGCCACCTCGCCACTGATACAGCACATGGCTACCTCGCCTACTCTTGGTTCGCCTAGCCGGCCCTCTGCCGCCTCGGTCCGCAACATGAACCACAACAGGCGCCATTCTTCCATCGACTACAACCAGAACACACCTACTCCAGGCTCGCCCGTACCCACCATCCTACCGCCTTCGCACAAGAAAGCACCATCTTTTGACCGCAACTGGACCATGGGCGCCACACCAAAGCCTCTGCACGACTCGATGAGGCCGTCCTCTGCTCAACACACACACTCTACAAGTACGAATGGAACTGCGTTTGACGCTCGGGAAAGTGGCATGACCTCTCCTGTTGAGCTCGACAGGGGTTACTTCTCTGGTGGAGAAGTGGACAGCCGGAAAAACCGTAATGTGCTGCGAAAACGAGACAGTACGGGACACTCCCGCAATCCCAGCTATAGCAGTGACGCCGGGCGGCGCATGTCGTACAGCAGGCGCCACAGCAGAATTGCAAGCGCAGACTCCATGGTTGGGTCAACCAGTACAATGTCTCCGGCTGCGAAGCAGTACTTCGGTACTGGCACCAAGGGCGATCGCAGCTCAACCACGTTCGACTTTGTGCGACCTCTAAAACCTCCAGCCGATATGAACCCAACGGTCACGAAGCTCACTTATGACTCGCACAGCATTGATGCCATTGCAAATTCGCCCAACATGCCTGGGAGCGAGACTTCTAGCACAGGCCGGGCCTCACCTTCACCCGCCGCCCAGACACACTCACGCTCCTTCTTTAGTAAGAAATCTCAGTCGCGAGGTCTTCGAGCAATATCAGACGCCATCACAGGCGGCGAAAAGGCAAACGTAAGCGCTGGTGATGTGACAGCATCATCGAACAAAGACTCTCCAATGCAGTCACCGACTCGGACTGGTTCTAGCACGCCATCTGGCACCGAAGTGTCAAAGAGTTTCGACCTCGAAAAACCAGACATGGTCAAACGACTCACCGGCGGCTCGACCGCGACCAAGGATGGAGCCAAGAAGAAGAGTAAGAAGCACGGAACAAGCGCCTATCTCAAAGGTCGCCAGCAGATTACACCTCAGGATGCCATGGCCAATTGCGACTACAGTGGCTGGATGAAGAAAAAGTCTTCGAGTCTCATGACTACTTGGAAGACACGCTTGTTTGTCCTGCGTGGACGCCGTCTTTCCTACTACTACGCTGAAGACGACACAGAAGAGAAGGGTCTCATTGACATATCATCGCACCGCGTTCTCCCGGCCAACAACGAGCGAATGACCGGTTTACACGCCACGTTCACTCGAGCAACGTCTTCTCCTTCGTCGCCCCAGAACGCTACAATACAAACAGCAGCAGCAACGGACAGTGCTAATGGTATTCCTGGCATTGAAGAGGACGTGTCGGGCATGTTCATTTTCAAGCTTGTCCCTCCGCGCGCTGGACTACAGAAAGGCGTGCAGTTTACCAAGCCCATAGTGCACTACTTCGCAGTCGACAGTCTGGCAGTGGGACGATTATGGATGGCCGCTCTGATGAAAGCCACTATTGACCGGGACGAAGCGCTTCCGTTTACCACCACGTATCAGCAGAAAACCATTTCCCTTGAGAAGGCGCGAGTGATGCGACAGCGCCCTCCGAATCTCATGGACGAAGACGACACAGAAACTGGGTCTGCCGATAATGAAAAGAAAAGCGAGTATTCGAAAGAGAGTATCCAGGAAAGCGTCATCCATGAGGAAGACGAGAAAGGCCTTGCCATCTCAGGACTCGACGAGGCGAAAGCTATACTTGCCTATGCGGATACCAATGACTCGACGACGGAGACCAAACACGAGAGTACGACGACGGCTACGACGAGCGCGACTTGACAAACTACTTCCAAGCGGACCTTTCCTACTTTTCGAATAGTATATCCAGACTTTTTCTTTTTCAGGCTAAGGCATATGCCATTTAATTCATTTACCACGAGCGAATGGGATGCCGTCGAATGGCGAGATTAGCGGGCGTTATCTGCAGCAATACCTCCAGGCCTTGTCACGATGGAGAATGGACATTCATACCCGCCAATCTTTCTTTTATCTAATCTCTTGCATACTGATGAAACTTTACGACGGCGAATCCCAAGGAAAAGCTTAGTCAACACCTCGACCATCTTCTATGTAATTTGGAGGGATATGTAATTGTACGCATGTTTTCGGTTAAATCCTTCATCTGCCTACTTCTTGAAACTGTGCCCATTCCTGCCTTTATGTCTTGCGGGCAGCAGACTAACCTATTACTATCTCAGGTAGGAATGAGGACGCGAAAACCGCGTTCGTTGTTACATGGACGCGCTGCTACCTCCCTTACCTACAACTACACCAAAGGGATAACCCACTATCACGAAATGAAAGCACAAATTCCATTACGACGAGAAAGACACACAGCATCACACACACATACTCTCTCTCTCTCTCTCTCTCTTTTGTGTCCTCGAGATCGCTGATGCTACACTACCGCATCTCCTCCACGACTCCCATCACCATCCACCAACTGGTCGTTTCAGCCATGTCCTCTTCCTCTTCCTCCGCCTCTCCACCTTTCCCTTCTTCTTCCTTCTCATCATCTTCCTCTCTATATTCCACCCGCGAAAAATACACGCCCCCGACCTCACCACATTACCGTATAAATCCCCCTCTTCCCTTCACACGCCCTCTCCATCGTACAATCAGCACACACAACACACCTCCATCCCGCCACTCACGCTCTCGCTGTCGGACACTAGGACGCGCTGTGCTACTATTCGTTGCGCTAGCGGTGCTTGGCACGGCGGTGAATGAGTGGGTTTGTGGGACGGAGGGATCTGTGTTGAGATCTGGGTTTGTAGACTTGGAAAGTAGTAGTAGTGTTGATGATGAAGAGGGTTGGGCGTGGGGGTCTAGGCATATGAGTGCAGGAGGAGAAGGAAGCGGCTTTGTGGGTGGGGGCGCAGTGATCGGGAGGTTAAGTGAGGAAGAAGAAGAGGAAGGGCAGCTTGTAGAGGAGGATTTCGGCGATGCCGATACGGATACCCAGGATCTCCCTGTATACGGCAAGGACGTGGACGATAACAGCTATGCCTGGGCAGAAGATTCAGTTCGTGAGGACACCAGGGAAGCAGATTCCGATTCTGATTTATATCCACAAGGCGGCGACGCACATGTCAACGCGGAAGTAAATATGCAGCTCATCGAAGACGCACAGGATGAACTGAAGCCTACATCTGAGTACCAAGTTCTACCCGAAGGAACGCACAACGTAGCACCAGCACCAGTATCGGACCGGTATTGGCCGGATACTTTAGTGCCTGTTCATGAGGAAGAAGAGCCAGTGCATACGCATGTGCAGACTGGTGGGAGTGGGCTGATGCAAGTTGTTAATGAGGACATGCACAACGGTGCTGGTATGAGTGGGAACAGTGGACATGATGAGGGGGTGTTGGGAACGATGGGCGGATGGTAGCGAGGCATAGTTCTTGTGGTGGGGAATTGGTCGATGTTTGCTCTGAATGAGTATGATATTGTTTTATTAATGAGGTCCTGCATGTGGCGCGGCCTCTAGTCTAGCTATATACAATTGATAGATTCAAGCGAGTGTTTCGGGGTATCATGCCAATCAGATCCTAAACGCCATACCCAATGCCAGTGATGCTCCGTCTACTATGCAAAAATGCTTCAACACCGCCCCCTGCTCGTCGACATTCCACCGCTTCTCTTCTCAAACGCTCCGCCTTCGCCTCATCTTTGATTGGCTGTTTTTGCTCTCCTGTGGTGCGAACCAATCCCTGATCCCACACCTACCCTCCAAGCCCTTGAAGAGCTCATCGACACGGTCTAGCATCCAACCACTACGTATCCTCTCTTTCGGCTTTGCATAGCCAAGTCTGAATTTGTTCGATATCGAACAAGTCCCCACGTCGAATGAGAACTGTAGGCAGTCATCCCGGTCGTCGCATAAGGCGCGGCAATGTCCGAAAGACTTCCACGCATTACGCTCGAACTCGTTTTCCGCGGTTGAGTGATCGTGTGCGTTGTATTCCTTATCCGCCGACATGTTGTCCCATGCAGCTACCGATGCACCGATCTTGGGATGCACAAGCTCCATGAAGACATCACGGTGACGGAGGAGAACATCGTGTCGCTTGTACCAGTCCTGCTCGAACTCCCACAACTCCTCAATCTCGGCCGGCGAGACGTGGTGGTATGTGATGGTAGGGTAGCACCAGAGGTCGCGGTCGATTTTCGTGATGGCTGGGTCGAGGGTTGCGGGCGCGTCACCCTGGAAGTGCGGGAATGATCGATGAAGCGGTATTTTAACATCTTCGAGTACTTTTCCTAGCGCACAGTCACCGACCCAATGCGTCTTCGTAAATTCTTCGTACTCGTTTACGTGGGCTGAGCGGTGCTCCGAGACCTTTCGCATCGCGGGGTTGGAAAGGGCAAAGCCTGCGCCGCCATAGCCGAACTCAATGTTGTTGATGTAGAGGTGCTTGCCGATGTAGTATGGCTTGCTGCTGTCAAAGTTGCCAAGGTGCTCCAAAAGGTTGTTCCAGCCCAGATACGTGTCCGCCTCGATAAAGATGTACCACTTTGCATCCGGCTTGGTGTCCAACGCTCGATCTACCATGGGTAAGAATTTCCATTTATCCAACTTCCATCCCTCTTTATCTGTTTGTAGATAGTCACCCTTGTGCGACCCTGACATGGCGTTGATGACTTGCTGACTCTTGAGTCCAGTTCTTCCCTGCTTTTGCAAATGATTGTACATTTTGAAATCTTCATGCTCCTTCTTTATCTTCTCACTCACGCCGCCGAGGACGTCATGAACCGCATGCCCCTCAATATCCTCGTCCATATCGGAAAACACAACGAAGTGGGGCACACATCGCAGCGTTGTGCGGAAGTGCACGGGTACCTTCTCCAACGACTCGGTGGCTCCCGTGCGCAGGACAACTAGTACCTCTTCGGCAAGTTGAGATTTCGGGCAGATGAGTTCCTGGTCATGCTGCAAGGCAGAGGATTTCGAGTTTCGAAAGAAGGATGGCGAGCTGGCCTTGGTAAAGATGTTGACTATCGATACTGAGAAGATGGCACAGAGAATAAGCTGACAAAGGATGGTGCGTTGAGGCATGTCGAATTACAGATGGTACGCACAGCGCCAGGCCACGCCCACAAAGCAGAGATGGAAGGCTCGAAGAAGGAATGACTACGGCAACGGGTACGCGCCTACTAAGAAATGGTTAAAGAGTGGAGGGTTGCGAACAGGGCCAAAGCCATCGGAATTCGGCGGCTTCGTGTGCAGCAAAGAGCGGGGTGGTGGCAAGCTGGTTGTAAGTGACGAAGAGTCGGAGAGGAGATAGGGAGGAGGTTGCTCTTGAGCAAACCCACGGCCCCGGCGATCTTCATCTTTTGGTCAGACTTGCGCGAGTCCCCGCCGTGACGCGGCCGATCAATGCCTCGGTGTGGGCTCAATCATACGCTGTCCCTGCCATGGGATAGCAAGAGCCGCAGCACACGTCGTTGGCGAGTTACAAGATTGCCCCAAGTCCAACGAGGGGGGGCATAACCAATGCTCCACAGGCCAAGCACAGGAGGAGTATGCTGTCTCGAAAAGCAGCGGGATAGTACAGTTGGTGTTTTGACTCGGGTAGCAGAAATGTGCCGACGCTATGGATCCCTTGGGCTGAGTGGAGTGAAGCTTGGGTGGTGACCCCCTGCTGCGGCTTGGCGGGCTACGTCATGCAAGGATGCCCCGGATGTTTCAGGTGACCCGATCCGGCCTCGCTCGCTTGGCTCGGCATGTGAATCCACTGTGGCCGTCTGTCTCACTCCGAGCTAGCCAGCAGCATGCCTCGTTTTTGGCCTCGTTTTTGACCTCGTTTGCATGTTCAAGGGTTTCGACGACCAGATTTCCAACCGAATGTTTGTTTCTTATAGTAGCCACCGACCGATTGCCTCGACACCACATGGTCATGAAACAGGCGTGGAAAACAACAAACACAGCAGCAATATGTCTTCATTCATCCGCTGGGGGCGTCCTACATATGAGTGAGTCATCTCAGCTTTGCGGCTTCTACAGCTACATGCTTTACTCATACTCAGCGCTACCGCTACTTTTGCAGAGCTGCCCTCCTTCGATCTTTCCTCGCAGTCAAGAACCAACTAGTTAGGATCGAGCATATACTCCCGCACAGTATGGACAGATTGATGGCGTATGAGGTACGGTACCTAGGTCCGAAAACTATACTAAAGACGTGCGGTCCAACGATGCCACTTTTGAAATCATTAGCCCTACATCCAGAATCCATCCACGACTGGTACTTTGACTTGCCTGAACTGTGCACAGGCGTTGGTGAGCCCGATCCCAATCCCGGACGCCACGGTCCCCTCCAGAGCCCGAATACGTTCTGGCCAAATAACAGGATACGCGCAACCAGCGCAGGCAACCGCCACGACGAGCGCGAGATACCTGACCACGGGGTTGCTGACAGTGAGTAGGATAATGTAGCAAACGATGGTAGTGGATTCAACTATTCCCGTCAACGCTAGTCGGGCATCAGACAGCATCCAGTGTAACTTACTTCCAACAGCCGTAATCCACGGCCTAATCCACTTCCTTTGCAGCATGAACCCCAACGTATTGAGGAGCAAGAACGCGCTTATATACGGCGGCTACGACGTGTCAGTGTGCCCTTCCATCTCCCGATATTCACTAGAAATCTCACCATATTCATAAGCTGCGATTTTGCCGTCGTGGTAAATCCCAACTGGTAAATGACAGTCGGCAGCGCAAACCCAACCCCGAAACCTCCGATGCCGTGGCAAATCCAGTATAGACTGAAGGTATAAAGCGTCGGATCTTTCATCATTACCCTCAACGACTGCCAGTCCCAATGCTTTGTTCCCTTTGGCGCACTGCTCGCTAGTCTCTTGGAAAGAAACTCACGCTCGTCCTCGGTTAATATCTTTGACGTTGCAGGGTAGTCCGGTAACCACAATGCAACGAAAGATAGTAGGATGGCCGGCAGTCCCTCAAGCAAAAACAGCCACCGCCAACCCGATAATCCGCCGATCTGGTCCATGTGCGAGATCGCGTACGCGAGAAGACCTGAAAGCGCACTTGAGACCTGACCAACAGAGTAGAAGAATGCAATGCGCTGTGGCATCTCAATGGGCTTGTACCAAAACGCATAGTGATAGAGCACGGACGGAAAGAACCCTGCTTCTGCCATCCCAATTGCAAAACGCACACACATCATGCCCTTGAAGTTCATGGCAGCCGCACTACAGCATGCCGAGACGCCCCACGCCATTATCAGAATGAACATCCACCGGCTAGGCTTGAACAACTTGAGAAGGATCGTGTTTGTCGGCTCGAATAGCAGATAACTATACGAGAATATTGACAGTGACCATGCCCATTGGGATGGCGTGAAACCGAGTTGCTTCTTGATGCCGGTTCCATTTTCGAGATTGATGATGGCCGCGTTGGAGTAGTTTGCGGAATCAATAACCCGAAACACGTAGACGAGTGAGTAAAAGCCTACGAGCCAAAAGTCGATTTTCCGGAGTAATTTCCGTTCAAATTCGGAATCAATGTCTAAAGGCGTACCGGATTCGGCATCCTGAGAAGTCTTCGAGGACAGCGGTGCTGCTTCGTTCGCAATGTAGGTAAGTTTGTCTATGGGGTCAGTTGTGGTCGCCATCGTGGAAGTAGAAGTCGTTTCAAGCAACGATAGAAGAGGAACCAGAAGAGAGGAGGACTTGTGATCCAATAAGCAAGGGCAAATCCTTGGAATTGCCTTGCGACGAAAGACGACACCAGCGGGCTGGTTCAAGCGTTTTGTGCGACACCTAAGATGGATTTCCTCGAAATCATAGACCTGCAAACCGGCAGCAATTGTCCTCATGTCTATCGCGACATAGCCGCTACAATGACGATAGTTGGAATATGTCACACTGCAGCCATGAGCGGAAGCAGCCTTCCAGCCTTTATCTCCGCTATCACCAAGGTCATCGTATCTTATTCCCACGTTTCGAAGACGTGTTGTAGGGGTGTGATCACGACTTGCATCATAATTGTAGGGTATATCAGCGGGGACGGGAGGGTGGCATGTCGACGAAGGAGTTCGGTACGAGCACGCGGTCGCAGATCCGAAGCACGCAATACCAGAGGTACAATGCCGTGAGAAGACACCCAATCATGTTGATACCCCCGCACAAACAACTCTATACTTTGGATATGAGCGTGGATGCTTATATCCGACAACCAGGTAAGCATTGCTTTAAAGCGTGCGTTAAGGCCAATCTGTTTCTAGAAAATTCCGTCGTGAAACAATACTTTCTCAAATCCACATCATGGCTCCCAGCGCAATCGAAACTACCAATCAAGCAACCAACAAGCTCCTTGTCAAGCCGTGGAGCCGTCCAGAACAAACCAAAGAGGATCTTGAATGGGCGCCACTAACTACAATTGACCTTGCGCGCTTCGATGAGCCTGGAGGCAAACAGGACCTCGCACAGCAACTATATGATGCAATCACCAGAGTTGGTTTCTGGGTGGTGACTAATTCCGGAATCGATGATGAACGTGTCCTCAAGCAGTTCAGCATTGGAAACACCTTTTTCAAGGAAGATCTAGAGGAGAAGAGAAAGTTCCCCTGTAACTTTGCAGAGGGCGAGTATTTTGGATATCGCGAGAACTCCCGATGGATCGGTGATACAGGTGTGAAAGAGAACATTGAGATGGTAAGGGAAAGAAAGACGTTCAAGTCGTTGAAATAAATACTGATCGACAATTCATAGCTCAACATCCACAAAGACATCCCAGCCTGGTCCAATATTGGTAAACACCAAATTGTAGAGCAGAACTGGGACGAGATCCGCAAATTCCACAGGGACGTCCACGAAAAAGTAGCACGCAAACTCTTCATTCTCATGGCCATCATCCTCGAGCTGCCAGAAAATTACCTCGCAGACGCACACGCGTACGACGAGGTATCAGATGACCATCTGCGCTACATGATCTACAATGTCCGCTCACAGGAAGACTGGGATAAAGCGCAAGCTTACTCAAAGGGTGGTCATACTGACTTCGGGAGTTTGACTTTACTTTTCAGTCAGCATGTTGCTGGTCTACAGATCAAGACACCAGAGGGAGAGTGGAAGTACGTCAAGCCGGTCGAAGGCGGCATTACGTGTAATGCGGCGGATACGTTGACATTCTTGACAAACGGTATGTCGATTAAATATCACTCTTACTCTAAGCGCATTCACTGACAACCTAAAAGGCTTCATCAAGTCCACCATCCACCGCGTTGTCACACCGCCCCATGACCAAATCAACATCCCACGTCTGGGCCTGCTGTACTTCAGCCGACCGGGCGAAAAGACACCCATGCGAACAGTCCCATCTCCTCTCCTCGACCGTCTTGGCTTGATCACAGAGAAAGATAAAGACTCAAGTAGACCTGTGCCCACAGGAACGGAGTATGTGCGGGCAAGAGTGAAGGATGTGCATCATAAGACTGTGTTGGATAAGCGGGAAGGTACTTCGTTCCATTTCAAGGGCTTGGAGGTGAAAAATCACTACGATTAGAGGCACTAGGAGGGTTTGGATTCAGTGGCGTCACCGCAAAAAACCATGCTTCGTTATGTAGTCATTTCTGGTGCAAGGCGCTGCGCGTTTCATCTGTTTGGTATCGTTGAGTGGGTCACACTAGTCACTATATCGTCATCACATCCTCTACTTCTGTTTCATCATCTCCTTTTGTCCCTCTTTCTCGTGCCATCATCAGACATCCACTTACCGACTTCTCAAATCAAGCTTTCCTGCCTAGTTAGCGCACGCACCCCGGCCTCGTGGCGTTTCTCCCCGAGCGCCTCATTAATCTCCGGCGGGTTAATGCCCCTGACCACGGATCTTGAAAGGGCCTCATCAGCCGTTTTCCCGCCACCCTAAATGAACATCAGATTGTATTTTACTCTGCCCAACTATCAAAACTTTCTAAACTGGTCAAATGATGCACTATCACATAAGACAAGCTCATCTACCAAGACAACGATTGCGTATGATGATGGTATGGTACGACCAATGGTCGTTTCGTTTACAGCGGTGTACCACCTGTTGAGGAAATGAAGGCCTACTGACGTAGGAGATGTACAGGAACCGTGAGCCTGGTTTGCGATCTAGAAGGAATATAGTAGCAAATTTGTGAAACAACTTTGCGAAGACAGGGACCAGCATGGAGGAAATTGTGGGGTAGAGACCGGGGGCAACGATCTCAGCAACAACTCATATATGTTAAAGGCCCGACCGTCCGAATTCTCATCTCGACACTCGCTTTCTCTCGGTACATCGACTTGCAATCAGGAAGAATCGATCAAATCAACAGCTGTCCAACATGGTTTCTTTCAAGCAACTCGCTCTCCTCGCCCTAGCCACAGGCCTCGCAACCGTCGACGCCCAAAGCAGCACCGGAAAGACAACCAGGTACTGGGACTGCTGCAAAGGATCATGTGGATGGTCAGGCAAAGCCTCGGTCAACCAACCGATCCAGAGCTGCGACAAGCAAGACAACCCACTCGCGAACATGGCTGCGAAGAATGGTTGTGAGAACGGTGGCCAGGCATACATGTGCACCAACCAGAGCCCATGGGCTGTTAATGATAAGCTTGCTTATGGCTATGCTGCTGTTAAGCTCGCTGGCGGGAACGAGGGATCGTGGTGCTGTGCTTGCTATGAGTAATTTCAGCCCTCACCATCATCCCCCATTATATCGCTGACACGTCGTTTCTAGATTGGCATTCACATCCGGTCCCGTCAATGGCAAGAAGATGGTCGTCCAAGCAACCAACACCGGCGGCGACCTCGGACAGAACCACTTCGACCTCGCTATGCCTGGCGGAGGCGTCGGCCTCTTCAATGCCTGTACTAATCAATGGGGCGCGCCACCTCAGGGCTGGGGCCAGCAATACGGTGGCATATCATCGCGCGCTGATTGCGATAGCTTCCCCGAGAAGCTAAAGGCGGGCTGTCATTGGAGGTTCGATTGGTTTGCCAATGCGGATAATCCTGACGTGTCGTTCAAAGAGGTTACGTGCCCCAAGGCGATCACGGATAAGAGTAAGTGTATTAGGAATGGGCAGACGCCGACTCATTGAGTGTGTTAGGGCCTGGTGAATCTAGTTAGGTGCCCAGAAAGTACTGCTCGATGAGGATGGGGCGGGAAGAGGATTGGAGGTAAAAGGCGGACAACGAAAAGCAGACTTATTGTATATATCATTTATGAAATCGCCACTAGGATTTGAAAACACGTCTTCCTCTTTCTAGTCTTAAGAGTGTATAGTTACCACCCCTGGTCTAAATGCCTTTTTGGGTGCTATACAGGACCATATGACGATGTTGTCTAATGCTGACGTGCTGCAAAGTCGGTGGGAGTTATCCTAGGCATCGCTTACCACATCCATTTTTGCTGCCTCCTCAGAACAGAGTAAGGAAAAGATGGCTCGTATTCATGAAGTTGGCAGAGAAGCAGCAAGCATGACCAGCGCACCAAGCCCATCCATGCCCGAACACCATTCCTGCCAATTCACACTACTCTCTTTCGATCTCTCCGACTGCACCGAGATCCCTTGACCACTTAGTAACGCCTGCGGTTCATTCAATTTGACCATCTGGCCATCTAACATAATCCCAAACACGCTCGGGACCCCAACATCCCGTCTGTTTTCCAGCATCCACGAATACTCGTCACGAGCCTCCCACAGCTGTTTTCTTGCTGGCAGAGGCGCGAGAAGAAAGCCATCCTGCATAACGCATCCACGGATTGGTTCCAATGAGAAGAGCATCCGAGTGCATTTGCATACCAGGGCCAATCTAGGGGAAATTTTATCAATGACTGAGCATGTTTATCGCACCGGAAGTGGATTGTCATACCTTCGTCTTGACTCTTCGAAAATCCAATCATCCTGAGTCGGGCCATAACCAAGGCCAGAAGCCGCACCACATGGAACGTTGCCAAGTTGCTGGTAGAGCCCACTTGATACTATCTATGTTCATGTGAGTCATGAGCTGGAGCCAATGGGAGCCACGCGTTCGACATACCCACACGGTCGACAGGAGCAAGACGTCGATATTATTATACATGGTTTCACCTTCTTGTACTCGAACGAGCATGTAGATTAAGAGAGCCTGCATGGAGGAAAGAAGCTCCCACCTATCAAGCCTAGCATACTAAAGCTTTTTGTTAACCTCTTCATATCTGTTTTCGTGGTCAGATAAAAAACTTACTTCTCCCTGTAGACGCTCGCACTCCAATCTCACGTTCTTCCATAGCAACTTCCTACCCCCATGCGCACTAGTACTGACCATCTGCATGAGGCTCATGCACGTAGTGAGTGATTCCAATGACTTGCTCTCGGAACCTGGGACGTTAGATAGCGAATATGGGTGGATGAAGGGCGGAAGAGAATCCTGGCTGCGCATCATTATTGGAAATGACGTCAAGATACGGGCCATTAATATGGCTGTTGTTTGTGTTCCGGCTATGATTGCGGGATTTTGCGCGAAAGATCGCAAGTTGTGGGTTGGCATTGTCGGGATTGATGGACTGGGTATAGAAATCATCAATCCAGATTGATATCTGTTGATGGTGGGTAGATCATACTGGTTGTTTGGAGGCGTGGACGTGGTTTCCGATAGAGTTCCAAAGCTTGGGTGAATAGTTTGATCGCCTAGACTCTCAGTTCCCATTATATTGACGTCCAGCATGTCCCAAGAGAACTGTTCTTCTCCAAGGTCTATAGCCTCGAGGTCTATTGTGGCATACTCGCTTCCACTAGAAACAGTGTCGACATTCAGCGACGTCTTGGAAGTCCCATGTGGGGACAATCTTGAAGGCTCAGTTCTCACCGGACGTCTAACCCTCGGCAGTTGTTTCGAAGTGGTCCCCGACGATACTCTATTTGCAGTACTTTCAATCTGAGAGCAGCATTCAATCTTCTTCATCACACATCTCGTGCAGCTGGGAAACTTGTTATCGCATCGTGATTTCGCCTTGGCGCAAGCGAAACACGACCGCGATCGGACGGTTCGGCTGCTACTATTTCGGGACCGACAGTAGTATCCATGTCTTTTCAGCGTCGATTCTGCGCTTGTCGTAAGCTTTGTCTGTTGTCGGAATGATGCAAAGTGTAGAAACCGAAGATTCTGGTGAGATTAAACATACGTTTGTCAAATGGTTTGCTGCACAACCCGCACCGCAAGATTTCTTGGACTTGCATGTCGGCCATTTCGAATCGAAGAGCCGCGCATGATGAAGCCACGAACAAGATGTCAGTCGGACCTCGCCTCAGAATAGAGGCGTTGAGATTCGAACATTTGTCAGCACAAACTCTCCGCCCGCTTTGAGACTAGTCACGGGCGGAACATTTTGTAGGCCTACTTTAGTCTCTAACTCCTGATTCGCGGCATCAGAGTAGCAGTAACTTCTTCTCCATAACTTCATACAATGTATTGGATAAGGGATTACAGGTTGCACAACTCCGTACGTGACTTCACTGCTAAATACCTCTGGAATGTCTAATATAAAATCCACACCGAACACCCATAAGCAAAGTGTTACTTCTCAAACACTCTACCTCATCAGTTCACTACACTACTATTACCTTCTTCACCATGTTCTCCCCAACCAAGAAGTTCCACAAGACACCCTACCCATCGATTGACCCGACTCGCCCCGAGCTTAGTGCAAAAGGCAAAACCGTCATTGTCACGGGTGGAGGAACCGGCATTGGCGCAGAGACGGCAAAGAGTTTTGCCAAAGCAGGCGCCTCTCGCATTGCTCTCCTCGGCCGCCGAGAACAACCTCTTCTCGACACCAAGGCCATGATCGAAGCGGAGTTCCCTGGAGCCGAGGTGCTCGCCATCGCCACCGATATGGCCAAGAAAAACGAGGTGGAGGCGGCATTTGCAAAGGTGGGAGGAAAGGTGGATGTTTTGATCAGCAATGCAGCAGTCCTGGGTAAGCTGGGAAACGTTGCAGACATGAGCACCGAAGAATTCATGTCCGGCATCATGATCAACTTGCAAGGCAATGTCAACGTTGCCAAGACGTTCCTCAAGTACGCAACTACTAACGGCGTCGTTGTGGAGACCAACTCGGCTGCCGCGCATCTCACCATCACAGGCGGATTCTCGTCGTACAATGTGGCGAAAGCAGCCACGGCCCGCTTTTACAGCTCCCTGGCATACGAGCATCCAGAGATGTCCATGTTCAGTGTTCAGCCGGGGGCCGTGGCCACAGCTATGAACAAGGAGGCGGGGTATAAGCCAAAGGAAGAGGGTAAGGAAGCCCAATGGCAAGGAGATGGGGCTAGTGTCTTGGACGGGTATGACGATGTGAGCCTGCCGGCGAACTTCAATGTCTGGCTCGCTAGCCCGGAGGCGCGCTTCCTCAAGGGCAAGTTCCTGTGGGCAAACTGGGACGTGGATGAGCTTAAGGCGAGGGCGGAAGAGCTTGCGAAGGGGCCGCTGTTAAGCTTCGGACTTATCGGCTGGCCCTTTGCATAGACTACCTAGAAAACGTGCACTAAGCTATTTATGGTCGGTAATGAAGGATATCGTCGTAGGGCGCATCTTCCCCCCGGTCCATCTGTATGGGTCATGTGTGCCACTTTCGGTGACTCGGTGCTTTTCATGATGGATGTGCAGTGGCACCAAGACGTCCCCCTTCCACTCACACATTGCACGGCGCTTTTCCCCCCGCAGATTTGTTACTGCATCTGTTTCGCAACCCCCGCCCCAGGCCAAGCACATCACCAGGGGAAGACGTGTACATGGGCCGGACATGGCGTCGACGGCAGCAGTGGGGTACTTCCGGGCCTCGGCTACCGCCCAAGCGCAATACGAGTGAGCCAAATCCGACTTGGCGTGGCGGATCAAACGATTTCTTTTAGCGTAATGGATTCCGATCCACATGCTGTTGTGTATTCAGGGCTCGAGATTTCCTCTTATCACCGTGGACGCCATTGTGATGCGCAGCAAACCGTAGTCGATAGAGTAGGCGCCCCCGAATCCATGGCGCGACCAAGCTGGCTGTCGTCATTGACGCAGCATGGCTCAGATCCGCCGTACATGCTGCAGCTCAGGAGCTCGGATGGCTTCATCATTGGGACAGTTGCGTTGGCTGTCTTTACCGTAAGTCCCATGCTTTCGACTTTGGGTGGCAGATGTATCAAATTCAAAGAAGACCAAGCGAGGCTGACCAACGTAGGACATGTTCCTGTACGGCGTCATCGTACCCGTCATCCCATTCGCCATTCAAACACGCTGTCACGTCGAACACGATAGAGTTCAGTACTGGGTTTCCGTCCTTGTTGCCATCTACGGAGCCTCCTTACTTGCTTTCTCTCCCATTTGCGGCTGGCTTGCTGACCGTGGCTCTTCCCGGCGATCTCCGCTCCTCTTGGGCCTCCTTGCCCTCCTTGGATCAACTGTCTTGCTCAACATCGGAAACTCGACGGGCATTTTGATTGTAGGACGCATTCTGCAGGGAGCATCGGCTGCTGTTGTGTGAGTATTCTGCCCTACAGGCGCCTATGTATATATATATGTGTATGTGGAGGGGCTAACTGAATGGCAGTTGGGTAGTAGGCCTTGCTCTCCTAGCGGATACCGTACCCCAAGAGCGCCTTGCTACAGCTACGGGATGGCTGAGTCTGGGCATGTCACTTGGCATTCTTATTTCTCCCTTGCTGGGCGGAGTCGTCTACGATCATGCTGGCTATGATGCTGTCTTCGGCATGGCATATGCGCTGATTGGGTTGGATATTGTGCTCCGACTATTGCTTGTCGAGAAGAAAGTTGCCGCACGGTGGGATCCAACTGTCACAGGGCGAGGCCCTGTTACTGCGGGGGCAGAAATGAGCGAAGTTGGGACGACGTGTTCCCAGCCTTCAGACCTGGAAAGAGAGGTGCGGGCCGCTTCAGGCCAACCACAACCAAATTCTGTGGAGGCGGGTCTGCCTGGTTCGCTGAGCCCGCCCCGTCAACGTCGACGCGATCGCCTTCCACCCGTTCTATCGCTACTATACTCGCGTCGACTTCTCGCCGCGCTCTTCTGCTCCATGATCCAAGCTGCCATGATGACCTCCTTCGACTCGGTCCTCGCCATTCACGCAGCGAATATTTTCGACTGGTCCTCAACCGGCGCGGCCCTTCTTTTTCTCCCAATCGTGATTCCAAGTTTCCTCGCCCCCTTTTTTGGCTGGATCAGCGACAAGTACGGGGGCCGCTACATGGTGGCTTTGGGCTTTCTCGGCGCCTGTCCTCCCTACATCAGCCTACGCTTCGTCAACGAGAACACGATCAAGGACAAAGTGCTCGTTTGTGCGTTGCTCGCTGTGACGGGGCTGTTTCTCGCGCTTACCTTTCCCCCCATCATGGCAGAGATCTCGGGCGTTGTGGAAGCTAAAGAGAAGAGCTTGCTTGCAAGTGGTCGTCCTGGCTTTGGGCCAGGAGGTGCTTATGCGCAGGCTTATGCCCTGTTCAACGTTGCATTTGCTGCAGGAACTACGCTAGGGCCGCTGGCGGCAGGCTTCATTGTGCAGGATGAAGGGTGGGCTACCATGGCTTGGGTGATGGGAATGCTATCAGCCATCACTTCGGTGCCAGCTGTCCTGTGGATGGGGGGATGGCTGTTCCGAAAGAAGTAAGATGATAACTGCCTAGTTGAAAATTATAACCTGAAGCCTCTATCTCGCTTTGCTTATCGTCTGGCAGTGTTGCAGAAAAGGGGCGTCCAGCTGCAGCCCGGCAGATGTGGCCCTGCGTCATCGGCAACTGGCTCGTCCATGTCCAACGCCACACCTTGATCACACCTCTCTTCACTCTCTAACCCTTTCTTTGCGCTCACGGTTTCTTGCCTCGCACCATGCAACTGCTTTCGCGACAAACGTTATGCGCTCTCCCGCTCGCTGGCTAATCTCAGGCTTGTCGCAACGCTTTCGCTCGGTCCAGTCTAGGGTGTGGCAAAGCCGTCTAAAAATGTCTCGCCGAGGACCCACATGCAGCACCCAGCGCGCATTACCATACATCGATTCAGCACTAGCCCCTGCATCTCTGCAAGGTACTGGGAGACATTTCTTGCCTCCATCGCTCTCGCAGGACGACTGCGACTCGCCTCACAGGGCTGTGACGGGCCTGGCGATTGGTCGCGCGAGAGCAGCTCTACACCACACTACCAACACCAGACTGGGCCGGCCCAGCCCTTCGCCAGCATAACGCGACTTCACACGCTGCGCTTACGTCATCTCAGATGCAGCGGAATGGACGAGAACGGCTGAGCCTCCACTTCGCGTTGCTCCTCATGGTTGTCGTGCGTCTCAACAACAATTGCCCGACCGCAACCGGCAATAGAGCGCGACAAAGACCGTCTCGAACGAAGCGCAAAACACGCTTCCATAGGTGGTTGCCAAAAGGAGGTCGCAGATCGCAGTTCAACTTTCCCATGTTCCAAGGATTCTAGGAAGGAACAGGAGATTTGCCATGCATGGTTTGCGGTACTTCAGAACCGTCATCTCGAGCTTGCATTCAGCCTGTTCGCCTTGAACAAATGGATGCCCTGTCAACAGATGAATGTGTTTCAGATGCCCCAAGCGAGAGTGGTGCTGTTGACATGCGCTGTCCAGTCGTGTCCTTCACCGGCTCAGCACACAACAACTGCAGGATGCGTGCCGTTTCCCACTACCGATGCGAACCCTGAGTTCCGGATCCTTAACCTACTACTGTTGGAGGTAAGATTGACTATCAAGCCTCATGGCGGATCTATAGTTGGATCAGCAGTGGTAATCATGTCGTAGCTGCCTTTTCCCTCTATGCGGCGTGCACAGATACTTACTTGTTATTGACGCAGCCTGTACGCCACCCTTTTCCGTCTTTCTGTTCGCGGCTTTCAATTTTATAAACATCAACAATAATCTGCTATCCCAGCAACTTCTACTTGCCACGTCAATTTCGACCACCAGTCATCTCTTGTTCCTGCCTGTAAGCCTTGTTTCATCCCTGTGCGGCCCGGATCTTAAGTAGCGACCTATACGTTCGTTAAGTTAGTAGTTGCGGCTGTGTCAGGATTGGCAACTGCAAGGAACGCGTACTAAGTTCCAACTTTAGTGCTGATGCGTTGTTATCCCGCTCATCGCTAGCATTCCTCCCACCTTTATCAGGATCCCGTGTCACCACATTTTTGACTTCATACACCTACCTTAATTTTTTAATACCACTCTACTGCAGCATTATGATAATCAAGTGCGCCATCGCCGCCTTATCGTTATGCGCTTCTGCTGTTGCAGCTCCGACGTAAGTTTCGTGTACTCGCCATACTGAGGAATGCTTCTTGCCTCTATCCAGGGGAGTGGGCGCAACTGCTTGCCCCGCGGCTGCCACAGGAATGGGTGCACTTTTGGAAAAAATTGCTGACACCGTTCAGCGAGAAGCGTAGCGTCGACTTCAAATGGGGGTCGGAGAAGATACGAGGCGTCAACATTGGCGGATGGCTTGTGCTAGAGCCGTAAGTCATCTCACCAACAGCCGCTTGCGCAGGAAGGGGTTCAGGTAGCTAACATCTCAACGATAGATGGATCACCCCGTCGATCTTCGATAGTGCAAACCAGAATCGGCCACAACAAGACATCGTTGATGAATACACGCTAGGCGAAAAACTAGGAAGAGATGCTGCACAAAGTATACTTCGCAAGCATTGGGACTCGTTCGTCACCTGGCACGACTTCAATAAGATCAAACAATCGGGATTCAACGTTGTCCGCATTCCTATTGGCTACTGGGCTTACGACACCTTGGGCTCGCCTTACGTTTCAGGTGCGCGTGACTATATCGATGCTGCGGTAGACTGGTCAAGAGGCCTTGGGTTGAAAATTGTCATCGACCTCCACGGCGCACCAGGCTCCCAGAATGGCTATGACAATTCGGGACAGCGGATAGACCGCCCGACATGGCAATCCGGTGACACGGTACAGCAGACACTTCAGGTCTTGAAGACTATCTCGCAGAGGTACGCCAAGGCTGAGTACCAGGATGTTATCATCGGCATTCAACTGCTCAACGAGCCGGCGCTCTATTACGACAACCTCAGCTTCGATGTTACAAAGCAATTCTACCGAGACGGCTTCGGTCAGGTCCGCGAAGTCTCAGATACGACAGTCATCCTACACGACGGTTTCAAGCCGCCAAATAACTGGAACGGCTTCCTCACTCCATCAGACAACAACGCCCAAAACGTCGCAATCGACCATCACGAATACCAGGTCTTTAACAACGATCTTCTCCGCATGTCACCCCTCCAACATCAACAATATGTCTGTAGCACCGCTGAATCCTACAATGGTGCCGATAAATGGACCTGTAAGTGTCTTGAGTGTTCGAATCGCATATGCACTAGTTACTAATTTTGCAAAGTTGTTGGCGAGTGGACAGGCGCGATGACCGACTGCGCGAAGTACCTCAACGGCTACGGTCGGGGTGCCAGATACGACGGTACCTTCCCCGGCAGCTCCAAGGTTGGCGATTGTGGATGGCAGAACGATGTAAATCAATGGTCGCAGTCGTACAAGGACGACACACGCAAATATATCGAGGCTCAGATTGCCGCCTATGAAACCAAAACACAGGGTTGGTTCTGGTGGAATTTCAAGACGGAAGGCGCTAGTGAGTGGGATGCGTTCAGGCTTATTGATGCGGGCGTATTTCCTGCTATCCAGAACGGGCAGGTGCAATACAAGTTTGGAGCCATTTGTTAATGTCCGAATGAGTTGGGTAATTCAGGGTATGATAGAAATGGGGTGTACACAAGGAGGGGAGAAGGACATTGTTCAGGTGATTAATAAGTCAAACAGTAGCAATACTACAATACTACTACGCGAAAATACTGTCGTCGTGAACTTATTCCAGACTCCGTTTTGGGAGTGATCATTACTATTCTCCTTACGTGTCAACAGTGAGATATGCCGAGCATATGCGATCGCACAACCAACTCACCACACTCGCACAACTTCCGAATGATCCTGGTACAACCCTACGGATATGTTCAAGCGGAGAACCCCTTCTCGCTACCTACTCACTTTTCAAACAATCCAGTATAAGAGGTGCTATTACTTTCGGTACTGTTACCTCTCAGTAGCGGAGCTAGTTTTCCAGAATCTAAGTTATCAACTGGCGCTACGGGCACAGAAAAAAGACCGACATTCGCTAGGTAGGGTGCGCGGGTATCTTGGAAAACAAGCCACATGTCTGGAATTGGGGAGGGGATCTTCAGCCAAGCAGGCCCCCAGCGTATCTTGCCCGTTGCACACAGTGCGGGGAAATGCTTGGAATGATCCCGCGCCAAGCCGAATCACTATAACTTGAATAAAGCAACGCTGTATTTTCAATGATTTCATTCTGCAGATATTTTCGGATACTCGTTTTGAAGATCTTAGAATCGTATCGTTGTATTCTTGCAACGCCCGCAAAGATTAACTCGATTGCAAATATGGAGAAACACCAAGCAGTCCAAGACGAAAAGCCAGCCACGCATTTCGAAGAGAACCCCGAGCTTAGGCCGGAAAAGACACCCGCTGTTCTCGAAAATGCAGACTACACCGGTGCAGAGGCGAAGACAGATCCGGCAGAGATCGCGCTGGTGAGGAAAATCGACTGGAGACTCATGGTGTGTATACCTTACGCGTCAGAATGGGATAAAACGTCTGATGAGTGACTAGCCGACATTGTGCACGATGTATTTCCTCAACTACGTTGGTAAGAAGTCCTTGTGCGAAATTGAGTAGAGATGTGTACTTACATGGTACTTCTAATGCGATAGATAGAAATGCAATCGCACAAGCTCGTCTCAATAACCTCGAGAAGGATCTGGGAATGAGTGGGGTGCAATTCAACACCACGGTCAGCATGTTAGTATCTCTTCTTTGCAACCACCAATCCCGGAAATCCATGTCTGACGTCGTCACAGCCTCTTTGTCGGTTATGTCATTATGCAAATCCCTTCAAATATGCTCATAACTCGTATCAAGCCGGGCATATACATGAGCGCGTGGATGGCCATATGGGCTGTTGTATCAGCTTGCACGGCGTTAGTGCAAAGTTTTGGAGGGCTAGTAGCCTGTCGGTTCTTTTTAGGAATCACGGAAGTGAGTTCTAGCCCTAGATAGAGACATGAGTGTGAACTGACGAATACATGTAGGCTCCGGTACGATGAATACAATATTGCATGTTCGGAGTATTGGAACTGACCTTGAGAACGTAGTTCTATCCAGGAGCAACGTACATGCTCTCCATTTTTTACACGCGAAAAGGTGGGTTCGAGAAAGTGGTGCATGGAGCCAGTACTTACAATGAATTGTAGAGGTTGCTACACGTATTGCAATGCTCTACTGTGCACAGATTCTAGCAACCGGTTTCTCCGGTCTAATCGCAGCTGGTGTCTTTGCTGGAATGGACGGTGTCCGTGGCATAGCTGGGTGGCGCTGGCTATTCATTGTGTAAGTCATCCTCATTCTTGATACATTTGCCAACTGCTCTCTCATCTTATCTAACGTCTACCATAGCGAAGGCGCAGTAACCGGCCTAGTAGCCATCTTCGGCTTCTTTCTCCTACCAAATACACCTCTCACTACATCATGGTTGAAACCCCAGGAGCGCGAAATGGCTCACGCACGTATGGAGCGCGATAGGATCGGCGACTCGCTCGAGCAGGTCAGTATGATGGAGGGCTTAAGGCAGGCGTGCAGGGACAAGCGGACGTGGCTATTTTGCTTTATGCAGAATTTCCATTTGAGCGCCTGTTCATTCAATTCTTTCTTCCCGACGTGAGTTCACCCATTCTCCTCAACGGCTTTATTTGGTGTAGGTTTGATAACATTGAATCAGCGTCGTAAAGACCCTTGGTTTCAACAGAACCATCACCCTCGTTCTTACATGTCCGCCGTTTATTATGGCTGGCGCAGCAGGCATCTTGACGGGATGGAGTTCTGGTCGCATGCATGAGCGTACTTGGCATATAACTGGTGGGCTTCTTGTTGCTATTGTGGGCTTCGTTATCGCAGCCAGCACATTGAATACCGCAGGACGGTATATAGCCTGCTTCATCTTCCCAATTGGCGCATACTCCGTCAACTCGGTCATTATCGGTTGGGCATCTTCTACTCTAGGCCAAACAAAGGAGAAGAAAGCGGCAAGTGCACATCACTCCCGCGCGAGTTGTTTTGGTGCTGACTTCAAGTAGGTTGTACTTGCTATGACGAATGTTGGGGGCCAGATTGGCTACATATATGGCGCGTATCTGTGGCCAGACTACGATGAGCCACGGTACGGTATTGGCTTCGGCGCATCCGCTGCATTTGCGCTATGTTCGATTGCTTGCGCTTGGGTCATCCGTACGATGCTTATCATGGAGAACCAAAGGCTCAAAGCCTCAACGAATGAGCGTGTCAATCTGTACGGGTACTGAAAGGTTAGCTATTCAATATTGATATAATGTACTTTAAAAGTGAACTACTATCATGAAAACTATTTCAAGCTTCCAACACTAATCTATTAATAACTTTCTTTGATATCGATAAAAACGACTTCGCCACAGGTGGATCCTGTTCCACGATTACTTTAAGATGAATATTATTCCACCCCGGCGTTACTTCGTCGAAATGCTTATTCCCAATGCTGAGTTCTCCTACTGTGAAGTCGTTATCGTAGAGCTACCTCGGACATTCTCTCGCGATCTGGTCGAGAAACGCGCTTGAGTAGAGCGTCCATTTCCTGGGGAGAAACCCCAAATTTAGGCGTTCACGTCGCCGCAACTTCTTGCCAAGTCGATCCTCAGACTTCTGTGCGCAAGTTTCTTTCGCCCTCGCTTTAGTATCAGGGTGCCGACGCCACTGATTCGTGGTCCAGGTGTTGGCACCACGTTGCTGAGGTGCTGTTTCCGAGCAGCTGGCGTTTGAGGGGAAGACGCAACAGTGGAGGTCATGTTTCCAAGTAAATGAAGAGTTTCAATCAGGATACAGAATATCGCCAGAAGTGAAGGGCATATGATGGAGATATATATATATTTGTGCAGTTTTCTAGGATGCCAGGTAGATAGCCTTGGAAGTAGGTACCGCCTAGCCATCCAAATCTAGGTGTACGGGGTACCAGGGATATTCAGGTTAGAAATCGCGGTCGACTTTTACTCGCCTCAATTCCGTCTTTTGATAACGTGCTGAACCTCGGTCACATCTCCATTGGCATCAAGTCCGAAGGCAGTATAATGAATGCGGCTATCTGTGTCGGACTGATGTTCAGATTCCCTAGATCAAAGTGTGAGTTAAGAATCTTCAGCAATATATGTGTTGTTACGAACTTCATAGCCACTCTCGTCGTATCTGATTTAAACTGGCCAAGATTCTCCTCCACCGCAGCAACGAACCCGTTTTTCACACCGAAGACGGAAATTGGCCTGGGCGAATCCAAGTAGTTGTCTTGGTGACATATTCTACAGCCAAGGATTTGGAGCCGCTCTGGACGGTCGTAAGAAATGTGCTGGCTATGGAGTGACTCGACATATTTAACGAGAAAGCAATCTGGATAAAGGCAATGACATGGGAAGGGAGGTATGCTAGTTCTATGCAAAAGAAGTGCGTATATGTGGACGAGTGAAATAACGATCTGCGATGGAGTGAGTTATTTCACAGTTATAAGGACCGGAGAACATCTACCAATTCAGGGAGTTAAATGCTTGTAACAGCATATCAAGGGTACGCTCGGCATCCTATAGGCCATACAACTCAAGTGTTGATGAATCTGGACTAATGATGTAAAGTCGGAACACGATATTGCTAAGGTAAAGTGGCCACGCCGAATTACCAGCGCTTAAAGAGGCACAGAATGCCGTGTATGTGATATCGTGATGAGACGTACCTCACTAGCATGCCAAGATAGAGACTAAAGGGTTTTATGCGCCTTGTCTCGTGGGTCTTGAGTGTTGTCTGAAAATATGGGCCTATGCTGTATCAGTGACTGCTGTCTACATTAGACAATGATTGGGGGTCAATAATTTTCTGTAGTAGTCTACTGATAGTTGTATTTACAGGTTATGCGTTACTAACATTAGATTCCAGTGTTACTGCGGTGTAGTTGGCGCCGCATGGCAGAAGATGGCGGAGAAAGTCACGAAAGCTCTATTGGAAAAGGTATGTGAGGCACAAGCCTTTCACGCCTTACAGAGAATTAGAGCGATATAGAATGCACTCTCGGGCTGTACAGTGTGAATGTGAATGCATATAACCGGGTGCGGAAAACGCGTGTAAGAAAAGCTACGTGCACGCCAAGCCGTTTGCGTGGCCCACCACGCTACTAAGGCTTATCAGCTAATAAGCCACTCTACCCAATAAGCTACCTTAATATTAAAATAAACTAAACACAATTTTTTTAAACCGCGATATATTTACTACTAATAATCTAATTTTAAATATAATTATAATAATTAATTTATAAAATTTTAAAAAATAATTTTTATACCGCGCAGCTGCAAAAATATTTAGTATTAATTAAACTACTTTAGCGCGCTAATACTAAGGGAAAATGCAATTAAATATAAAAAAAGTTTAATAATAAATATATTTTAACTTATAATAAAAATTAAAACTTGTATAATATATACAAAGTTTATTTAAATATAGGCTTGTACTTATAAAAGTTATAATAAAAAATTTTGCTTTTAAAATTTTAAAATAAGAAGTTTTTAATATATAAATTTTGCAATTTTTAAAAAAATATTATAATATTTTTACTTTTAAATATACTACTAAAATTAATTATAAATAGCTCTTTGCTAATACTAAGCATAGCTATAAATTATATTTTAATTTTTTTTATTTAAAAATCTAAGAGTATAATATTAATGCGCGCTATATTTATAATATAAATAAAAATTTTTTTTTTATTAGTATTACTTTATATTTTAAATAAGTTTTTTTAAAGTAACTTTAGAAGCAAAAATAAATTATAACAGCTTTATAAAATAGTAATTAAAAGTAAATAATAATTTTAGTATATATTTATGCAGATAAAAGCGCAGTAAATTTAAATATAGTTTTTAAAAAAAAAAAAATTTTTTATAATACTTAGTTACGCGATATAAAGGCTAAAAAATATTAAATTTTTTTTATAATAAGTTTTTTTAAATAGTTTAATAATAACATTAGTTTAGCCTAGCTTAAATAAGTTTTTAATTAGCATATAAAAAGCAAAGTGTAAATAAGTTATAAAATTTTTATTTTTAATAGCTATAGTAGCTACTTTACTACTAATTTTATAAACTTTTGTAACGCTAATAAAAATTTTTTAATAATATTTTTTTTTTATTTAATTTATAGCTTATAATTTTTAGATATAGTACTTTTTTTATTTTTTTTAACTGCTTATTTAACTAAGCTTGCGTACTACTTTTATTACAGCTAAAGTTTTATTTTTATAAATAAAAGCAACTTTTTTTTATTATTTTAAGCTGCCTATAATATTATATTTATTTTTATAAATAACGTATTACACAGGCAAGTTAGTTGCCTAGTCGAGTTAGTTACAATGCTAAGACCCTACTAAAATTAGTAGTTTTCTACTATTAAACGCAATGCTTTAACACAATAATATGCAATTTTTTTAAAAAAAAAACTAAATATAATTTATAGTTTAAGCTTTAAAATGTAATGTAAATTTTTTTTAATAAAAAGCTGCGCAGATCTACAGCGTCTCTTAAACAATACTTAGTAATTAACTAAAAAAAAAGCTTTTATAATATAATATTAGGCTTAATAAAATAAAGCTTTTTTTAATAAAAAAAAAAGTAATTGCTTAGTATATACTTTACTTTAAAGACTAAGGATTTCTGCCCTAACTAGCTGCTATAAATAATATAGCTAATACTTTGCTAGCTAAATATAAATAATTACTTATTAGCAGGAATTAAGCTAATATATTTATTAGATAATATCTACAGCTTAGTACTAAGACTTTTTAAAAATATAACTACTAAAAAGCTTTATATAAAAATCCTAAGCTTATATAAGGCTAATTCTAACTTATAAAAAATATAAAAGCTAAGTATAGTATCTAAAATAAAAATATATATAATTTTAATAAAATAGGTTTTATAATAAGCTAGATATTACATAAAACTATTATTTTAAATACTAACTATTAAGAACAGCCGAAGATAGTGCAGCAGAGTAATTAAAAATAAGTAATAGTAATTTAAAGCATTAATATAATAAAGTAAGCTATTTTATTTTTTATTATTTTTATAGGCAAAAACTACTTTTTAGCTTAGTATAAAGAAAATAGCTTACCTTATAATTAAATTATTGCAGTTTTTAAAAATAGCTAAATAACAAATAAGCTTACTTTTAAATAGTTAAAGCACTTTAATAAATATACTAAAAAAAAATTATTAGTACTTATTATCTGCTTATTATTAATAGTTATAAAAGCTATATATTAGTCTAATTCTAGCAGTACTATAAAAAATAAAAAATTATTACTTTTTATATGCTTTTGCATTTGTTGTACTTACTATAGCTACTTAATATAAGTTATTTTGCGCTTTTAAAAAAGGCGTATAAGTATTAAGCTAAAAAGCTAATACGCAATAGTATTAACTATATTACTAAAATTAAATTTTTATTATGCTTTAAACTAGCTTTTAATGCTATTATTATAAAAAGCAATATTTTAAGTAGCTTTAAAAGCGCTAGTTTAGTTTTTTTTAATTTTAAAGCTATAATATTAAAACTTAATATTTAGTTGCGTATTTTACTACTACTTACTATTAAAAATAGTTTTTAAGAGTTAAAAATACTAAATAATATTTTAAAATTTAAGTTTTAATTAATGCTAGTTAAGACAAGAATTTAAAGGCACTTAAATAGTTCTTTTACTTTAATAATTAAAACTTTTAAAAAAATTTTAAAAAGTGCAGCTATAATTGCGCATAAGCTTATATTAGTGCAAAAAAAAATTGCTAAGCTTTAAGCAGCTAATAAGGCTACTACGCAATAAAAATTATATAAAAAAAAGTAAATATAAAAAAAAAAAACTTTTATAGTAGAAAATAGTTTTTAACTAATAATTCTAAAAAAATTTAAAGCGCGTAGTAATAAAAAAAAAATAAAAAAGTAGGCGTATACTAAAGCAAGTAAGCCTTCTTAAAGGCGCTATAAATACTATAATAAGGCTAGGCATAATATGCAAATATATAAGCAAAAAGTAAAAGTAATTTTTAAATAAATTAGCTTATTATAATTTACTGCTATAGTTTTTTACAGTGCTATACTGTTGTGCATAGTACTAATTTTAGTAGAGTTTTAGCATTATAACTAACTTAACCGGGCAACTAACTCGCCTATATAATATATTATATAAAAAGTATTTAAAGCTACAAGCGTTAAGCTACTTAATACTAATATTATATTATAATAATTTAAAATATAATTATAATAAAAAAATTAAAAATTAATAAATAGAAAAAATAATAATAGAAATACTTAGAACTAGCTCTGCAATTTATTTAAAATTACTATAAAAAATAAAGCAAAAATTAAAGCTAAATAATTAAGCTTTATACTATATTTTTTTTAAGTATAAAATAAGCTTTTCTACTATAAAAATAAAAGTCTTTATAATGCGCTTTTAACTAAAAAAAAGTATAAAAGCAAAAGTAAACTTTTAAATTTTTAATAGTATAAAAAGTTTTATAGCGCTATAGTATTTTAAAGTTTAAAAACTATTTAAAAAGCTTACGCGCATAATATAGTAAAATAATATAAAAATAAAATTAAATAATTTTAAAAAAAAAAAATAAGAAAGCTAAAAGTAGTAATAATATTATATAAAAAGAAAATTATAAAAAAAGTAAAAGTAGTATAGTTATTTACTAAAAAGCGCGCTATAAAAAAGCATATAATAATAATTTAAAAATAAGCTACTACGCGCGCGCAAAAGTAATAAAAAAAAAAAGCTATAACTTTATAAAAATTTTATAATAAAGCAAATAAATATAAATAAATAATTTTATATTTTATAAATTTAAATGCAGTAAAGCGTTATTATATTATAAATACTAAAAGTAGTAGTTTAAATATATTATAGTTATTGCTGCTTTTATTTAAAACTACCGCGCGTAGCTGCTAAATTAATTTTTTATAAAAATTTAAATAGTATAAATTAATTGCAAGCTTTTATTTACTAATACTTTAAAAAATTTTATAATAATAACTTTTATTAATAGCTTTACAATTTTATTTTTGCAGATGGCTGACTTTAATTAAGGTAGCTTATCGGGTGGAGTGGCTCATCGGCTGATAAGCCTCGGTACAGTGTACGCGCTGGTACCCTTCTTTTCGCTCTTCCCGACTCGTCGCATGTTCACCTTCACAACTGCTTCCTCCATCTATTCCATGCCTAATCAACAGGTCTCTTTCCCCAACCTTTGCGGAGTCTGAAGAATTCGTTCAACAGTCACAATGTCTGCCACTACGCGAGCCGTGGGGCAGTCAGGCCGGCGCTATCTAGTTGAGCGGATTCTCCAGGACAAGCACATGCCGCACGGTCTTGGGCGTGTTTATCTGGCTTTGTCAGTTCAACCACCACTATGTCTACAACGATGCGGCGATAGCTTATACGCCGTATAGGTCAGACAATCAGAAATACGTACTGAAAAAACTCAGCGCGACGAGATATGCGTACCTGGAACCTTTGTACGACGACGTTCGTAGCTCTCCCTACGTCCGTGTAGCCGCAGACGCCATTCCTGACGAATCCATGTTTGCATATACCTACTTTAGAGGTCACCTTCTTGGGTTTACCGACAAGGACGTTCCACTTTCTATCACAAAGCAGATTTTGAAGGACGCCCTTCGCGGCATTGCAGCACTACACCATAAAGATATTGTCCACACTGATATTAAACCGGATAATATTATGATCAACTGGACTGAGAAGAACGACGGCACTATTATTATTGATAGGGTACAGGTAGCAGATCTTGAGGACTCTGCCTACGTCCCACCGGACTGTGATATTATTGGAAGACAAGTTGGAAACTGGATGTGGCGAAGTCCAGAAGCACATGCGTCTGGTGCGGTGCAGAAGCCAACAGACATATTCTCTTTTGGCATTGTTGTACGCTCTGTCCTCTGACTGCTTTTAACTTGGCCTAACTAACTATAACTTTTATAGTGTATCTATGCTATTACAAAGCATATAATATTTGCTGTCACTGATGAGGAACTAAATGAAGGAGAGGAGAAACTGGCTGTCGTTCTCGAACGCCAGGTCTCTTATTTCGGCGACATAGAGGGAATGACTGGGTTGCTTGAGCATCTTAAGGACAACCCTTGGGTCGGCCTGTATACCCTGATACTGCAAGCATTTGGCAAAGAAAATCGTCCTATGCAGCCAATTGAACGCTGGGAAATGCTTGAGCCAGACTTCAAGGATCTAGTCAAACGAATGACGAGCATGGATCCTGGACGACGGCTGACTGCTTATGAGGCTCTAGCGCACCCTTGGTTTGCAGATGTTCCTTGATAGATTAGTAGATGGCTACCTAGCTAGGCCCAATATGTACAATTGGAATCTAAGTGTACAGCTTATAAACCAGACAGCACTATCATGCACTTTACGTGGCAGGTTCTCTCTTTGGTCTAATTATGCATGTGTGCATCATATCCTTTTAACCTTATAGGTATTTCTTCTTAAGTGCGCATTCGTCTTGCCAAAGCTGTTCAAAATTTGGCATTCAGTAAAGGAAACAATCACCAGTTTAGGTAGGTTATGTCACGGCACAAACTCGGTGTCACTGCGTAGCGTACCTACTATGCGTTAAGCAGTGCGCAGCTCCATAACAAGAGACTAAATAGACAAAGGAGGCACAGTATAAATGAGCTTGTAGCAGATTATAACGGAGAATCTTCAGACAGGGGGAAAATTTAAAAGTTGTCTTTGAATTCTTTTACACTCCGTGGAAAGAACCGCTATTGGTACCAGTCTCGAATCGTAGTTCGCACCTATGAATCCTTCTGCAAGTCGGCAATCTGCAACACAGCCTTGCCAAAGTTCTTGCCTTCCAGCATACCAACGAAACCCTCAGCAGCATTGTCAATGCCCTCGGTGACACTAATCGTCGCCTTGAACGTGCCTTCACTGAGCCACTTCTGCAGCTTCTCCTGGTGCTCCTTCGCGTGCTTGGGTCCCATGTTCGCATCGGAAACAATGAAGCCCCTGATCGTCAGTCTCTTGGCAACGATAGACATGAGATTCCGGAAGGGGTACTGTTCGCCAGGCTTCAAGTTGTATTGACTGATCATACCGCAGGCGACAATGCGGCCAAAGTTGTTCATGGCGTTGATGGCAGCTTCGAGCTGTTCGCCGCCAACGTTTTCGTAGTAGATGTCGATTCCATTGGGTGCGAGGCGTGCTAGCGCATCGGCTGGCTTCTCCTTCTTGTAATTGAACCCTGAGTTGAACCCAAGCTCCTTCTGGATGAATTCGAGTTTCTTATCGTCACCTACGCTGCCGATAACGGTGAGGCCTTCATGCTTGGCGAGCTGGCCGACGAGCTGGCCAACGGCGCCGGAGGCTGCGGAGATGAAGATTGTTTCGCCCTTCTTTGGCTGACCAATTTCGTAGAAGGATGACCAGGCTGTTAGGCCGGGCATGCCGAGGGGACCGAGGAAGAATTTGGGGTCGAGGTTGTAAGGATTCTCCAGTTTGAAGCATAGCGCAACTGTGTTCTTGTCAAGGACAGAGTATTCCTCGAAAGGAGTTATGCCTTGGGTACTAAGCGTCTCGCCTTCCTTGAACTTCTCCGAGTTTGACTTTACTACCTTGAAGATGCAGCGGTTGGTAATGGGCTTTCCGAGCTCAAAGGGTGGGGAGTAGGACTTGGACTCGGCGGCCCGCATGCGTCCGCGCTGGTAGGGGTCGAAAGAGGCATAGTAGTTCTTGACGAGTAGAGCGCCCTCTGGGAGCTCCTGGTCGAGGTCGATGGGACGGTCTTCAATTACGAGGTCCTGACCTGGCTTCGGCCATCCCTCGGGCACCTTCTTGAAAATGAGACCCTTGTTTTGCACCATGGTGATGGAATCTGTACGTCGCGTATGTGGTAAAGGAACAAAGTAGCGGGGTATTTTAGGACAAGAATGTGAGTGGAAAGGGTACTGTAAATTGTGTGGACTCGAAACAGAAGACTAGCAGTGAAGAGCACATACATATACTCGCGGCACCACCTGGCTTAGAAATGCGAAATTATGCGCTGCGACGAATTCTGATTGCATCATAAACAAGGGTCCAGCAAAGCCTTGCACTATCGGGCAGAGACCGGCGAGCAAGTTCGTCCGACTCGACCAAAGAAACCTCGGTTTAGAGCGAGCTTTCGCGGAGCACAAAACTCAATGCAGCCAGATTCGACCAGACTCGAACAGCGTGGAAGACATGACGATGCAAAGCGTCGGAAGTGGTACCGTTTGGGAAAAGTGGCCGTAGAATATGTATGTAGGGTTGAACCGAGGCAAGTGGGGTAGGAGATTGGTCATGTAGCGTGGTGATCAGGGCCAAAGAGCCGCATGTCGAGATAATGTGCTGACGTGCATTGCTTAAATTGTGTAGCCTGGTGGTTGGTCGCATGGCTACTAGAGAGGGGCGCCCAATTGCTACATATCGTGAAGCTGCATGACACTCCCATCATAGAGCCAGCATTTTATCACGCAACAGCGAGCTGAAGCGGCTCCCTTGTATGCTTTCTATCCATCAAACGAAGACTCTATGCTCAAGGTCTTAACTCTTCCGAGCTACAGGGTCCCTCAATCACCCACTCGTCTTGCTAATGGATTAGAAGCATCCCCAACGTTGCCTACCACTCTGTCGAGGAATAGTATTCTTTATCCCAAGAGGACTAGTCCTCATACGCCTTTCCATCAAACACATTATCCAGCTCTTCGTCCAGATCCTCCTCGGGCTCCATGACCTTCTCAATCAACCGCAACGTCGCGCGAAGCGGTAAGCCGACTACATTATCGTACGACCCTTCTATGCGTTCGATGAGGATGGAACCCGCCGTTTGAATACCATAGCCACCAGCTTTGTCGTTGCCGTCGCGAGTGCGTACGTAGGCCAGGATAAGTTCGTCCGAGACTGTGTCGTGTCAGTCATGTCAGTCACGTTATTGTATCGACGAGGATGTGAGACGGCGAGCGGTGCATACCATTGGAATCAAACTTTACAGTCGTTTCCTCAACATGTGTCTCCATCTTGTATCCTGGCTCCACAGCGCTCTCTAGTGGTCTCATGACCGCTACCGCCGTCATGACCTTGTGCTCCCCTTGATCACGTAGCATCTTCAGCATATTTAGATGATCGACCTCGCCCCGTGGCTTCTCTAGAATCCGGCCATCATGCGAAACTATTATAGTATCGGCGGAGATGATGATGGCGGGCTCGCCCTTCTCGTGATTGTCTATTTCGCGCTTGTATACGTCCATTGCTTTTGCCGACGCGGTTTCGAGTACGTAATTCAGCGCGCCGAGGGAGTAGGGCAGGTCTTCGGCGAATTTGGAGGGACATATGTCGATTTTGTACAGCCCAATCTGACCCCAATCAGCCATTGCAATGTTGGGACGCGCGAGGCGTAATTTACTTGTGCTAGAAGCTGTCTTCGCCGCGGAGAAGCAGAGGCCAGCACAACTCTCTGCCTTCTCAAGTCATTCAAGTAGGGTACATCCAGCGGCGGGGGAGGCCCAGGTGGCGGCTTTCTCGCTCCTGGTGTGGCTGATGGTGATTTGCTGTCTGGAATAGGTGATTTCCGTGCATCTTCGTAGGACGGTGGGGGTTCGACAGGAATTAATTGCGCCGACATTACAACGACTGCGCCGTGAGAAGACTGGACAGAGATCTGAATAGCGTGAAGCTCTGCTGGAGTGATATCAATTAACGAGAGTAAAGAAGGCTGGGTTGAGAACGATGTTCATGTGGATTCAGCTGTCATTGCAGTTCCGAAGCTCTAGCGGAAGGGGAAGGGGAAGGCCCAAGCTCCTCCAATGCGCCACTTCCAAGGTTGTGGGCTAGTTTCGATTCTACTACCTAGTAGAGACTCAAATGATCCTTTGCGCCGCGCGCTACATAATGCAGATCCCCGTAATCCCGTATTCCGGGGCATACGAGAGCATCACAGTCTATTCATAGTGCCCTCATACCTATCCTTAGCTTCAATCGATCGAATACGAGGTTGCTCAATGTATAGGCTACCCCAATATAATACTATTTCTACAGCGTCCACTATGGGTTGCTACAGCACATATGATATCGGGAGCATGGTGACACAACGATTGAGCTTCACAATTCTTAAAAAAACTTCTACTACCTGGCAAAATTATCATTGTGTGTGTTATAGCTCTCAATCGTTCGCTACCCATAACGCATTGGTCAATAGGGCCTCCTTCATGCTATCAGATCCAATGTAAAAAAGAGGTTGAACAATATATGACGGATGCTGATCAATGTCGATCCTATGGCAAGGACGCCTTCAGATATGCCCCAATCAGGGTTTTAGTCTGTCCCTCCAACTACGCAACCAGACTGGGACCATGCTCACAAGGGCAAGAGAAATCAAATTCCTCGGTCCAGCCAGGCCAGACTATGCAATGAAAAACTGGAAAGGAGGAAAAAGACTTCTTCGAAAAGAAGGACGCCGTAAAGCAGGGTGGATGTTCCACCTAGTAGCTCCGCTATGCGCGTTGAGCAACGCGTAACTAACGCAACGCCGGAGGGCCTTGTAGATCTTGGCAAGGAAACATCGTCCTTGCGATATGTGCAATTCGCTTTTAATGTTAATCGATTATCATGGTGAGGCATCTAAGGTTTCGCGGCAGAGTCTATGTTTGTTAGCTGAAGTCGAAACAAGCGACGGCTCTTTTCGTACACTTTGTAACTCCTTTGCTCTTAACCTCATCACACAGCCTTCAGCGCATGTGCCACAAGGATCGGAACCGAAATTGCTGTAATAAGACCGACATTGATACATATACCAGCAATCAGCGCAGCCCTCTTAGACTGTGGCGTGCAGTGACCCAGTCGACCCTCTGTGAGCGAAATCATGATCGAATCTCCCCACGTGCGAAAGAGAAAGATACAAGGCGGTAGAAGGCAGAAAACAGCAAGAATATACCATGACAGCTTGCGTCGGCGTGCCTCGTCTTCGGGGTTGACCTCTCGCTCTGGGCAGAGTAGGTGAGGTGAGTGTTCGTGAGCAATGACAGTCCGAGCGATAGCCGGGTAAGTGTCAATGCTGAGACGCGTTGAACGTAACGGCGTGTTGGTGTCGCTCGTAGATGGACGTCCACTGCCATTCACGAAGCGAGCGAAATGAGTATCCTGACTAGACATAGTAGCTCGGCCTTCAGGCGCGAGGACCATTTGTCTCAATTTCGTCTGGCCCGGTACTGCAGCACGGCTCGCACGGCGTGTACGCTGGAACGTCGTAGAGCATCGTAAGGGTTGGCGATGGTTCGCGGCTGCAAGTGGAGAACTCTCTTGAGCCGGCTCCAAACTGTATGCACTCGGGAAGAGAGTAATCTGCGAAGGTGTCCGTTCATGTGGCGGCTCGGGTGGAGGCTGAGAGTCACAGATTCGGGTCACACTTCCAGTTGCTGGAAAAGGAGATGCGTAGAAGCCAGTGTAGTCGGAGCGGAAGCTTTGGCGGCCAATGCTCGAACTCAGCTTCAGCCCGGGGCTGCTAGTGTCTGCGACGCTACTGCCAGTCTCATGCATGCCGGTTCCTTTTGGTGTACCTGTGAGATTACCTTTAGGTCCAACAACGGAGAACTTCTCGAATGTGTTCTCGCGCTCCAAACCAATAGGGCTATCGAACACGCTCTCATTAGAAATTGGTGCGATCGCACGACCTCCCTGCTTGTAGCTAACACGATTTGATGGATTAGGAACACCAAACTCATCATCTATAATGATCTTATCATTGGGACCTGAAGCCAGCAGTTCCTGCGTCTCTTTGTCGCTAAAAGCATAGGGATCTGCCCAAGGTGTGAAGGCATATGGCTCTTCGACAGCACCGCGGCCTAGGATTTCCTCGGGTCGAACGGAAAATCGGAATAAAGGGACCGTCGATGAGGCTGGAGGGCTAGAAGCCAGAGGAGGGGAAGAAGCCTCAGGTGCTGTTCGAACACTAGCGCGTGTTTCTAGATCCGGTGGCGATGAACCGAACGGATGGGGATGTGTCCGCAGAGGGCTTGGGTGGCTGTAATGTGAACCACCTTGAGAGTGATTTTGCTTCGCCCAAGACGGAAGCGAGCCTTTTGAGCCGAGACCTAGACTATTTCGAGTGCCTTCACTGCTGCTGTAGTCGGCGATGCTATCAAGCGACCCCCGACCTTTTTGACTATCGGCAGCAAGAGTCTCCCAATCGCCTTTGTCTTCTTCAACGACGCGGACGGCAGGCTCAAGATCCTTCCTATCTCCGGACGATTGGTTCGTAATCTTCTTACTAAGAAGAAGACTGCCTGAGCTACGTCTGACCCACATCGCTGGAATCGTAGGATTACTTTGCTGATGCTCGGTGACTACATCCTGGAAAATTTGGTCGGCTTGATCGAGCGCTTCTTGTGGAGTCTGTGGGGTAGCCTGACCCCCCGCCTGAGAGTAAGACGATGAGGGCTCGAGTGCCTTGACCTCAGGCTGAGAGTATGATGATGATGGCTCAAGACTTTGGTGGAGGGCCTGTGGAAAAGAAGCCTGGGACTGTGGAATCTGTAGCAAATTCCGGGTGTCTCCATATGAGTAAGATGATCCGTTGGAGAAAATCTCAGATATTCCTGGACGCGGAGGATTCGAAATTGCCTCTTCATATTCAAAGGCTGGCGCGAGAGGAGCCGCTTCTCGCGGAGGTGAACCGAGATCTCGGGTAATTGTAGGCCGCCTAGCAAGAACATGTTGAATAGGACCGACAAATTCGTGATTACAGGCCTGTGGTGCTTTCTGACGCAGATCAAATTCGAATTGACTGAGACCAGAAGTGACTCTCGATGGTTGACGACGATCAGAGTCACCGGGCGGAGAACTGCCCATTTCATAAACATTTGCAGTTTGCTCGTGACTTAGGCACGAAGAATTGCCTACCATCTCTTCGGGGTTATATTCGTCAATCAGTTTGCTAATGGTGTCGGCCTTTGCATCTCCTGGATCGATGGAACGATGGTACAAATCCTGCGTGAGAGGCCTCGACATCTGACGGCTACCCATACGAGCGCTATCATATCCATACAGGCTTTCGCGGTTATACTCATTCGCGAAGCCACTTGCATCAATACCACTGTAGCGTGCGTCGAAAGGATTGCTCTGGCGATTGCTGCCAAGGCTTTGCTGATAAATTGACTTGCGTTGATCATCCCCGGTGTATATTGATGAGCTAGGATATATGGAATCGAGATCATCGTAGTACGGCTTTGAAAGCGTGCCTTCCTCAGACAAGGAGAATTGCGCGTTGTCTGTCCGCCCCATCTGTGTGGAGGGAGCATCTGGTACCATAGATGTCAACGGCGCCATATCGTAGTGTTTTATCGAATGTTTTCGCGGAAACTCGACTTCATGCTCCTGAGATGAAAATGTAGCCGACTCTTCGGGAGATGTAGGGCTGGTAGGTGTGATTGGTGATACCTGACTGGCCGGGAAGTACGAGGCCTGCGGCGTGGCAACGTAACTCTGAGTAAGTGGTCGTGGATACTCGCCATCCATATCAATCGACGCGAGACTCACGCTGGTGTTGCGCAAATCCTGCAACTCCTCCCCATTGGTGTCGATGGGGCTTTTGCCTAGCTTCTTCGTTAAGGTACGGGTGAGATGCCTCAATGAAAACCGTGTTTCATTCGTCGGCTTCGTGATCAACAATGGAGAAGGAGCATTGATGGACTCCGGGCTGTAGATGGGGGAGGTGTATGCAGAGGAGCTCGGACTGATCGCAGCCGGCGTTGGGGGAAGCGGGAGGTCGAGAATTGATCCGCTGAAAGAGTCGTCTGCGCGTCTCATGATACCAGCATGCGCTGAGTTGAGATCGCCGTACAAGGCTCGCTTCGGTGCCATCTACATCTAGTTAGTTAAGTCAAGAGTCGAGTTGGGGAATATGTTAACCTCTGTAGATACCAAAAGTGGCTCCTCAGAAGACCGCAATGGAAGAAAGTCACTCGAATCGAAATCTCTCGAAGGCGTGACAATTTCGTGGAGTAGTAGTGAGTCGTGAGGGTTGACCAGGTCGAAAGAAGCGCCGCGGTAGTGGATAATTGCTGGAGTTGCCGGGGTTGCAGGTGGTGTTGCGGGCGCGGTTGTGGAGAAGCGAAGCGTGTTTATATGTGTGCCCTCCCTTTCATCGCTCGGGGGAGAGAATGACGGGTCGGCAAATTGGGGCGGTTGAGGGAACCTGGACAGAGAAAATGTCGAGGGTGTGGGCGTAGATTGCGCGTCGCTCGCGTGTGAAAGCTCCGTAGAGAAGTTCAAAGCAGTAGGAGAGCGCCGGGGGTGCGAAGATTTCACATTTGCATGAGGGAGGGGAAACGATACAGGACCTGTGGCCACAGGCGGCCTCGGCAGCCTTTTTCTTGAGTTGAAGTGACGTACCTTGCCAGACAAGGTGACAGTCAAAGTACTCGATGTGCTACCGCCTTGCACACGAGGTTCAGCTGACTGCGATCTGAAGGAAAGATCGGGAACCGCTTGCTGTTCGAAAGGCAATTGACCTGGCTTGAGTTGCTGTGCGGATTGCGAAAAGTGCAGAGGGTGTAACGATGAGCCCGAGCCTAATCGCTTTGTACGAATCACTGAAGGGATGCGCTCGATATCGCTCAAGGCAGACGCCGCAGCTTTCCTCCGAAGAGTCTTGCCTGATGGTGTCCCCTTTTGCGAGTTGGGCGTATGTTGTTGCTTGCGGTATTCGTGTATAGTAAGGGTGTGGATGGGAGTTCGAGAAGAGATTGACGAGGTCACTGAGTGATGTGGGGAGTGAACGGGCGTCATTGGATTGTTGGCCTGCATTTGCGGTGAAGGCCTTCCAGGCACTCGCGGTGAATGCGAGTGCGTGCTGGAAGACGCCATTGTGCTCAGTTTGCCAGTCCAGTCTCATTCACCGGTGCAACTTGATTGGGACTCTCCCGCAATGTTACGGTCGAGGTTCCAAGGCAAGTCTCTGGGGTCAATATGTCTTCCTCTTTCGTTTGACTGTTCCGATGTCGCACTGATGGCGGTTTCTAGTGAAAACATTGCGGTACCCACGCCATGAAGTGTAGTATAGTGAAGCAAGTCCAGTAGCTGGTGAGAGGCCTAGTCAGCGGGCCAAGGTCTGCTTCCATTCACCGCCCGTTTGACAAACCTCAATTAACCTTTGGATATATGGAGTTATTTCCCCTGTGTCAGGGCGTGCTGATGTTGAGCCACTGTTTCGAAATCAAAGGCTGCCCGGTCACCACTCTTCTGGGCTACTGCAAGGTGTTGTGATGGTCGGCGTAGGTGTAGGTGTAGGTGCAGGTAAGGTGGAACGACTTCTGACGACTCGGGAAAGCGGGACTAGGATTCGGCAGCGATAGAGAGGAAGGTGGAGTATTAAGATTATAAGCGATAGAAGAGAAGAAGATGCTACGAAATCTAAGCCCCTTGAATAAAGGAAGTAACGCTGTACAACGAGCGCCAGACGAGGAAGGCACGATATACCCAGCGAGGACCCAGGAGACAGACGAGTGATGACGAGGAACAACAGAAGAACATTATCAGAAGAAAAAAAGGCCGCCGCCCCAGGGCCACCAGGCGGTCGTCACCCCAGCAGCCCACACATTTGCATCGCATCCACGTTGGCTGCCATGGCTCATTACACCTACCTACTGGGTCTTCGTGTTCGAGGAAAGAGCGATGCAGCACCGTGGGTGGCCGTGGTTTTGAGTCGCCCCTGCCTAGCGTGTTTCCCGTCCCAACCAGTCAAACGTCGTAGGCGTCTGCAGCACAGCAATACACGACACCACCGCGCTGAGGTGAGAACGGAGTCATTGTAGCCACTTGATCAGAGCTGCTACTGCTACTGCTACTAATGTCCGTCATCTCGTCTTGATGGCCCGCAAGGTGGAGGCGCCAGTGAACATGCGGGCCCAATCAGCCACCGCCGAGCTGTTGCCTCTTGCTGCCACAAACCGGCATTGCGCCCTGGCAGAGATGAGGTCTTACTTCAGCTGCTCGTCACGAAGGAAAAGGAGACGACTCTAGTGAAGGCTCTTCGGAGTAGTCTCCTGTTGAGGGTTGAGACAGCGACTAGCTGAGTTATCTCGCCAGTCGCGATTTGTGGCTGCCGTGTGCGAGCGTTGCACTAATAGACTGATCGCCTGCACTGTAAATCACACTTACCCGCCCCGTGGTGTCTGGGACGAACTGGGTGTTCGGCTCTACGTGAGCCTTGTATTGGCACGCGGCTACCGTTCCATGCAGGTACATTTCCACTGGCCGGGAGAATTGGTTGGGATCTAGCGACGACACCTCCAAACAGAGTAAAAAGCATCGAATTCTTCAACTATATGTGCTCATTGCGCCTGTCGCCTCCGCTCCATCTTCGCTCATTGCTCTCTAAGCCGTTCTGAGTCATCTCATGCAAAGCCTGCTTCGCACCGAATTCCTTCAAGCCTGACCGTGACTTCCTGCGTCGTATAGAGGGCCGCCGTGTTGGCTCAAGGTTGCTGAGAGGCGAATAGGAGAAGCGTCGAGGGTCGGAAGCTTGGGAATACTGGTGTTCAAGAACAACACGGACGTTGAGGTTCTCGGGCACCCCGCTGTGTCTACTCTGCCCTACGTTTTGGTTCTGGGCTTGGTTCTGTCTAGGCGCCCTAGGATCTCCTGGAACTTTGGGAGTTCGCTGTGCTTGGGGGCTGATTGGCGACGCTTCGATAGCCTTGTCATCGTCGATGATCTTATTCCTAAACTGCTTCTGCTCACCATACTTGTCATCTTCATTTTTGGTGTGCTGGAGAAGTAAGTATATGGGTTGATGTAACGAAAACAGGTTTTTACATTTGTCGGATACACAGTACCTGGCATCGTCACATAATCGTCCAGCGGACGCGGTAAGCTAGCAAAGTTGAAGCCTCGTCCGGGCTGACTAGGTAGGAACCGTTGCCCAATATCAGCATTGAAGTCGAGGTGAAAATCCTGGGTCGGCAGATATCTCGACATATTCGCGTACCATCTAGGATACGTGCCGTACCATGCTTCAATTTCGGCATCCACATTGACCGTCAAGTAGACATTCTTGACATCATCTGGCTTCTGCACGAGCAGAACGAAATCGAACTCGCGTGGGAGGCCAGACCGCTGCAATAGATTTTCCTCGAGCGTCCAGACAGCCATTGCATCTTCAACATCATACTCCGGTCCCAATGGGCTTCGCTTCGAGCGCACTGAGCCCTGGATGCTCATCATATGATAGACCTTGTCTAAATGTTGGTGTAACAAGTCAGTGTTATGTCGCATATGCAGTTTGAACATGGATGTTACGTACAACTACCCTTCATACCCCCCGTAGGATTCACAGTGGCAGACACAGGCGCTTGCGAGACACCCAACGAGCTTGACAAGCTGAAGTTCCACTGAAGGTTCTCGGGTGAGACAGCGCCAAACATCAACTCTGGAGCATGCTTCAGGATGCGAGGACGCGAGGTAGGAGGCCGACATCTTGGAGCCTCATAAGATATCGTGTGATCATCGTCGCCATGGACGCACACTTTTATCTCCGCGCTTTTAAAGCGATGTGACCGTGGGTCATGAGGATGGAAGACAAAGTGGACCGAAACGAAGTACAGGTTGCCGATGACTGACTCGTGAAGAGCACTTGATTCGTAGTATCCGTGTTGGAAGCGGTTCACATGCGCGGAAATGAAAGCATTGCCTGGCAGAGTGCGCTCGTATAGACATTTTTGATGAATCTGAAAGCGCTTCTTGGGAACGTTCTGGTCTTTGGGAGGGGCGCTGATGGAGCCTCTTCGCTTTTGGGCTGGTGGATCTGTCGTCCTCCGTTGTGGTACTTCAGTGCCTGTTCGCCCTCTCAATCGTTGCAACCAAGAGCTCATCGCGTCGCTTTAGTGGACGTGCTCTTGATTTCGACACCCTGTTGCTACTATAGTATCATATGAAACAGATTTGGCGCATTAGGACTCTTGAATAGCGTCGAAGGAACAGGGTTGCCACTAGGTGGTGGATGTCCGGGAACTGGATGCATACATCGCGAACACAACGATGCAAAGATGGTGGGCACAGAGAGAAGTTAAATGTGAAACCGATGAAGAAGGATTAGGCGGCCATGAGGCTGACAGATGAGGCGCGGGATCTACCTATCCTATTTTACCTATGGGTTGCCAAAACATCAATGTGGCAGCTTGTGTACCTTATGACCTTGACAGTGACAACCTTGGTCTAGTTTCCGCTGAAGAGTCGTGACAGCTTGTAGCATGCTGAACATTCGCGATACCTGAATGGTGGAGTTTCAGACAACAGCCTGGAGTGCTGTTCCCTAGTGTGGTATATGACCTGGCGTGGGATGAGTTGGTGTGATGAACGTATGCATGTGCGGCAACTAGCTTGTACCCAACCACGAGGTTTCCTTATCAGCGCAACCCTTTATCGCGGGGCGAAGAACCCCGCAATATCCCCAAAAAGGTGAAGCTTGAACAGTCTGGTCCGATTTGAAAGCCCTTTGGATGGAATGTAAAGTCTTAAAGGTCCTATAGAAGCAGCATCAGTTGCTCCAGTCCTTGGTGGATATCTTTACACGATGCAGTTGTGTCCAAAGGAGGTGTGCCACGGTCGCGCTTCGCGCTTTTGTTCCCGCTAACCGTCCCGGCGACAGCTCGACAAGCTCGTCATCTCCCAGCTTGGCCTGCTCGCACAGCGTCGCCTAGCTAGAGGTGTCAAGTTGAATCACGCTGAAGCTACCGTAAGACGAGGTTTAAACTTCATGCAGACGCCCCTGACAATCTTCAGGCTCTACTCGCCAACAACCTTCAAGAAGTACTGCCCTAGATCGTACGCGCATCGAACGATATTCTGAACCCATACAGCTTATTCGAGATGGAAACCATACCGTTGCGGACCTCATGTCTATTGGAAAGACTATGCTTGGTCGTCGCCATGTCCAACCCTCCGTAGTCGCGTCCCTCGCCGCATTGATGGTCGAGGGCACCTTTCCGACTGGCACCTATCTCGTCACCGTTCACCACCCCGTCTCAACCGACGATGGCGACCTTGAGAAGGCCCTGTATGGCTCGTTCTTGCCCATTCCCTCGAACGAGATGTTCCCCTTACCCGAAGCAAGCGTATACGAAGATACGAAGCAACCTGGCGCAATAGTAGCTGTCAAGGGAGAGGCTGGGACAATCAAGCTGAACGAAGGCCGCAAGAGGATCAAGCTCAAGGTCAAGAGCATGGGCGACAGGCCGATTCAGGTAAGGCGACAGCAATGGGGATCTGGGGTATACGACTCATCATCATCGTCGTGTAGGTCGGATCGCATTACCACTTCATCGAGACGAACCCTCAACTGCAATTCGACCGTGTACGAGCGCACGGGTACCGGCTTGATATACCGGCTGGCACGTCTATACGCTTCGAGCCTGGCGACACCAAAACAGTTACATTGGTCAAAATAGCTGGCAACCAGGTCATAAAAGGGGGAAACAGGCTCGCCTCGGGCTTCATCCAAGACATGTCAGTTGCGGAGGGTATCGCAGATAGGCTAAAGGCGGGAGGCTTCCTACATGAGCCGGAACCACTTGGCGACGCTATACATATCGATATGTGCACAATGGAGCGACAGGCTTATATCAGCATGTTTGGCCCTACGACGGGCGATCTGGTCAGGCTGGGCGCTACGGATTTATGGGTCAAGGTAGAGAAAGATATGACCAAGTATGGTGACGAATGCGCGTTTGGTGGAGGAAAGTCGCTAAGAGAAGGTATGGGACAAGCAGGAGGCAGATCAGACAAGGAGTCGTTGGACACTGTAATTACCAACGCGTTAATCATCGACTGGACTGGCGTCTTCAAAGCGGATATTGGGATCAAAGATGGCATCATCGTCGGTATCGGCAAAGCGGGCAACCCAGATGTCATGGATGGAGTGCACCCGGATCTAGTTGTTGGATCGTGTACAGATGTCATCGCTGGCGAACATGGCATTGTTACAGCCGGTGGCTTTGACACGCATATTCACTTTATTTGCCCTCAGCAAGCGGAAGAAGCCATCGCGTCTGGCATCACAACCATGTTAGGCGGCGGTACAGGCCCAAGGTAGGTTCTTTTCGCGCGGAACGGCGATGGGTAGACTGACCGCTACAGTACCGGCACGAACGCGACGACATGCACGCCAGGCAAGACACACATCCGACAGATGCTGCAGGCCATTGATGAGCTACCTCTGAACTACGGTATCACAGGCAAAGGCAACGACTCGGAGCTTCGTCCCCTTCAACAACAAGCCGAAGCGGGCGTGTGCGGTCTGAAGCTACACGAGGATTGGGGTACCACGCCCGCAGCCATCGATGCGTGCTTGACTGTCTGCGACGAATACGATATCCAGACGCTAATCCACACTGACACTCTGAATGAGTCTGGTTTCGTCGAGCAGACCATTGCCGCATTCAAGAATAGGACGATTCATACGTACCACACCGAAGGTGCGGGTGGAGGCCATGCTCCCGATATCATCAGCGTTGTTGAGCATGCCAACGTTCTACCATCCTCGACCAACCCGACTAGGCCCTATACCCGCAACACGTTGGATGAGCATCTGGATATGCTGATGGTGTGTCATCATTTGTCGCGCAACATCCCCGAAGACGTGGCTTTCGCCGAGTCGCGTATTCGCGCGGAGACGATTGCGGCAGAAGATGTCCTGCATGATCTTGGTGCCATTTCTATGATGTCGTCGGACTCTCAAGCTATGGGTAGATGTGGTGAGGTCATTCTGCGAACATGGAATACAGCGCACAAGAATAAGGTTCAGCGTGGAACGCTCAAAGAAGACGAGGGTACGGATGCCGACAACTACAGGGTCAAGAGGTATATCAGCAAGTACACCATCAACCCAGCCATCGCACAGGGCATGGGCCATCTCATTGGAAGCATCGAGGTGGGCAAGGTGGCAGATCTTGTCCTCTGGACTCCCAGGAATTTTGGTGTCAAGCCGAAGCTCGTGGTTAAGAGTGGTTTCTGCTCATACGCCCAGATGGTATGTGTTCAGCCTTGCTTGAATCTCTACTATGCCACCACTAATTGTTCCTAGGGCGACCCCAACGCCTCCATTCCCACGGTAGAACCCATCATTATGCGCCCCATGTTCGCCCCGCTCGTCCCGCAATCCAGCATAACATTTGTCTCGCAAGCTTCCATCTCCTCTGGCGTCATCAAATCGTACGGGCTGCGGAAGCGGGTTGAAGCGGTCAAGAAGTGCAGAAACATAGGCAAGAGGGACATGAAGTTTAACGATACGAGGCCGAAGATGAAGGTTGATCCGGAGAGGTATACGGTCGAGGCAGATGGCATGGTCTGTACGGCGGAACCGGCGGAGACGTTGCCGTTGACACAGGCCTATTTTGTTTATTGAGGCTGTGGTTGGTGAGGGCACATGTACAGGTGGCCCTGGCTAGATGAGAAATGAAAACATGGCACCCTACTCGTTGAATATCTCTAGGAATTGTGCATGATGAATATGAACTTGAGGAAAGGTGACTGTTGGTGGCTGTTGGCAGTAAAGGCTAGATAGAGGCTACGAGGGACCTAATGAGTCGAAGACTGTAGTATGGGCAAAGAAAGGTGGAAAATAAGGCGGCGACCTTGGACGCACGACGGGCGGGGGTGACGATGGGGATGGGCGGCACCAACAGGGCAAAGTTTTAGGCGTGTGGCAGCCCGGGCAGCCTGGCAGAGACGGGGCAGCCTGGCAGAGACGCGACAGCCTGGCAGAGACGCAACAGCCCCGGGGCATTTTTGGTGCAGTCGCCGCTGTACGAGGTGCACAAGACATCTGTTGGCAGGCAACGGTTAGAAGCTAGAGTTCATAATAAAACCTTGAGAGATGCAACAAGCTATTTGATGAATGAATATATATATGAATAAAGCCTATAGGGCCTTTGCGGTGCTTTGCATGTCCAAGTCATAGTCGTAGGCGTAGTCGTAAGCATTATTGTGCCCTGAACTGAAGCCGGGCTTTGCTTGAACGGCGCGTCGGACGCGCCTGTTTTTTCCGCCAGGTGCCCCCAGAATTTGGTGGGTGCCCGCCCAAGGCCGCTCCTGCTGTCACAAAAACCACGCCTGCCCCCCCCCCAACCACCTCCCCCAAAACGCACCTTCCTTCAGCTCCCGGCCCTTGCCCTTGCCCTCACCACCACACCCGCCCAACGCCGCACCGTCACATCGCCAATCATGGCCCCCAAACAGAAAAGAGAAGATACTGGCGAGCTAATGGTCTCCATTGAGCAGTACACTAAAACTCGCGACTCGGTATGTGCATTTTCATCGTTTCTTCCCTGTTGCGACGCGCCTGCCTCAACTCGTCGTGTTGCAATGACAGCAACCTCTCACGGCCCGCGCGCATCATCGCGCCATCATGGCCACTGTCCTTGTTCTTTCTTATATCACTTTGATCGCCTCATTTACGCGACTCGGGCATGCTATCTCCGACAAAGCAGCTTCTTGCGCTGCTGCCAAAGTCGAGCTCCAAGTCGCGACAGGACGCAGCGACGCCAGTGCAAGCAACCTCTCAGCGATGCTCGCGCGCGAAGACTACCTCTGTTCTTGATCATGATGCTAACACATGTTCGTACCACCAGGTCATCGTCGCGCTCAGCAATCTGCAAGGCGGCCTCACCCATGTCCAGAACGGCCTCAATGACCTCCTGCGCGCCTACATGCAACACACGGCCTCGATCCTCGCCGGCGAAGATGGCGACCTCGACAAGCTCCAGATTCCTACCACCATCGCTGCGACTGCTAGCGCCGCCATGGAAGCTGCAACGACCGCTGCCAATGGCGTGACGCAGGTCATCAACACCGTGAACCCCGTTGGCACTGCTGCTACCGATGGCAAGAGCAAGAAGCGCAAGCGTGAGAAGAAGGAGAAGGATCCAAATGCCCCCAAGAAGCCGCTCACGGCTGCCTTCTTGTATCATCAGCATGCGCGGCCCGTTGTGAGGTCGGATCTCGAAGCTGCGCTGGCTCCCGGTCAAACCCTTGAGAAGAACGCGGTTCAGATCGAAGTAAACAAAAGGTGGAACGAACTCCCCGAAGAGGAGAAGGAGGTGGGTTGTTTTCGTATCACTAGATTCAATTGTCGCCGACTAATACAACACAGCAATGGAAAGCGTCTTACCGCAACTCGATGGAGGAGTACAAAGTCGAGCTAGCCGACTACCTTGCCAAAAATGGCGCGAAAGTTGCCGACATCCACGAGGACGAAGAAGCCTCCGACGAGGCCGAAATCGAAGTAGACGTAGGCGCTATTGACAGCGACGCCTCCTCTGAGGACGAAGAGGAAGCGCCGCCCGTCACAAAAGCCCCTTCTCCCCCCGCAAAGACACCCCGCAAGCGCCAGAAGACCACCCAAACGCCCGCTGTAAACGGAGCCTCCCTTCCCGTCCACATCGCGCCAGCTACAAGCAGTGCTACCCCCGTTCCCCTTCCCTCGTCTCGTACCGCTACCCAAGTCCCCCCTCCCACGTCAAGTGCCGTCGCCGAGACACCAGCTAAAAAGGACAACAAGAAGAAGAGAGCAGCACCTCAACCCATCGCTCCCGCACCTGCTGCTGCTGCCGCCGCCGCCTCCTCACAACACGAGCCTAGCCCCGAAGAAAGCGGCGGGGGCAAGAAGAAGGGCAAGAGTAACCGCAGCACGCGGAACGCCGAGGTTGAAGGTGACAAGGAGAACGCGGTCCAGGAGAGGACAGCTGCTGGGAAAAAGGAGAAGCGTGATCGCAGTAGTAAGAGGAAGAGTGAGGCTGCTTCTACCTAAGCACTGTCCCACCTCCCTAAGAATGATTTCGAGACGCTGCGGAGCTTGGGCTGATTATGAATGGCCCAAGTGACTGTGTACAGGGATGCGAATGAGCGTTAACGGTACGGCGTAGGTGGTATCGGGCAGACGGTTAGATTTCACACACCGGTGCCTTGTCCGCTCGATGTGAGAGACACGAACAGGAGGATCGAACAGGTCGAGACTCGAAGATGATGCGGCTTCAAAATTCAATTTTCCTCGACTGGTGTACAGGTTGCTTTACGTGGGAGAAAACCAGATGAACTTGTGTTCGTGTACGAGGGGCGGGGTTTTTGCTTCATCCGGGATGGACTGGACAGGACGGTGAGGGCTTTTTCGACTTATTCCTTTTGCCTCTCCTTTTTCACGTCTTTGTAAGCTCCCGTCAGATGTATATTGTAGCTCTCTATCTCTTTCTGTGGTCTAAAATCGTGTGTTAGCACAAAGCATACCATGTGGGATTGCTCAAATGATGAAAAGGTTCGCTTATTGAATAGTACCTTCAAAGATATTTTGTCCTTTTCATGTCAAACAAAAAGCCTAGAAGATATGCGCCTGGTAATGTAGAGAGATAGCCAGCCAAACTGTGACTACGCGCCCATAGCTTCCACAGCATCCTCAAACTGATCCCCCTCACTCTCACTCGCTTCACACGCCACCACAACGCCCTGCCATTTAGCAACAGCCTCCTTCTCCCCATCCACAGCCCTGCCCACTGCACCACGCACAACCCCTTCACTACCACTAATGCCCTCCAACATACGCTCCCCACATCTCATCCTATGAGCACGCACTCCATTCAAATACTCGAGCGTCAGCCGCGCACACTCCTCCTTGGCCTTCTTCTTGCCAAAGATGTTGCGCACCTCGCCTATAGGACCCTCGTGCGGTCCGCCGTTGCGGAAGAAGCACGACACGGTGTGGAATTCTTTATCGACGGGGTGGGGGTTGAAGCACCATTCTGGTGTGGAAAGGGAGAGTGTGACGGCAAGGTGGGCTACTTGCTGGGCGTAGGAGACGTTGTTGGCTATGGAAGTTGACGCTGTGGATGTGGTGCTTAGTTTCCTAGTTTCAGCAGACGGTGTCGAGGTGGAGATGGTGGCGGACTCGGTGAGCGCAGGCTGGGCCTTCTTCTTTTTGATGCCGCCAACAGAAGTGGAGTCTTCGGGCCACTGGCCTTGGGCTTGGAAGTACGCGACGGCATGACGGGCGGCCTCTTGCCTAGCTGCCTTCTTGGAAGAGTGCAGCGAGTCGAGGGAGCCGAAGGGGTTGGCGTGACCATCGATGGTGACGAGGCAGGCAAAACGGGAACCGGCACGATAATCGGTGTAAGTTGGCTGTGGGGAAGAAAGTGAGCGTTGGAATTCTGCCCGCTACATTAGCAATCAATCACACTAGAGCTCGTGAGAGTAGCGTTTGTTTAACGAACCCAAAAGTTGGCCAAGGTAGTTTGGACCTGGCTCCTTGACTTTCTTCTCCTGCTGTGGCACCGGCCCATCAGCACCCGTTTGCTTCTTCCCCTTCTCCGCCTTCGTGATTCTACCCCGTTCCTCCATCTCTTCAAGCACCTCCAAAGCCCGCTTGCACAACGCCTCTTTAGCTTCCTGTTTGCTGTTGAACTTCCTCTCCTCACATAAACCCTGCAGCTCCTCAACATCAATGCCAGGAAAGCTGACCTCGACAGTCCATCCGGACTCACTTCCACCTCCATAAGTGAAAACAGGCTGGGGGATACCAAGCGCTTGATACTTCTCATGCAAAATGATAGTATGCTTCGAAGAGCGGGCACCAACCGCAACTGGCATCAACGGGGCAACATTCTCGTCAGCCATAACCTTCTTAGAACGGGGCAAGACATGTTTAGCGGCGTTGGCTGCTTCGCGAGCGAGGATTTGAGCGTCGTGCTCAGCCTTGTGGGCGCTCAGGAAATCGTCGAGCTTGTAGACGCCATGATCGGATATATCGACGGCGGCATGTGATGAAGGAAGTGTATCCTGTTGCGACGGGTAATCGATTTCCATGTTTGTTTTGGTAACCTTCTCTTTTGCTTGCAGCCAATTGCCTCGACTCTCAGTCTTAGCAGGAATAAAATTCGCAGCTGGAATGGAAGTAGGAGGAGACGAACAAGGCAAGATTAAGTATCTTCGTGAGTCGTCTGCTGTCGTGCTCATGGTAACCTCGAGACAAGTGCCACGGTTTGTGATCAGGTGGTGGTAGAGTGGAGGTAGCGTTTGGGTGGGGTTAGCTTGCATGTGATTGCGCGACAGCGCGTTTGCTGTTACAGGGCTTTGCGGTGAGATGCGGCATTGAAGCCTAGCAAATACTTCAGTAAAGCGAATGCGTCAATTCCTTGCGTAAGAAAGTTGTGTGAGTGATGATAGCAAGTGTGATGTTTGTCTGTAGTTTGGAATATGCTTCGTTGCTACCCAGGTAGGCAATTGACAGCCTTGCTCCTTCCGTCATGAACCAACTATACACCAACATTCTCTCACCAAGGGTAACCACTTACGAAGCACCCAACTCAAGCACGTCAGTGCTTCTATCTTGTCTCAAGCCTCTCGTTTCACCTATTTCTGTGTTTGGTGGCTGGCTGGAGCGCAAGGAGCGCCCTTAGAGCGGGCGTCTGTCAAGCACATGGCCGCCCGACGCCACTACCGAGATCCTTCACAGCTCTTGTCCATGAGGGTTGTAAACATTGACAACGCACAAGAACTAGCCAAGCTGCCTGTACGACAATGGTTGAATCTCATTATCATTACTAAATTCGACACTTAAGATGACTATCATCTTCATCATACAGAGCAAACATACATTTGTGACATCATAAACCGCCTCATCGCCATCAGCCCTTGGACACCAATTTCCGGACGCCGACCGGGAAAGCTAGTAACCCCTAGCCCTTTGATCCCTCTCAATCAAATCTAACACCCCTAGCCCCAAGCCCAAACCCACTCCATGTCCCTTCTCCCCCCTACAGTCTACAACACCTACTGCACCGCCCCCAGTATCCTCATGGAATGGGCTCTGCAAGTTCCACAGCCCTGGATTGACGTTTACATGCGAGTCGTGTAGGCCATGCGCAACTAGATTCTCTGCATGGTTCGCGGACTGGTACGCATCATGTCCTGGTAGTATTTCGTGACCTCGAGATGCTTGACCATGGCTTTCATGTCCCAGATACGAATGATATTGCTCCGCGGCATTCTCCAGGCTCGAAATAAGGTTTACGTGATGCCAGTTTGGTTTTGTCGAGTAGCAAGCTAGATCGGAGGGATCTTGCATGCCACGGTTCACGGTGACCAACTCATTGTTGGCATTAACAGCAAGCCCCAAGCCCGCAAGACCGTCCCCTTCAAGCCCCGCAAGCGCATGCAGGCCTTCCAACCCATTTCCCTGGCTCGCAAAGCTATCATATGCCGCAAGATTGATAGCCGGTTCAAAGGCCCCGGTTATGGTAATGTGGCCACCGTTGAAGTCGAAGTCATTGTCATGGGCATATGTGGTCACATTGTCCTGGCTGTGCGATAGTGAAAGGCTTTGTTGGGAGTAGTCGGTGGCGGATGCGGTGGTAGGTGCTGAAGCAGAGTGGTGCTCGAGGTCTGGGTGCATAGACGCGAGTATGTCAAGAGATAGTTGAGGTGGACCATGAGCATGGTGAGGCTGGACGGCATATGATGGGTATGCTGCATGTGGATGCTGGAAATCCAAGGGCAGTTGTGAGACCGGATGATATAGCGTGGCTTCCTCAGGAGCGGAGTTTGAGCATTCCTCTACTTCTTCGTGGCCGCCCTCCATATCTTCCATGGTTGCACCCATATGGTCCTCCTCTTTAATCCACTTCTGCTCCGCAGCGATAGCATGGCAATTACCGAAGCTCGCTGTTCGCCAAGTCATACTGCCCACTTCGGCAGAGCTTCGTGTCTGCGTAAATCTCCAGAGAATAGTCAGCACGCATTGTGCCTTGCCTGTTCCCCGTTCTATACCGTAGACATCTTGTGTAGCTGTCAACCGAAGCAATGACCTGCTCACACAGTTTTCGTCTTTATGTCTTAGACTTTGATACCTCAGCATGCGGTTGACCCAAAATCTAGAGCCGAAGGCGATCCGTAAACAACCACTGGAGCCATGCGGGTCAGGCATATAGTCGCAAGGCGTGCGGTGCTCCTTCAAATCATGGGCATTAGGACCGTCGAACTGAGGATCAGGCGCGATGTCGCCGCTGTCGTAGAACCGTGTTGTGCATTCCAGAGACTCGAAGGGCGAAAGATCACACTGCGATTGTAGATTGAATGTGATGGAGAGGTTGGCATTTGGTCTTGCCTCGGTCATAATCTTGATCGAAGCATCGCAGACCAGCACCTTCCGATCCTTCTTCGTCCAATCATCAGTTTGAGATCGAAGAAAACCAAACTCAGGGTACTGTCGGTGCCATGACACCGTATCTGTAACATTCAGATCGCCGAGTCTCCCATCAGACAGAAGTTGTGTGAAGTGGTGCACTGGCTGGTCGTCATCCTCAACAAGCATAGTGAAGTCTGTAACTGCATAAGGCGATGTTGAAGCCTCGCCATTCAAACCTTCACCTAGGGAGAGATTCGGCAGCGCACCGAATTGCGGCCAAAATTGTGGTGTGGAGGCGTTGTAATCATATTTGGAGGCGGAAACTGCAGTTTGTGGATGGTGGCGGCCACGAACATGCGCCAGGTGATATGCCTGAGAGGATTCGCTCCCGCGGTGGCGCTTCTTGTCGTCTTCTTTTGTAGCCATGTGGACGAGCACTATCGTGTGGTCAGCCTAGTCCCGGCAGCCCCCCCTAGCATATCCCTTCTAGAAAACAGCGCCAATAGCAGCGTCATAAACCGCATGTCCCCTTTCAGGGGCTTTTTCCAATCACACTGCGCCTCGAATTCTAACACTTGATCGATGCATGCTAGAGCGGGTTCGACTTGGTGTGGAGGCATCTAAATGATGGATGCAAGAACGGGTGGTGCTAGAGTACCCGAAGGGGGGTATGCGAAACATCAGTACATACCAGCAGGCTGATCCCGAAGATGCTGCTTGAGCACTTGGAGGTGACTTGACACTTGCTTGCGGCATCGCGTGATCCCAGTGTCCCTACGAATCGAGTCTTGGATCAGTTCGTTTCGTCCTCGTAGGGCGCCGTCGAGCAAGTACTTCTTCCGGCCCATCGGGGGCCATCGAATCAGTGCTGCATTATACCGTCAGTGCATGTGCTTCGATCTGAAAGTAAAATTTGAGATGAGAGCGAACGCGGTGGTGAAGTGGCGGTAGAGACTCACCTCTCCAGAACGCATGCTCCAGGAATTCAGGCCAAACACTCTTCTCTTTCTCGTCTTTTGCCCCTCTACGCTCTGCTGCCCTCTTCTCGGCTGCTTCTCTAGCAATGAACTCCGCTGGTGTCAGCACGGGCTGCTTTTCTCTATACTTCTGGTACTTGTCGGATCGTTGGAGCATCTTGTATAACCGCTCAAGCTCATATCTGATTTGTTTCTCCGATCGCTCGACTCCAAACCCCGCAAGTCCGATGTGTTGCGCATGAACATTGCCAGTGAAGTAGCTTCCTGCCGCAGCAGCACGCCGTGCGTAAGCATTTTCTGTTGGACTAGGACTGCATGAGAGCTTTAGTGGCGGTGTATTAGTGGTGTTGTATTCGTGTGGCCGATTAGCAGACCTCTCCTGAAGGACGCCTCGATGTTGTGATGATATAGCCTCATCCAGTGTATTATCCGAAGCTTGAACATCGGTCGGTAGTACGCATGATTGTTGGTGTTGGAGTTCCATAGCGGGCTGAGGTATGCAATGAAAGCTTACAAAAGGAATGATAAGGGTAAGAATGAGGGGTGAGGCTGAAATGGAACGAGCGTTAGGGCAGTTGGAGCAATGAGTGACTGAGGATTGTGATGAACGAGCAAGCAGAGAATGTATCGAGGTGGGTGGCAAAGGTAAAGGTATGCAGACATTTTGCAATGATATAAGATATGGTCCAGATGACCGACCCTCAGGCAGGAGGCCCACTTGGCAGACAGACACGAGTTGCCGTCCTCCCAGGGCAGACCGACTGTTGGGTACGATACGGTACCCGCTATACTGAAAATGGCAGGGGGATCAGTCAACAGGGTAACATGGTGATTACCATGAAATTAGGATAACACGCTTCCTGCTACCGTCGTCGTCGCTAACAGATCGCCATTTCGCTTGTTGTCCAAGTAATTACATCGTTCGCAATTCCATCGCCTGCTGGAATGATAAATATTGCGTGGTTAGCGGAGGGAGCAAGGGCATAGAGGCGACTGCCGTCTGATCAACCGTCATCTGATTGGACGTGTGCGAGGGAGCAGCGGTACGGAATGCTCTGAGCAAGAATGAACGTCAGTGATTGTCGACAACAAACTACGTGAGTCAAGTCTGTATGATCGACAAACGTCTCGTTTGTGGCTGCCTTACTCCCCATGTTTTAGAGTAATCTGAAACGCGGTGTGGTGGCCATGCCCATTGATTCAGTCCACTGTAGGCGTATCCTGTCGGGGCTTAGAGAGCGGTGACCTAGATATAGCGTTCATGTGCCAGGGCGTCATAGCGCTACTACATTCAGTATACCGTGCCGAAGGGCGGGCCGCGCTTCCTTAGTCAGAAAAGCAAGGGAGGGCGTCAAGGACGACACAGCTTGATGGTGTCGCGCCCAGTTCAAGTTTTAATCCTACCAGAACACGCTCGCGCTCGCGCTTATTCGTCTAGGTCGTCGGTGCCTGCAACGTTAAATTTTTTGCGGCCACCTGCTGTGAGGCGTTGAAGGGCAACCTTGTTCGCCTGTGCCCCCACCTTCTGCTGCATCTTCTCCAGTTCTTTCTCAGGGTCATCTGATTCGGTTTCAGCAAACGCAAGAACAAGACGTCGACCCAACAAATGGGTATTCTTTAACGCATTCATGGCGTTCACGGCGTCGCGTTTTGTGGTGAACTCAGCGAAACCAAAACCACGCGAGGACGAATCAAACTTCTTGGGCACCCTGACGGACCGAAGTTGGCCGTAAGGGGTGAACAACGCGCGAACGTCCTTTTTCTGCAACCTGGATTAGCACGCGCTTTGTTAGAGTAATAAAAGGGACTCACGCTCGCTTCGAAGGGCAAGTTCTTGATGATGATCTTTGTGCTTGCCGCCTTCTTTGCCGCATCGTCCTTGCGACGCTCCTCGGCTGCATCTGCACCCTTGTGTGAACCTTTGATCTGCAGCTTGTGCCCCTCAAGATCGTGTCCGTCCATGGTTTGCAAGGCTGCGGATGCCGTTTCAGGACTGTTAAACTCGACAAAGCCAAAGCCCATCGATAGCACGCCTCGTTTCGGGTCGACCTTCGTCTTGACCTTTGCACTTCGGAACCCGGAAAGAGGTTTGAAGGCCTCAGTAAGACGTTCCGTTGTAGTGGTGAAGTTGAGGTTTCGAACGTATAGCGTGGCTGCGTTCGTTGCCTCTGGTTCTGCAGCGTCTTCGAGGAGATCTGTTGCGGATAGCTTCGCCCCAGGTTTGTCCTGAGATGCGGCCTGTGGAACATGGGCAATTAAGCCTTCCTTGAACAGATCTTTGGGGGCCTTCTCCAAATATAGGATGGAGTCCTTCATCTTCCGATATGACAAAGACGTGAATGCAGTCTTCGCTTGCGCGGCGTTGGAGAACTCTACAATTGCAGTCATGCCTGTTGGTGGCATCAGAAACTTGGAGACAGTGCCATGCTCCTCAAACATATTGCGTAACTCATCCGGTGTCACACCATGGGGCACATTCTTCACCAGAATGGCGAGGTCGCCCTTGGCGCTTCTTTGAAAGGCCTCCAAGTCCACACCGTGTTGAGTGAAGTAAGATTTGGTCTCTTGGATAATGTGCGTCTCAGCATGAGCCTGCTTGACCGCTGCATCTGATGACGTGGGGTCGAGCAGTTCGGCTTTGCTGATACCCATGCGATTAGCAACAGTGGACATGACTGCGTCGGCCTAGAAAATAGGTTAGTGATGAGATTAACGTAGTCCTGTCATGCTTTACGTACGTTGAGATATAGCGAATTCCAGTTGAAGGTAGCCTTGACGGCATCTTGTTTCCGTCTGATCTCCTTCTGTTTTTTGAGTGGCAATTTCGAAATCTCGAAATCGTCGAGCTTTGTGTCCTTTTTTGCTTTAGCGGAGATGATGTGGAGAAGGCGGCCCTGGAAGATGGTATTGTCATTGTCGAGGTACGCTTCGACTGCTTGTGTGGGATCTTGGAACTGCACGAAAGCGAAGCCTTTGCCTTTACCATCGATCTTTTTCAGCGGTACATGGACCTATCGCAGTTAGCATTCGTTCTCTGAATAACCACAATCTATATTGAGGGGATTTGCCACTATCAGATAAGAAAGACATCTACTAAAATACTTTCACAAGTCAACCTCATATGCCGAGGCATCAGTTGTCCCTATCTTGACGTTCATCATTGCGTGGGCAGTCTCAGAAAAAAGAAAATGCTAGGACTTACTTCCTCGAGAGCTCCGTGTTTTGAGAACTGTTCCCGGAGCTCGTCTTCAGTGACTTCGAAGTGCAGATTTCGCAAATAGAGGCGTCCCGTTTCGCGAATTCTATCTTCTTCCTCGTCTGATGGTGCAGCATCATCATTATCAACAACAACAACAACAACAGGTGCCTCGGCCGGTTGTTCTGGCTCAGCTTGTTCATGGGTAACTTGCGGCGATGCGTGCTCAACAGCCCTGGGTTGTGAAATTGGTCCAATGGCCAATGGTACTCGGGCTGATGACTCTGTGTCATCCTCGACCAGCTCCAAAACTCTGTTGGTTCTAGACCGCAACCAGTCCGCATCAGAAACAGGCCCTTGCTCAGCTGTAGGCACATCCTGCACGTCTTCCATTGCCTCACCAGTATCGGCAGCTTCTTGTTCGATGTTTGCTGTGGAGTCGCCCTTGGGCATGGGCTCCTCGTCTACCAGTGGTTTTGTAGGCTCCGATGCCGTCTTTGCTTTCTTAGCAATGACTTGGTACTCGTTATCACTCTCGTCTTCTGGCACAGCAACAGCTTGCACAGTCTCCTCGGCAGAGGCTCCTGTGTCAACGCCGCCTTGCGAATCACCATTGGTCCATATGTTGGTCTTGGAGGGCGGCTGGTACACGTCGAGGAACTCCTTCAGCTTCGGGTCTTGCTCGACCTCGTCGCGTTTCCGCTTCAAGTCGTTCTCTTGCCGTGGTGGTATGTATTCGTCGGTTCTCGGTGCGCTCTTCTCAGCCTTCTGCTGTCGTCTTGACTTGGGAAGCTCCTTGTCGGCGATCTGCAAAAGTATCAGCCCCGCCTATCGTTATTGTCATGGTTCTGCACTCCACTCACCGGACGCGCAATTTCCGCGTAGATCTTGGTCAGCTTGATGAAGGATTTGTTGAAGTATTTGACGGCCTTTGCAGCGTCTTCGGACGTCTTGTAGCCGACGTAGCCTATGCGGCGATGCGGGAAGAACTTGACGTCTGTGACGGGGAACTTGGCGAAATGCTTGCGCACGTCGTCCTCGGTGAACTTTAGTGGTAGCCCGCGTACAAATATACGCGACGAGTCCATGGCTGCGTCCCGGCCTCTAAGCAGTGGCGCAAGAAAAAGGAAAAGCAGCCGTTATGTTGGTGAAGGTTGATGTGCACATATAAAAATTTCGTCCTACAGCCGTTCCGCGCTAGCACACGCTAGCGCCGAGGCCGCTCGGTGCCACCTGCGGTCTTCTGGCCGCGGGTTCCTCAAACACTCACGCAAGCCGACAACAAAGACGCACCCTTCTTGTCCACTTGACCGCTACAAGATCACCGTGTGCTTACAAAAGTCGCCATCTCTACTAGTCGAACGCTCTCAATAATCAGTCCGGCACCATGGCAAGCGAGAAGTCAGATACGCATAAGCAAGAAGGTATTCCCCCCTATGTTTATACTGCTATCTGTGCCTGCAGCCCGAGCTAACATCTTGTGTAGCTCAGATCAAGTCGGCAGACATGGTATTTACTTACTGCTATTCTCTGCTATTCTCTGTCTAACCGTCCACTAGAGCGAGGAGATGCAAAATGAAGCCATCGAAGTTGGTAAGTTTCTCCGATGCCCAGTGCGGCTGACTGAAACACTAACAGCCCGTAGCACAGCAGGCGATGGAACAGTTCACCATCGAGAAGGTGGGTCCTGCCTATCTGCATCACCCGTTTCCAAGGTGACCTACGAGGACTCGTGCTAACGTTTCATTCCAAGGACATTGCTCAATTCATCAAGAAAGAGGTGAGATTGTCCCCAATTCCCACTCTTCAAAGCGCACACTAACTTCAGCACAGTTCGACAGCCGGAAGGGCGCCACATGGCACTGCATCGTGGGTAGAAACTTTGGAAGCTTCGTCACTCATGGTCCGTTCCTACTCGCTATGCTTGCTTGCCGACTGCTTGCTAATGTCCTACAGAGACCAAGCACTTCATCTACTTCTATCTCGGCCACTGCGCCATCCTGCTCTTCAAGACGCAGTAGGCGGATGTGACTGGATGGAGGTACCCTCAGCCTCCTAGACTTTGTTTGCGTTTCTTTTCAAAGCAATGCCTGAACGTTCGAACCGCGGTTCTCATGTCAGCATAGGTTTTAGAGAGGCTTATCTTTCAACATGCAATGTTGCCAGTCCGGCTGCTCTCGATCTCGCTACATGCTCGATTTCGTTGATTTCGCAGAGGAGTCGGGGTACCTGTAGTTTTACTCATGATGAGGCTGCGAGGTCTTGATCATAACGACTGTTACGAGTCTCCTTTCCACAAAACTGGCTTTGGAGGCTATTCGATATACCATAATGAAGCGTTTGTGCTACTACTCGATCACCGCGACACGTTGACATCACTCCTATTATTGGTCCTACATTTTCCCATCCATACTTAAAGACCAAGTGACCGTGAAGCGTTGCAAAATCTACATATACCACAGCCACTAGCCCGATGGAGCTTGCCAAGTGTGGCTGATGTTGATGACGCAGCTTCCTCGGCGCCAATACCAATGCCATGAACGCCACGCTTGCCGCAACATTGCCTCTTTACTATCGCAGATACCCTCTTTTAGTACTATCAAACCTCTCTACTTCTCCTACGCGACCAATACTTATAATCGCCAACTCGGATAGACGCCACCCAGCTATTGAGCAAGCTTTCCTTACTCGGCCAGCCAGCAGCACGCGCATCACTCCACCGCGAGACGTTTACACAACAACAGCCGGCAAGTTTCGTGCAAACAAAGCGCACCGATTCCGCAACCATGTTCTTCTTTTTTACTTGCGGAACACACAGTACGTATAGTTCATCCAAGCACAGTAAAGATAAACTAGCCTGGCTAACCACGCTCTCCAAACTAGCCTTTTCATCGAAGCTCACCGGCGCAGAACACGTAACAGTCCAATGCCAAAACTGCGGTAACTTCTCTGGCAGAGTGATGAAAAGATGGTATGTCTCTCCACCACAAAAACCCCCACAAGTAAACGAAGCTGACCAACGCACAGGGAATGGTTCACATTCTGTTTCGTCCCCATCATCCCCTTCTCGCTCAAACCCTACAAGGAAGTCGGTTGCCACATTTGCAATTTCTGGCAGGACATCAAGTACCGGCCAGATGTGCAGCAGCAAATCGGCGGCGCTGGCGGTGCACAAGGCCAGGGTCAGGAAGGTCAGGCTGTTATGATGCATGGAGGACAGCAGGGACAGGGAGGACAATCGGGGAATTACCCACCGCCAGCGGGGGTGCCACAGTATAAGTAGACTGAGGGGGGAGGGAAGGGGTTGTTAAGATGAGCAGAGGGGGAAGGGCTTGGAAATGATTCGACGCCACCGTTAGATCGAGCGTGGAGGGGTGATTATGTTGGGTCTCTTAGGAGACCCATAAATTGTTTACTAGCTATGTGGGTTCAGCTCTTTCGTACTTTCTTTACACGATATGATTTCCTAATTTGCATTGGCATATATCGGCGTTTAGGCGCCCTATCAGATACCAGACGGAATTCGAATGACTTGAATCTCTATATTATTCACGTCTATGTATTGCTATCACCGACCTTCATGCTACCAGACGAAGAATATAATTACTGAGCTGTGCTCACGTGTAGACCAATACTACCTCGGTACACTATTCCAAAAGACGCTCTACTTCCTAACCCAATACGTCTCGCATCTTCTTCAGCAGCTACTATTACTAAAGCGTTCCATAGCCACTATTCCAGAACAACTGCAGCGACAACCGAACCCTGGGTCGTCAAAGGTACAAGACCAAACCCATTTCCAAAGTCACTTAATCACCTCTCAACCTCGGCACAACCTCCACCGGTACTGCGTCAACCTCCATCAGCCCACCTTTCTCCTTCTTGCTGAGTGGACTTTTGTCCCTGTCTCCACCCAACGTACCCCGCCTTTTCCTCTTAATCGTCGGCTCGAATTCGTTCGCCGAAGGATTCAGCATCGTGCTTCCACTAATGTTGGAATGCGCCATTGTTCCTCCTAATGCATGCGCAAGTTCAGGTCCCATGCCAGTCGTATCCATCTGCTGATCGAAGCTGCCGAGCTCGTCACCTAGAGCGCTGAAGAGATGGCGCTCAAGACGGTCTGTGCTGTCGATACTTGACATGCCGGGCTTGTGCATGGACTTGAATGGGGAGCGCTTAGTGGAGCCATGTGCTGCATCTGTGCCCAGATTCGGATCGATGGCGTCAAGGTCAATGATTTCAACCCGCGCGGGTACTCTAGATGTATTGTGTGCCGCCTTTTTGTCCTCCTTCGCAATAGGCTTTGGGGTGGCATCAGGGTCGCCATCCATGCTTGTGAGTAGGCTCTGATCATGGCGAACCCCTTGATCTGATAGCCTGGGTGAGTTGAATGCTAAGCCTTCCTTCCTGCTCTTCACATGGCCCATAGCTGGCGGGGGAGGTAGTGCTACACTGCGTTCAAAACGAGACAAGCTGGAAAACACTGGAGAGGAATCTCTTATCGAAACATTACAGCTGGTAGACGGCAGCCTCTGAGCGAAGGGGTTCGGCGTTGGAACACGGTTAGCTTGTGGATATGGTGCTGGCAAAAGTGACTGTGAGAAAGGACAGTTCTCTTTGCTACTAGAGATAGGAGGTGGATTCAACATGGGCGGCTTATCCGGTGATGTCGCATTTGAAGCGTTTCGTAGAGCATTGTTGAAGTCGTTATACGACGAAGTACGGGCCATGGCCGCTGAAGAGGGACGGTTCGCAAGAGGAATAGGCCCCATTTTTGGTGGATAATAAGTGTGAGCAGTAGGTGGACGTCCAGTATGATCATGGCGCTGACCTTCAAAGCCGACAGGCAGCTCTCGCTCTCTCCTTGGTGAACTGATGACCTCGCTGAGCTGCCCGAGCTGATCGTTTCGAAGCGTTACGATGAGTTGTCTCTCTTTATCTTTCCTTGATTGGTGATTATCCCATCGTGTAGTAGTTGGCACGGAATTTGACCAAGGGAGGCCAAGTTTTGAAGGGTGCGAAGATGTATACATATAATCGGACATGACCGTGTCGCCAATCGAATTGGATGCAGTCCGCTTCGTAGACCAAGTGTCCATGCTGGCGTCGTCACCATCAGCGCTGATAGCGGCAAGAGAGCCATCCCATATGCTGGCACCACCGCTGCCTCTGATACCGACGGGTGGCTTAGCAAAATTCGAGATGGGTGGTAAGTGTGAGTGAGGTCTGCGGCGCGGCTCTATGTTCTGTGGTCTGGCAAACGATGATCCCGAATTACGTGTCTTTGGAGCCCGTGGAAACGTTGGGGAAGTCTGAGAGGGCAGCGTGGCTCGATTGTGAGTGTTTGGGAAGTACAGCGGGTTGCGTATTGGCCATGAGATACCAGCTTGTTCAAGAACGTCTACTTCTTGTCAAAACGGAGCAACTACCTTTCGGTTTATGCGCGCGTACCTTTAGGAGCATGTTGTAATGAAAAGCAGACAATGTCATGTGAAGCTCCAAGGCTGACCTCCCCAGGGCTAGTTGTCTTGTTAATCAATTGCTCTGACAGCTTGATCCTGATCCGTCCATTTGGGTCGCGGGCATCCCATGAGCTTTGTAAGAGAGTCTGTTGGTGGAAGGCTGGGAACTCGAGACACGGCTGTCGCTGGCTCGAAGACTGCTCGAAAGAAGAAAGTATTTGCTTCTCGTGCGCTTTGCCCTTTTCAGCTTTGTCCAAGGCACGATAGTAAGACGGGTGATACATACCAATTTCCTGGGGCCATTTTGACGCTACTTCAAAGATGTCACGGCTATTCTGGATCAGCATATCATGCTAAAGCTCCCCAAGATCTGGGGTTCGGCTCACAAGACTCTAGCTCCGTCAACAACCACCTGGACAGTGTATACAACCTTCTGGTTGGCCTTCCGTCGTGATTCGATGAGTGCTGAAGGTTTGGCTATTGTAGCCCATGAGTGTATAGAGATGCGGAAGGGTGTTGTTGGTGGAAGCGAGCTGATGTAGCATGTTAGAGTGGGCAGTTGGCGTCCATCTGTGCGCGAGGATATGTTAGTCAAACTCCTTGTGGTACAATTGAAAGGATAATAGGGCGAGTGAAACGTATGTTTTGCTGACATTCATCTGAAGAGACGTAGCAGGCCGTCTTAAACTCCTGTATGGGAATGTGAGAGTCCTTTGGGAACAGGATCACGTCCCAGTCGTCGTAGCGCATGGCAGGCGTGCAACTGCTGCTGTTACAATCCAAAAGTGCAACAAGCAACTGGCAGTCGTCGGGAGACGATAGGGTGGGGAAGAGAAGAGAGGGTTTGTTTGCGGGAAGAAAAGGCCGAGGGTGGTGCTTGTACTTTACCTCGAGGAAGGCACGGCTGCTAGTTCCGCGGCGCGTCATGTTCAAATCGAAAACACTGTATGACAATCACTTTTCTAGACTTGGCAGGATGCCAGTTACTTCAAGAGCGCAAAGAAATGTAAGGAGAGGGCATATTGAACAGAATAGCATCCAATAATAGACCACATCGATCAAGACAACAATTAGCCGACCACCTGCTCTACCCATCCTAATGTTCTCTTCTTTCCCGAAGAGAAAGTTGAGGAGGCGCAAAATCAGGAAGCTCAAATTACCCATATCAATGTTCAGTCGGAATCCTTGCGTGGAGATGCCGATTGCGCCTTGTACACCTTTCAATGCCTTTTCCTACATGTTTCTCGCCAGACGCCGCGCTAAAAGCTGAAGATGCCATCCTGCAAGAACGTATACTGCTGCTGTGGTCGAATGAAAATCCAACACCGTGCCGAAGCAAGCCTCACTGAACTCAGCGTTGTGTGAGGCACCGACGGGGAAAATGGCGATTACGGCAGCTGTTGCGAGAAGAGGCTGTTGTCCTGGGACCCGTTGGCGCCAGGACTCATAAGGCCACTTGAGCGAGGAGAGATGAGCCCGAGGCTACTGAGAGTGCTGAGACCATTCGGGCCGCCGTTCTGAATGCCCACGAGGCTATTCGCGTGGTACGGGGGTTCTGTAGGCTGCGCCTGGAGAGGAAAAGCACTGTAATATCGTGATTAGCGCACGCTTACTCTCCCTCTCCCTCTCTCTTTCACACACACACAGCATGACTGTGATAGAACATTGAACCGCGACAAACCCGCCAGCAGACACGAACTCTCTGGATCAAAAAAAGAAAGGATAAAATGATCACAGCAGACAAGACAAAAACCAGGTTAGACGAATCAAGTACGCACGCAAATAAAGACGCAAAGAATAGAAAGACTCGTGTGATTGGAAAGATAGCCAATCTCGCTCGTAGACCCACACTCTCGTCAAAAGAAAGGCACCTGAAGAAAGCAGCATCCGACCCATGCATGACTAGCTACATGCCCCAATGCTCCCTAAAAGAAGAGTAGCTAGCTCCGAAAGAAAACCCGCGGGCAGAAAGATGACCTGTTATACAAAGACTCCCTTCTAAGGCCTTCCAGCAAAATTGGTGTCGTCAGATGGAACTCGAGAACTTTTGTAGAACCGCCCAGGTATAGAAAGGAACCAAAACGCTCGAGAGTCGTTATGACGAGTCATGAAAGGGTGTCATTGCAGTAAGCCAACGGGATGAACCATGGATGAAGCGCCGTGCAAGCAATACAGAGAGAAAGAATGTGCTTACTGCTTCATTGTCAGCACTGTTCATGTGTGTGGAATGGAAGCGATGCTCCTACCTTCATGGGAGCAAACCCGCCGCCGCCGCCGTAGGGGTGTTGCGGGGGCATGCCCATACCCGGACCGTAAACCGGCGGGGGAGGTGCCGGGCGGTAAGGGGTGCCAGCAGGGCCAGAATTGTTCTGCGAGCGACCCCAGCTAAGGCGAACACGCGAGTTACCGATCGGGTAACCTTGCATCTGGTTGATGGCCATCTCTGCGGCATGACGCTGCACGAACTGGACGAAGCCGCATCCCTTGCCGGGGGGGATCTTGACGTAGGTGATCTCACCAAAGCCCTGGAAGAAGGAGCGAAGCTCATCCTCGGTGACATAGCCAGACAGGCCGCCAACGAAAACAGTCGTGTTGTTGGGGTCGGTGAACTGGTTCATGGGCTGGGGAGCACCGTAGTAGCCCATGGGAGGAGCGCCCATGGAGTACATGCCCATGCCAGGGCCGCCACCTTGTTGGGGCATGCCCATAGCGCCGGGTCCGCCTGGGCCACCGCTCTTGTTCTTGGGGGTAGCGGTGGAGATGCGCATAGGGCGGTTACCGCAGTAGACACCTTGCATCTCAGTAAGGGCCTTTTGCTGGTCTTCCTCGCTGGCGAATCGCACGAAACCGTAGCCGCGCGACATTCCGCTGATGGGGTCGGACATGATCTTGGCGGACTTGGTGGACGGGTAGCGGTTCTGGAAGAGCTGTACAAGGACAAACTCGGTGACTTCGGGACCCAGATCGCCGACGAAGATGCTATACTCGGGGCCGCGCTCATCGCGGCTACTCTGTGCATTAGCCCCATGTACGTAGTAGGTACAAGGTATCTACCGGGGGAATCACTCACCTCCGGTCAGCAAGACCACCACCAGAGGCCCAGTTGAGCTTGAAGGGACGGTTCGAGTTTGGGATCAATTGGCCGTTGAGAGAGAGAGCCTTGGCAGCAGCATCAGCGCTGGCGAAATCAACGAAGCAATATCCAGCATTGCTGCTATTCTGTAGTTAGCCTGGAGACTTTTGTCGTTTGTGATTCGCCCGCTTACCCGGAGAACTTGTCGCGAATCATCTTGACGTTGACCGTCTCGCCCATGTTGTACCAAATGCTGCGCACGAAATTCTCGTCGATCCAGGGCTCGAGTTCGCCCATCCTATGCGCGGTTAGCCTCCATGGCCATTGGAAATAGTGCGGCCTTGTCGGCGCGCATGCGCGTTGATGCAGACTCGATGCAGGTGCGATGCGCAAACTAACTAGGAAGCAAGCCAGTGTAAACTCACCAGAGAGTCGTCTTGCCGGCGCCTTGGCCTTGGCCCTGGCCATCGGCACCCGCGCTGTCTGGCGGACCCATGCTGCCCTGGGGCGGGAAGCCGTTGCCAGAGGTATCCATCTGCTGGCCGAGGTCGGGCTGCGGGGTCTGGTTGTTCTGCTCGCCCGTAGGCTGGCCCTGGAACTGGTCGTAGTTTTGGAAGGACATGATGTCCAAGTAGATGAGACGGGGTAGTGATTGGTTGAACTGCTTGGGGGTTTGGGGAGGGGGTAAGGGTGTCGCGCTCTAATTATAGTAGAGAATCGAAGAGTGGTGTTTATATCGTCTGTGGGGCGCAAGCAATTGTTAGCGTTGGAGAATTGGCGCACAATGGGGTCAGGCAGCGAGCGAGAGGTGAGGGCGCGCGGAAAGCCCCAAGGCTGCACTTACCGCTTGGACCGAGACTGCCAGTCTACTGCAGGTGAAGGGTTGGCGGCGAAGGCGCGTAGTGCACACACACACAGAGAGAGTACAGGCGCAAAGACGGGCGAGCTGTGGAGCAAGCCTTGGGACAGCGAAGGAGATAGGCCGGGAAAGCTGCGACAGTAACTCCGGGATGCGCTCGAAGGACTTGGGCGGGTGGGGGGAAGTGCGTGTGTGTGGACACGGAGGAGAGTGAACGAGTGGCCGTGAGGAAGGTCAGAATCTATGCGCGGGCGGCGTCAGTAAGGTCTTACTGCGAAGGGATCACATGCGCGGGTGTAGCACGGGGCCCCACGACAGACAGGCGAGGGTGACACCAGGGCAGCAGCAGCAGCAGCAGCAGCAGCAGCAGCAGCAGTAGCAGCGGCAGCAGTACTAGTAGTAGCGAGCGAGAGGGCGCCGTGGTGATAATATCATGGCAGACAAACCTCAGCGCGCGTTACAGACGTCCGTGCAGGGGAGGGGGGGGGGGGGGAGGAAGACGTCAGCGGGCAAAGCAGTCAATTTTTGCTACCACGACAGCGCGATGGAGGGCAAATTGCGGCTGCACAATCTGGCATGAAAAATGTGCGTCACCCGCAGCGTGCACTCGTTTGTGCAGCGGGTGGGCGGGCGGGCGCCAAGACGAGATGAAAATTGCGAGGAGAGCATACGCACCGAAAGAGGTCAAGGACAGCAGCAGCGGAGACGGGATCCAACACCACAACGCAAAGGGAATACCGGAGAGGAGCAACGCCGCAGGGGAAGACGAGCGGTGTGCAGCTGAAAGTGTGCGGTAGGGAGGAAGGGTGGGTGGGGTAGGGAGAGAGAGAGCGTCGAGCGTAAGTAGTCGAGGAAGGATGATGTGAAGACACGGCCCTTTGAAGAAGAAGAAGGCTGCAGCCGAACCAATCCGCCCATTCCGCCCAATTCGCTGGTCATGTGTGGCGGAGGCGGCGGCGTCGCTCGGTAGCGATGCTCCAGGGTAGGTAGGTGGACCAGCACTACCACCACCACCACCAGGGCAGCAGCACCAGCCAGCCCTGGGCCAGAGAGAGAGAGAGCAGGCCAGCCGAACCTGGGGAGGGGGAGGGGGAGGGGGGCTGAAATCAAGCTTTTGGAGATCTTCGATACATCGATTTATCTCTCCTTTGTGACTGGCTCGTCACACCCTCGCCTCTGCTTTTCACGAACCAGGCTGCCACGCTCGCCTGCAGATTGGGTTGCTTGCTGCTCTCGAACGCTGCTGGCTGATGAAGAAAGCGGCGCGCTGCACCAGCTGCCCACGACGCGTTATTCATCAGACCCACCCCACCAGAGTCCGCCCGTTGTGCAAACCAACCATGACTCTTGCATGCATGCTTGCTTTTGCCGTTACATCTTGTCCCTCTAGCTTGTTATTATTTTGGTTTTATTACTCTTGTTCTCATTTCTGGTGTGGGCCCATTTGTGCGCGAAATTGGGCCGCACCCACCCCCGCCCGTGTCGAATCAGATGGCTCTGCGACACGCATCACCCAACACAGGTAGAATAGTTCACACGCCCATCGCCCAGCACAGGTATAGTAAAATAGTCGGTCAATGGAGAGAGAGATAATCACATACGACCGTTGCACAACCCTGGTGGAGCCGTGATGGGACCGTGATGGGAAAGAAATCGAGCCTGCTTCTTCTTCTTCGCTGTCACTTCTTGCAGCCTACCATATGTAACATCTTGTCAATGATAGGGGGGAGGCATCACTCTTTGGTAGCGTCATGTCTGGCTCACTCGCTCGTAAACGCCCCATGTCTTCAGATTTGCAAAAGTCGTGGTAGGTATCCTCGTAAACAAACACACTGGGCGCCCTCATCCTTGGTCATCAAGCCTCCGCTGGGATGCCGCTCGCAGTCTGCGCCTCTGCAAACGAGTCTCGCCCCTCTGCAAAAACCTTGTCAAAGTCGTACTCGAACCACCGAATGTCCGGGTTCAGCCCAGCAAACTTCCACTCGCCCTCGACCTTCTTATACCAGTGCGTGTTGAAGCTGTGGGCATGGCCCTTGACCGCGACCTTTGTGCGGCTCTCGTCCGTGTACCGCTGGTGCGGCACCCGCAGTTGGTGGTAGCCCACCATCTCGTCCTCGGCCGTCTTCTCCCACCGTGTGCCGCCGATAAAGTGCTGCGTCATGAGGAGGGGGTTGCCCAGCACCGCGGGGTCAGAGGCCATGGCCACAAACTCATCCGCGGGCATGGCCTCCCACATCTTGCCCAGGAAGGACCGGTAGTCGATTTTCAGGCTTGGGGCAATGCATTTGCCGAGACGCTCCCAGTCCTGCGCCCGTGTGAGCAAGCGGTAGACGACAGGGACCACGACCTGGCGAGACGACCCACCTTGCTATCGTAGCTGTCGGCCCACTCGTAGCATGCTGACTGGCAACCCATTACATCTGCCTCGCTGTTAGTCATGCCCTCGGGACGGTCCATTAGACGACTCACCATCAAAGGTTGGCTTCCACTTTTGCTGAGACATGGTGATAGTGGTGGTGGTGGTGGTGGATTCGATATAGGCTTCAACGGTGGACCGAGATTGTTCTTGTTGCGGGCCAATCCTGCACTTCTACTCCTCCAATATTCTCGTCCACGGTCTTTATATCCATCATTTCCTTACACAAGGGGCACCCTCTGCAAACACCTCTGCCATCCATGGCGTCGGCTCCCCGCTTCACGGCCTCCGTGCCTACGAGGCTGGCCCGGTGCCGTGTCTCCAGTCGCGACGGGGCCGATGTCATTCTCGGACGCGCAAGCCTCTTTGTTTCAACCTGGCCGATTGACTTTCTCTGCTTGGCTGGTTGCTGAACATGTTTTGTTACAGTATGGTGGTTGTCGCGACGGGAAGGGGAAGGCGCATGGGCCACCCCGGCCACTCCCCATCAACCCCTCTTCCGCAGGCACTCTGCAAACAACCAAAACTCCCCTCTCCACTTGGTAGAGGCTCGCCGTGATGCCTAGAAATGACGTGAATGCAAGCCCGAACAAACGATTGATTGACTGCGCATGCAGTTCCAGCTTAACCGCGTCAGCCGTTCTACAAGAAACAATTCATCATCATTCTTGAGTGAAGGTGGCCATAGAGTGCGAAAGACGCCCAGCTACACGCTCCTCTTCTCCACAGTATCAACTCTGGACATCTGAATTGACAAGAATTATCATCCTCGTCCCACCTTTGACGATGCGCACCAAAAGACATGAGCGTGCAGACCAGGCTGTGTACGAATTCAAGCATCTACCGTCCTATCGTTTTTCATTCGCATCAAATGCGGACAACCTATGGCTTCAACGCTTGCTCACCTGCCCACCTGCCCAGTTCGCATGCAACTAGTCTAGTCGTGAACGAGAGGATTGCAGGTGGGTGTTCCTGAATGGCTTGCAAGCTCATCCTAGTTGCGGCGCGACTTCTCCTTGACACTGACCGGTCCCAAAAGCTACATTTCGTCATCTTAGCCTGTTCACCACTTCGTGGCGCATGCAACCAAGTCAGTTGGGTCAGCCCGTTGGACAGTTGCACACTTCACCTGCAGAACATAAGACCTGCGCCTCTCCCGCCGTTTCTCACCAGATCCGTTCTCCCCAACCATCGCACCATCGATCCTCGTCCTACTTTTCTGCTGCTGATTGTTTCCTCCCAACGTACCCATGCCGCCCCGTCATGGGGGCCGGGCTGATGACCGTGGCTCTGTAACGCCGGCAGTCGACGCGGAGCCCCACTCCCGCAGCTCGGGACGTCCCGAGTCCGCCTACGGATCCACTCGTCTTAGACCTACATCAGTCCAGGTTGACGTGGCGCACGTAGGAGACATATTTGTGGCCAGATCTGAAGCAGGTGTCTACAGCAGCACGTCTCTCGAATCAAGCATCAAACAAGACACTAGCTTCCCGAATACACAGCTTGGCACCCCATCATGGCTCCATGGTTCTGTAGAGACAGATGTTGCACCCTGGTTCCCTGGATCGAGGGTATGATGTTTGAGAGCTAAATGGTGCTTGTTGCATCGCTAACCTCGTCACTAGATCGACCCCAACCTTGGCCTACGCTATTTCGCTCAGGACCAGTACTTCCCGGAGTTACTCGAGGACTCGATCCCAGACCAACCCCTGAACAATCAACCCTTCTACAACAAGCCTGACGACAACCCAATCAAACCTTCGCGCCCAACCACATCGCTTCCAAAGTCGCGAGATCACCTCAACCACCATAGCAAGTCTTCAAAGCCACCCCACGTCACATGCGAGCAGTGTCATAGGATATTTACAGGACAATACCGAGCCGGAAATTGCTCCAGACATGTCCGGCAGCAACATCCTGAGCTATTGAGGGAACAGCCGCAATGCATTTGTCGAGTCTGCAAGAAGGTCTACAAGCGGCAGGATGCAAGGCGAAAACATGAATGGCAGCGGCACGCGTTATTGGATTCCAAACCTTCTCCAAGGAAGCCTGCCTGCCTTGAGACCAAAGTATTCCAGAATATAAACAGTCTTTCAAGCGAAACCTATCACGACATATCTTCATTGTCGTCACTGTCACATGATGGCGGATTGGATGGCATCTCAATTGATATTCCGGCGCCAAATTCCACCCTGCCTTCAGTCTTGGGCAAGATGCAGGATCCTAGAGCCGAGTCTAGCACACGGCCAAGCAGTCAAGACTACAGTCGCGGCTTCTCTTCGTTTTTCGGGTCCTCGCGCACTAGTGCGTCTGATCCTGATATTGGCAGCTTCGAGAACCAAGCACAACCGCCTCCGCTTTTCCTTGACTCGTTTGGCTCCCAAACCTTTGCTGAATTCCTGGACCTCCCACCCTTGCCTGACCTTACATCCACAGTGGCAAAGCCCGCGGCGGCACTGAACGAGCTCCCTAATAACGCTAGACCCCCTTGGCTATCCTTCTACGATGTGGTTCTCGGAAGCCCTGGTAGTTCGCGAATACCTCATCATTTTTCAGACTTGAACCAGGGAGCGTGGATCCAAGTAGATTCCAGCATGTATGCACTGTCTGCGGTGACGCCTCTTGACAATGGGTTCGAGACTAAACCGGAGCAGACGTAGTTAGGTGTTGGTTGAAAGTGCGGCGGTGTTTAGTTTCGTTTCCTTCCTGGGGTTCTTCTTTTTTGTCTCTTGCTTCTGCAGGTTTTACGCAGAATGGCGTCTGGTGATTGGCGTTTGTCTTTTTATACGTTTTTGTGAATTGTGATACCCCCCTGGAGAGCTCCTCCTCGATGCCCTGGTTTGTTCTTATTGCGTATAGTTTAACAGTATTACTGGTCTGCCATAGATGACTACGGTCGTTTGTTTAGTTTAGTACAGGAAATCTTCTTGATACCATCTATTCACCAGCATCGAATGACAAAGTGTACTCAGTATGCAAGTTATGTACTGTGTTCTCAACAGTTGTAGTATTTTGAAGTAGACGCTTATCATGTTACATGACTCGTTACTGGTTCAAGTCCATATCTACTCTTCAAATTTCCCACCCTGACTAACATCAGGATAAACATCAAACCTCCTCTGCCCATACAACGGCACTCCCTTCCTCGACTCCTCGATCTTGCCCGCCTGCAACTCTTGAATCAGAGTACCCTCCTTCTCATCAAGCTGTTCCAACACTTGTGCGTTGGGATCAACAACCATGCTGTGCCCCCACGCATTATACTCTGCCTTCATATCCCTTGCTGGACTACACAGCCCAACATAGACCTGATTGTCCGTCGCCCGGGCCCTGGCCAACAACTCCCAATGCAGCGCACCGGTAGTGAGGTTGAATGCGCCGGGGTATAAAAGGAGGAACGCGCCTTTCCTCGCAGCGATAGTAGCGAGTTCGGGGAAGCGGATGTCATAGCATATCGCGATGGCGATTTTGCCGTACTCGGGGAGGTCGAGAAGAGTAATCTTGTTTCCTGGAGATAGTACCTCCGACTCCTTGAACTTTATCTTGCCGGGGATATCAATATCGAAGAGATGCACTTTTCGGTGTGTCGCTAACAGTTGTCCATTCGGCCCAAATGTTAAACTTGTGTTGTACAACTTCTTCTCGTCCTTTGACCCCTCGTCTCGCTCAGGTATGCTTCCTCCAACCAAGTATACATTTGCCTCCTTCGCAAGCTTCGACAGCGCATGGAAGCTCGGTGCTTGCGCTTCTGTGGGCGGGGATGGGAGAAGGGTTTCGGCGTACTTGTCGAAGTACTTTGTTCCGTAAGGCGAGTTGAAGCATTCTGGCAAGACAACGAGTTTTGCGCCCGCCTTCGCCGCTTCGAGGACTTTTGTGCGTGCGTGAGAGAGGTTATGCGCTTTGTCGGCGCCTGAGGCGAGCTGGATGAGGGCGAGTTTTAGGGATTGCTTGAGGAGAGTTGCCATGGTCGCGATTGTTGTGAGGGCGGGAAACTTGAAGAAGGTCTGAGAGATGGTCAAGAAATATTCTAGACGGAGTTGTTGGGTAAAGCGATATGGGATAATGCATGCGCTCAAGTGGGATGAAATGTCCGATATTTAAGCCGACGGTCGATGTTATCATTTCGGCTGGGCTTGCCGTCCGACGATGCGGGGTGCAATTGCCGACGCGAAATGTACGCGTCTTTTTCACGTATGTTTCATCAACCACATCTCCATTCAAGAAAAATCACGAGCGAGGGGGTAGAGGCCAGTACGGTAATTATGTTATGGCCCGCCAGATCACGTCGGACCAGTCGTTGCTTTCCTTCGCACAGTTATCATCACCCAAACACATCACTTTTCCTCTTCACCGCTAGAGTCTCTCGACTCAATAAAGTAGTGGCCCAATTGGCATCGGTACGATTCTACACCAATTTTGTAGAGGTTACAGCTAGTATATCAATTACTTTTTTGGGTAGAAAGTTAACGTATTGCAGAAAGCAACAGACTAATACTACATAAGCAACATATACACTAGATTAAAGACGTAGGAGGCTGCAAATTCGACCAAGTATGCAGTTTCACAATACATGAAGGAACCTGTTAAGGGGTGTAAGTCCCACTTTCCTGCTCACATGCCCCAAATCTTAAATATATTAACAGGTGGTGTAGGTCTTACCGAGTTGCTTGGAGGCCCAAAGACCACCTATAAGGGAGCTCATGTCCCGATGTCGGCTCTATTCTTTCTTCCTTTGGTTCAAAGCTGTCTTAGGGCGTTAGAAAAGACTTCGTAGGTGTTCATATAGTGCACATTCTCTACTCGTACCTTTATAAGAGGATTTTCAAAACGCCTACGCCCTAGCTGAGCTATTGCTAGTTCTATTAAGGAACTTTAAGTGCAGAGATGTTCGTAGTTACGTTAGTTCTTCTAGAATTACTTGTACCTTTGAGTTATCCACTCTTGAGTAGCACGATAGGATTCTTTACACAGTTGCAGCTAACCATGTCTTTTTCTGATTAAGTTAACAATGTACAGTACGAGATAGTGTGCATCCTTAATATTATCAATTATAATAGAGCGGTGATATTCTAACCAGAGGAGGAAGCTAACACTTAAAACGTGCCTTGTATGTTTTAATAGCCAGTCGGAAGCCACGAAATCCCAGAAACCTATATATTGGTCTGTTCGATACATTATAAGATTCGCGAAAAAGGAGTTGCATCTCCACAACTCCTGATATCAGCTCTTGACTTCGCAACCAACCTGGAACTTTCAGACGCTCGCTTGAGCATGTGATAAACTAATACTACAGCTCGTGACGTTCTGATACGAATTGAGACCAGCGACATGTTTGGAGGCAAGCGGAAACTCGCCAACAATAGAAATTAGGCGTCACTCAGTTTTCTTGCTGTCTCCTTCGTCCTTTTGGTCGTCGCGAGTCGCTTTATCATACCGCGTCTATGTAGCGGTTCTTTCTAAACGACAGACATTGGAAACGATCGCACTTTGTTGTCTTGGTCCGTATTACAGCACGATAATTTGAGACAGCGACGGTTATCCTCTTCCGGTTGCAGGACACTTAATGTGGCATCGTCTTCGCTTGAGTCGATCATTAAGTCTGCCATCTGGACCCCGGAACTCTTTACTTGCAGGAGCAATTGTATTATTCTCCTCACTACCAGAAAGACGCGGCCTGTAACAAGCATCGAAGTCAGCATATACCTTAGTAATTGACTGTACCGCTTTGAGAGCGTTTTCGTCGACCAATATGTATAGCAGACCACAATAGGAGAACAATAATAAGGTTTGGAACCATAGTTGGCGACCGTCTCAAAGCTTATCCTAGAAGAATTAATGTAATTACAAACATTTCCGCACTTAAAGTACTTTCACAGAACCAGCAATAGCTCAACTAGGGCGTAGGCGCTTTGAAAATCCTCTTCTTCTTCCAACAGAGTTGCATCTTCCCCCCCCCCTAGAGTTTCATCTTATTCCTCTAACACAGTTGCTTCATCTTCGGCTAAGATACCGTACAGCATTCGTGCATCCAACGCTATCTCCTCGTTTCACCTTCAAGACCCACTGGTGTAGTTTCTCAAAGTGGCACATGTGGTGGTTCCAAGGGGTACTCCTGTATTGGATTTTATGAAAGCGAATGCTGTTCTCAAAGTCAATGATGTGGGAAATCGACTGTACACTGTGGTAGGAGTTACAGCCCTGTATTTGGCAAATGCCCTTCGTCTGGCTCGAGCTTGACTACAACGGCTCGCCGCGCTGCAAGCACCCGAACCTCCTCTGTGACATCAACAGCAAGGAACAAGGTGAGCACAAACGGTAAATGGGGATCAAGAAGCAACAGAAAGGAAACTTGCAAGAGCTCCGAATATGGGTTGTGCTGCAGTCAGTACGGCTGGTGCGGTTCGAAAACTAGACACTGCTCCACCGGCTGTAAATCTAATTTTGGTACTTTCTCTTAAGCCGATTAGTGTATATAATTTTCGCCTATTTACTCACTCCTCTAGGTCATATGAGCAGTCAAGAATAGGTTGTTATTAGCTAGTATGTAATAGCTATAAGACTGTGAGAGCTATAACAACGCGGTAATACTATCAATGAAGATTTCCTTACCCTTCTTTTCAGCTTACAACTCCTTAATTCTTACTCGAGCGTTTTATTACAATTATATCCATGGGCAGCGTAAGGACATATATTTTAACCGAGCCCATGTTCGAGATGTATCATGTAAGTTCCTGATCAGTTTAGCCCTTGCAAGCTCAACCAATTCAAAGACATTGGGTGTATGAGCTGAATTATGGTGTCGGTGTGCCGGGTTGGAAACAACATATCACAAGTGGTACAAAAATTCATGCGCTCGTTGGTGGAAGGGAGACAGGTATAGAGATTCCGGTCTAGTTTGGCATCCTAATAGTAGTGCGAAGGGCGACTGGCATTCGAATGCAAATACCAATAAAGGCAAGTTTGTGCACTTTGCTTACCACGTCCATAAGTGCACCTAAGGTTGGTGGGAGTGATATATTGGTAGAACCCATTGTTTAGTTCCGATATTTAAAGTATGTGGAGACATAAGTCGTCACAAGTAAAGTATATAAACTGGTCGATTTCGGTGCATCAGCTTGCTTTACCTGGGGACGGCTACCTATCCTGCTAATGCTATTTGCTCTTTTAATATTGTGCTAGTCACTTCAGAAGAACTAAGCTGTGTGATGGGTTAGAAAGCGCCCTTAAGATATCTGCATAACCGGTAGGGATAAGGGCAATATTTCCACATTGGCTTACTCCATGTATCCTGTTGGGCGGAAAGATATTTTTTTTTTTGCATTCTTGCTACTTCAATCTTGGCTTCAAGACTAAAGGCTTGGTCAAAGGCTGATGTTTTTCTCATGCTCATTTCTACTCTCTACATCTAATCAACCCGCTTCCATAAAAGAACACCCCTATAGCCCCCACCCCTCTCACTTCCGATTTTCAGATATTTTGCCACCTTTCCCTCCTCTTCTCGTTCGATAATCGTATAGTTCCTCCTATGATTGGCACCCACCCAAGTCGGTACATTGGCGACTGTAAGTGGTCCATGGAATACTTGGCCGTCTGTCTCGTTTGCTGGGATAGCGTCGCTTATACGAAATGGTCCTGCGTATCCAATTCCGTGCTTTCCAACGAGCGCCCAGTCCCTGTCTGTGTCGTTGGCTTGGAAGGGAAACGTGAGGTTGGGGCGTAACCAAGGTTCTGTCGCGGTGATAGTTGCGCTCATCCAACCGCTAGCGGAGTAAGTGAGGATGCCGACGGGGTGTTCACCGTAGGGTTCGTCGGGGATTTTCACGCCATTTAAAGAGCTGCATATGTATGTTAGGGTCGAGTGTTTCATTTGGTTAGAGTAGGGTTGTTAGACCTGCTTGTATTGACAAGGGAATATGTGCCAGCCAAGGCTTTGAGAATGGCATGGTCGCGAGATTGCTTCTCTTTGGGGCTAGGAATGTATGGGAGAGCTGCCGCGAGGGTTGCAGATGCAAATAGTACGTTGAGCCGCATGTTGTTCTATCTTAGGGACGAACTTCCTAGGCTCCTAAATTCGACGTTTGGGATGGCCTTGCATAACTGAGAAGCAGGATGACGGCTTTTATACTAACGTGGTGAATGCCGGTCGCACCCACTTTTCGAATCTCATTTCTTGTACCATCGTACCGAATACCTGTCTTGGGATGACGGCGACTTGCCAGCCTATCCGTGGAAATTTTAACACGGAGAAGCATCGTTTTTTGGCTGAGCCGAACAGCGCCGAGCAAGGCCGAGCGGCGCCGAGACAAATTTCCGGAATGGCGCCGTCAGCGGCTTGCGGGGTACATGAAAACTACTTCGATCTGGATCAGGGTCTGTTCGATCCCCCGGATTTCCAACGGCGTTTTAGTATGTATTCAGATCTAGGTACTTCTACTTATTAGTTTAGAAAGGGAGCACTGGAGCCTTCTGTTTTTGCTGACGCACTAAATGAGGCATACCTAATCTTTAAGTAGGCACAAGGAAATAAAGCCTCTAAACTTTGTTTAACGTACTTCTATAACGAGTAGTTAGTTAGGACAAGTAGTTAGTCTCTGCTAAGCTCCTACTAAAACCTACTATTGCCTATAATATATTGCAATAAATTAATATAATAATGCGTTACTAGTTTAGAAAAAATATTAAATATAAAACGCAATTTAGGCTATTAAATAAAATATAAATTTTTTAATTTATTATGCTATAAAATACTATAATATATTTAAATTAATACTTAAAAGACAACTCGCTAGAACTACCTTTTAATATAACTATACGCCTAATTTAATAAAGCTTACTATAGTAAAAAAAAAAGTAATTATTAATTATATACTTAATTTTACTATAAAAAAATACCTGCCTAAGCTTGCTAAAATTAAAGATATAGCTAATTTTTTGCTTATTAAGCGTTACTAAAACTTAGTTAGCTTAAAATAGGCTAATATGTTTATTAAACGCTAGCCTAAGCTTAAAATAAAATTTAATTAAAAGTATAATTATAAAAAAGCTTTTTGCAAAAATTCTAATACTATATAAAACTAGTTTTAGCTAGTGCAGAATATAAAAGCAAAGTATAGTATTATAAATAAAAATACTTATAACTTTAATAAGATAGGCTTTATAATAAGTATAATATTAACTAAAACTATTATTATAAGCTCTAACTATTAAGAATAAGCAATAATAGTATAGTAGAATAATTAAAAATAAATAATAGTAATTTAAAGTATTAGCGCGGCTAATTAAGTAATTTTATTTTTTATTATTTTTATAAGCAAGCACTACTTCTCTGCCTAGTATAAAAAAAATAGCCTGCTTTAAAATTAAGCTATTGCTATTTTTACAAATAGTTAAATAACTAATAAGTATAATTTTAAGTAAATAAAGCACTTTAATAAGTATATAAAAAAGCGTACTATTAGCGCGTATTATTTTTTAATTATAAATAGCTATAAAAGCTATAATTTAGTTAAGTTCTACTAGTACTATAAAAAAAATAGTATTATTACTTTTTATATACTTTTGCATTTATTGTACTTACTGCAGCTACTTAATATAAGCTATTTTGCTTTTTTAAAAAAGGCGTATAAGCGCTAAGCCAAAATCTTAATATACAATTATATTAATTATATTACTAAAATTAAGTTTTTACTATATTTTAAAGCTGCTTTTAACGCTACTATTATAAAAAGTAATATTTTAGGAAACTTTTAAAGTGCTAGCTTAATACTACTTAATCTAAAAGCTATAATATTAAAGCTTAATATTTAGTTATATACTTTACTATTATTTACTATTAAAAACAGTGCCTAGGAGTTAAAAATACTTAGTAATACTTTAGAATTTAAGTTATAATTAATGCTTTTAAAAAAAAGAATTTAAAAGCACTTAAATAGCTTTTCTACTTTAATAGTAAATACTTTTATAAAATTTACTAAAAGTATAGAAATAATAGCGTATTTAATAGTATTAATGTAAAAATAAAATTTTAAATTTTAAGCTATTAATAAAGCTGCTACGCAATATAAATTGCACAAAAAAAAGCAAATATAAAAAAAAAAAACTTTTATAGTAAAAAATAGTTTTTAATTAATAATTTTAAAAGAGTTTAAAGCGCGTAGTAATAGAAAAAAAGTAAAAAAGAAAGTGCGCGCTAAAGCAAGTAAGCTTTTTTAAAAGCGCTATAAATACTGCAATAAAATAAAGCACAACGCGCGCATATATAAAAATAATATAAAAAATACTATAAATTAATACTATATACTATTAGCTATAGTATAATATACTATAATTGCGATATACTGTAGGCAATAGTAGGTTTTAGTAAAGGCTTGGCAGAAACTAACTACTTATCCTAACTAACTACTTGTTATAAAAGTATGTTAGTCCCTTTTTACTACCTCTTAATATATTATACAGGCAAGTTAGTTGCCTAGTTAAGTTAGTTATAATACTAAAACTCTACTAAAATTAGTAGTCTTTTATTATTAAACGCAATGCTTTAATATAATAATATATAACTTTTTTAAAAAAAAAAGTAAATATAGCTTGCAGTTTAAGCTTTAAAATATAATATAAATTTTTTTTAATAAAAAGCTGCGCAGATTTATAGCGTCTTTTAAATAATATTTAGTAATTAATTAAAATAAAAGCTTTTATAATATAATACTAGGCTTAATAAAATAAAGCTTTTTTTAATAAAAAAAAATAATTGTTTAATATATATTTTACTTTAAAAATTAAAAATTTCTGCTTTAACTAGCTATTATAAATAATATAGCTAATATTTTATTAGCTAAATATAAGCAATTACTTATTAGTAAAAACTAGGCTAGTATATTTATTAAATAATATTTATAGCTTAGTACTAAGACTTTTTAAAAGTATAATTACTAAAAATTTTTATATAAAAATTTTAAGCTTATACAAGGCTAGTTTTAATTTATAAAAAATATAAAAGCTAAGCATAGTATTTAAAATAAAAATATATATAATTTTAATAAAATAGGTTTTATAATAAGCTAAATATTATATAAAACTATTATTTTAAATGCTAATTATTAAAAATAGCCAAAAATAGTATAGCAGGGTAATTAAAAGTAAATAACAGTAATTTAAAGTATTAATATAATAAAATAAACTATTTTACTTTTTATTATTTTTGCAGGCAAGAACTACTTTTTAGCTTAATATAAAAAAAAATAGCCTGCTTTATAATTAAATTATTACAGTTTTTAAAAATAGCTAAATAATAAATAAATTTACTTTTAAGTAGTTAAAGTACTTTAATAAGTATACTAAAAAAAAAATTATTAATACTTATTATCTGCTTATTATTAATAGTTATAAAAGCTATATATTAGTCTAATTTTAATAGTACTATAAAAAATAAAAAATTATTACTTTTTATATATTTTTGCATTTATTGCATTTGCTATAGCTACTTAATATAAATTATTTTATATTTTTAAAAAAAGTATATAAATACTAAGCTAAAAAGCTAATACATAATAAAATTAATTATATTACTAAAATTAAATTTTTACTATACTTTAAACTAGCTTTTAATACTACTATTATAAAAAGTAATATTTTAAGTAGCTTTAAAAGTGCTAGTTTAGTTTTTTTTAACTTTAAAACTATAATATTAAAGTTTAATATTTAATTATATATTTTACTACTACTTACTATTAAAAATAGTTTCTAAAAATTAATAATACTAAGTAATATTTTAGAATTTAAATTTTAGTTAATACTAGTTAAAATAAAGATTTAAAGGCACTTAAATAATTTTTTTATTTTAATAATTAAAATTTTTTATTTTTTTTTAAAAAATGCAGCTATAGTTGCGCATAAGCTTATATTAGTATAAAAAAAATTACTAAGCTTTAAGCAATTAATAAAACTATTATATAATAAAAATTATATAAAAAAAAGCAAGTATAAAAAAAAAAAACTTTTATAGTAAAAAATAGTTTTTAATTAATAATTTTAAAAAAGTTTAAAGCGCATAGTAATAAAAAAAAAACAAAAAAGCAAGTATATACTAAAGTAAGTAAGCTTTTTTAAAAGCGCTATAAATATTATAGTAAAGCTAAGTATAATGCGCAAATATATAAATAATAAATAAAAATAATTTTTAAATAAGTTAGCTTATTATAATTTACTATTATAGTTTTTTATAGTGCTGTACTATTATATATAGTACTAATTTTAGTAGAGTTTTAGTATTGTAACTAACTTAACTAGGCAACTAACTTGCCTGTATAATATATTATATATAGAATAGCTAATAAAATAAAGGGAAGCTTCGGAGCTTTCTAGTTTAGCCTAGCACTATAGTATAAAACGGGATACTAAACAAGCTCTAAATCTGCAAGCACGCTGCAAAAATAAGCTTTTTAATTATTAGTATGCAGAAGCAATATATTGTATATTTTCTATAAAACGCTGCACATCCTAAAATTAACTATAAGTTTAATACTTTGTAAACTTTATCTAATATTTATAGGATACTTTGCGCTTACTTCCTTTAAATATAATTAGCTTTATTAACCTACTTTAGTGTAAACTGCATTTTTCTAAAATAGAGTATTTTAGTAGCTAATTTATTAGGAAAATTCAATTATATTTAGTCTGTATTCAAGTTCTAAAAAATTAACCTAATTAGGTTATACAATAGTAGACAGTTGCGCACAGTTATAAATGCTTATTAGTAATTAAATAGCTATTAACTTAAGCAAGTTGCTAGTATCGCGCAAGTTACTAATATTGCTATTAGTATAAATTTTTTATATATATACACCCTGCTGCCTGCAGGCTTATTATTCTATATTTTTATAAAAACTAGATTAATAGTACTTGTTAAATAGTTAGCATTTTAGTAATAGAATGCAGGCTAGTAATATAATTTATAAAAGTTAAATGTAGAATATATCTTTTATAAAAATTAAGTTAAAATTAAAACTAGTATGCTAAGTAATTTAATTTATATATATAGTTTTGCATTATTTTCTACTATTTTCTACTATTTTTTACTATCTACTTTTATTAATATTGCAGAGTTAAACTTTTTTATA